CCTAGGCCCCAACCATCAAAATCCCTGAACTGCTTACATCCCTCCAAAGCACACACAAATCGGTTGGCCATCTTACTTTGCCGGCAGAACTAACAAGGACGGTTGAATCCAAGGAGTTGCCTGACACAAATCGCAGGTTGGATTCCCTTGAATGTGAAAGCGCCGTCAGCCTCCCACTCGGGGGCTCCACTCCAGATGCCTTTTACTTCCTCACTTGGGGCACCCTTTGGTCGCCTGTTCCTTGCCCCGTCGCTTTGGTTGCAGAAGTTGGCCATGTTTTGTTGGTTTGCTTCGGCATTTTAGCTTCTTTTTTTTTAATGACTGAATGGGTTGGAGTTTTTTTGTTTGCAAGAGGGGTGCAAGCCAACGCGTCTATGTCTATGGGCGAAGTCATCTCATTTCGACGAGTGTCCTAGTCTTTATAAGTCCAGCGCAGGAGGGCAAGAAGAAAGGAGGCAAGAGGAAGGCTGAGCCCGCCGGCCCCAGCGAGTCAGCGGAGCCAGAGCCGAAACCCAAAGCAAAGAAATCCAAAAGAAGTCGATCTCCGAAACGGAAGAAGAAGGCCTGAAAGCGTGGCCCAGATACGCCCAGTGGCCACTAGTTGTTTCTTTTGTTGCTCGTTGACCCTCGAGTTGTTTTGTGTTGTTGAAACAAAGAAGACATGAAACGAGTGTTTTGCTTTCACTGTGGACACTGAAGTGAGGAAGGCGAGATCTGTGGGACTACTCACAGACAGCCGTTCGGAAGTAACATACACTAGGTCCCCCAGTAGTGCCCTTTTACCCTTTTTTTGGGGAGGGTTCCCCCACTAAAATAGACTACAGAAAAAAATGGGTACCCTTATTCTAACCTCTCTACGGGAGGACCTAGTACAGGAAGTCGAGTTGCAAATGCTGCAAAGAGAGTGGACAGCATAGAGCGCAAAAAGGGTCTTTGCCCTTGCGCAGGGCTGAACGGTGCCGAGGGCCTGACGCATACAAATGGCTGTGGTTGTCAAAGCCAATGGAATCCCATTTTGGTTGGTAGGTGAATTCACTACCCATTTTAGTCTTTTTAGTGGGGATTGAGATGTTCACTGGGGGATACGGGATTTTTGCCCATGGCCAAATGTTCTGTAGCAATGGAAGGAGAGCCTGAAATCCGGAATGGGTACAATAGGGGCACATAGAAGAGCAGGTGCCACGTTTGTGGGAGGGATGGTAGATAAATTAAATACATGCTCACTAAACATGGGCCACATCAAGCATGATTTTGGGGCTCGCTAAAAATAGGCCCAAACAATGGACCAAACTCGAACACGTCTTTTTTCGGGTTTACCAGAAATGGGCCAAACTCGAACCATGCTTTTGGGGCTCACGAAACATGGGCCAAACCGGCACATGTTTTTGTGGGCCTGCCCAAAAAACTGTAAAATGGGCCAAAATCAAAGATTCTTGTTGGGGTTCCATAGAAAATAGGCCGAACTCGAACATTTGGGGCTTACACAAAAATGCCAAACTCGAAGAGGGTGTTTGGGGCTCACTAAAATTGGGCCAAACTCGAAGATGTTTTTCGGGGCTCACAAAACATGCCAAACTCCGAAGATGCTTTTTGGGGCTCACTAAAATGGGGCCAAACTCGAAGATGTTTTTTGGGGCTCACTAAAATGGGAGCCAAACTCGAAGATGTTTTTTGGGGTGCACAAAAAAGGGGCCAAAATCAATCATCATGCTGCGGTTTGCAATCTCAAGCATGAAATTTTGGGATTCACTAAAAATCCGCTAAAATCAATCATGTCTTCGAGGCTCGCTAAAAATGGGCCAACCTCAATCATGTGTTTGTTTTGTTTACTAGACATGGGCCAAAATCAAAGACAATTTGTTTTGGGCAGCGGCCAGTTTTGCGGAGAAGGAGGCGGAATAAGATGATCCTCCAGCTTAGACAGGTGGGTGGAAACACCACACGGCAATTCGACTGCGTTTTGGCTCAGAGTGTAGGACCTGGATATTGGAGGAATCTGCGGCTGCCTCATGGGGCGAATCGCAGAATGGACCCTTGAGTGGGTCTATGCGGCTGGTGGGTTTGGGGGGGGATGCACATGGTGGATACTCGGGTCTATTGTGCAAGCGGGTTCTCTGCCGGCAAAATGGCCTGGTGTCCGTGAAAGCTCTGGGAGAAGCTTGGGAGCCCTCTTTCGAACCTCACGGGGTAACAAAGATGTTGAACGCAAGGGATGTGCGACTTTGAGACGGACCGACTTACCAGGGCGCGTGTGCAAATACATTGGATGGTTTGCCCTGACATCCAGACCAGTTAGGTCACAGGAATGGCTTGGGCTTGGGCTTGACCAGGCTCAAATGGCTTCGCCGCGAGGTCCTGTTCCCTTGGCGCAGCACAACCCCACAGGAAACTGCCATTTCCGCGGGGTCCACAATCTGGAAACCTCCATCTTTCAGCGGGTGAGAAGGCTTTCCCAGATCTCAGCTACCACATTTTGAGGCCAGTTGTTTTCTTCTTTTCAGAGGATGATATCAGGTGGCAAGCCCTTGGTTGCCTACAAAACCAGAGACATGGATCGGGATTGCCAGCAGACCGTCATTTTTTTATTCATCCCCCCCCCCCGCTGGGTTTGTCTCAGCCAAAGGGTTCAAGAGTTTGAACGTGTTATTTGGATGCAGTTGGATGCATTTGATCCATGTGACCTCCTCAAATCGAGCATGAAATTGTGGTAAGGACACTACCCCCAATGGTACTGTTGAGGACCTCTCATTTTTTGTTCGCTTGTTCGGGATCCGGCATTTGCCGTTGTTCGTTGCTTTGGAGGCTTTAGCGCAGCCAAAGACCACCATTCGACATGAGGAACCTTGGGATGTGAATAGGATGGTGATGCAGATCGGATGGGGTCGGATGGAATTTGCCTTTTGTGGATCTCTGGGGTCCTCAAAGGGGGCATTTGTTTGAAGGGTTGGGGCTTTCAGGCTTGGGGAACACCGCGAAGCAAAGGTGTCATAGGCCGAAACGGCGGCCGAAACGGCGGCCGAGGTCGTCTTGTCCAGCGATGAAGACTGTCATTGGCGCGGGCCTAGATGAACCCTGGGCAATCTGTCCACACAGAAGGGAATCAGTTGGTTCCTCACAAGACAAGGAACCATTGCGTCCCCACGCTTGTTACACCAAAAAGCCAGGAACCATGATGTTCCTCCAAAGCAAGGAACCATTTTGTTGCCACAACATGACCTACAAAAAACACAGTGGCACAAAGCCATAGGCTCCATCCCATTTCTGGTCCAGAGAAGCATCCCTCGATCCACCTGTGTGGCGTGTTCAGGAGCCATGAAGGTCCTTGGGGATCCAATTCGTGGTCGTGTCTCTTCTCTTGTTTTTCTTCTGATGTTGAATGGAAACTCACTTGGTGCCCAAAGCCAAATTTTCACCTTTCAAGGTGAACCTTTCATTTTTTGTAAATTGCTCGGTCCTTTGGGCTGAGGAAAGGATTCGCAGCCTGAGGTTCGAAAAGTTTGAAAGACTTCCGCCAGCTTGAGGCCTCAAGCTGCCGGAGTCCGGGATCCGGAAATGAGAAGCCAGACGCAGCCAACCCGCACTGGAATCAGCAAGCCTTGTTGAACCTCTGACACCTGCAACCTTCCCCCCCCCCCCCCCCCCCCCCGGGAAAAAAAAAGAGAAGAAAAAACATCTGCCAATTGGTTAAGCATATGTTTCACTTTCCCCTGTTGGTTTTAAAGGGAAACTATCACTACTGGAAACATGTTTATTTGTTCCAGGGGACTTAAGCAAATGGAGGAAAAGGTCAACGCCAGTCCAGATGGCCAAGCTGATGCAAAAACAAACTGAGACTGCGAGTGTGAGAGTCAGCTATGGACAAGTCTCACAAGAGCGAACATGCGCTTTGGATGGAGAAGATGCTACTTGGCTGGTTGACTGCTTGTCGCGGGCGTGGGTTAAACATACCTTTCGTGCAGAGCGCCCTTGCAATTCTGCTTGGGAGGGTCTCGGGCATTGCATTCTCGGGCATAGAACTCCGGCACAGTCTGTCTCTGACAGCTTTTTTGGACTCAAGGCATCAGGCACTTGCAAAAAGGCTTGGTGAGTAGCTTGGACGACCTCCAGACAAAACGTAGCTCGAAGCAGATTTTGTTGTTCTCCGAGAGAACTGCACGTCTTGCAAGCTGACTGAAGGTGTACTGACGTATGTTTGAGACTCGACATCCGCCCTCGAGAGCAACGCCCAAACCCCCCATTGGCCATTCTAGGCCCTTCCATTTGTTTTCATGGGGTTTAGAGGTGAGGCCTATAAAATAGCACCTTTGACCAACCAATCAATGGGTTAAAAGTGAGGCCTACAAAATGTGCGCCGTGTCTTTGGGGTCGCCAGCAAGCCGAATGAAGCGAGTCGGACACTTCGACATGAATCCCCGTCTCCTGTACACCTCACCATCCAAGAGGGGTTCCGTAGTTTTCGGGATGAAAGAAGGCGGAAATCAACTTGAGCAACCATACTGTGGATGGACGAAATCCTGCACCACTTGGAAATCATTGGAAGCCAGTGGTTGGTATTTGCAGGGGAATCATCAGAACCTGGGTTTCTTGGGTGGTGCGAAATGGATTTCGCGCCCATCCACAGTAGTGCTAAAAAGGTGATGATCCGGAGTCCGATTGCGTAGACTTGGACTGGCTTTAGCCTGGCTTATGCCCACAGGCGTGAGCGTAACCCTTTTTTCGGCTTGGACCGAAAGAAAGCGGAAGGCCATCTGCCCTTTGTCCAGTTTCTCAGAACGACCTTGGTTTTCTGTTGGCAATGAAACGGACCCAGCGCACATCATTGGTTGTGAATATTTATGTGACGTGTATCATGTTTTAGCACGGCTACACCTGGGGCCAATGTTGGCTCAAGTCCTATAGCTGTTACGCATACGTAGGCTAATCGCTCTTGCGCGGCAGAAACTGGCACTGAGTGCACAAGGACAACATATCAGCCGACCAAACCAAGCTGACTTGATGCCAGCTTACTCTATCAGGGTTACACTTGCAGTGAGCGGGACAAACAGCGGCCTGTGGGAATGCAATTTCAATTTCCCCTCGGTTCTCATGTTTTGTGTTCCCCCTGGCCGAGTTGGGGACTCTCAAATGCAACATGAAGCCAGGCTTCATATTTTGGCTCCCCCGAAAGAAGTGGCCACTGCAACCGCGCCTCTCATTGAGGGCAGCGTGTTTGAGAAATCTGGGCTGGGCTTTCTGAACCGCCTTTTTGAGCAGAGGCGTCAACGCTCACAAAGGAGGACCGTGCTTGACTGGCAGGGTGGGCTCTTTGCCTAGGATCCGGGGAGGTCTGGAGACGATGTGCCTGGAGCATTTGAAGGACGAAAGCATTCTCAAGAGCCACCCTCTGGAAGACATGACCCGGCACTTGCTGCGCTACGGCCCCGACCAGTGCCTGGCAATGCAAGGGACTGTGGCCACCCGGGCCTTCAGCGTTTGTCGTTAGTCGGTTTTTCTTCTTCTTCTTCTTCTTCTTCTTCTTCTTCTTGTTCTTCTTCTTTCTTCTTGCCCCAACCGCTGAAAGCTTCGGGGTCTCTGCATGCAGTGAGAAGGTTCGGAGTGGTCCGCGGCTGGGCCTATCTGTTCGAGGGGGAGACAGGCCGCTCGTTTCCATGGCCGCTGGATGTTCAAGGCACCTGCGCAAATCGGTTGCCCTCCGGGATAGTTGGCATCTTCACGTTTCAATGCGTGTAGCATTCCAAAGCACCGAGGCCAGTTCCTCCAAACGTTTCGCCACTATCAGCAACCCTTCGGTATTTTGGTTTTAGTTTTTGCAGGGTCCGCCAAAGCCTTTGACTCTCAAGAATTGCAGAAGCTCGAAGCACCGAAACACGAGCAACCTTTTGGGGTGCTTCCAGTCAGATGAGTGGACCATTCTAGCAACCGAGCAGTTCAGAAAGCAAAGCCATCTCCTGGTTTCCCCTTGGCAGTTTAAGTGACCGGAGGGGTAGGGGCTTGCGGGGGTCAGTTGACCGCCAGGAAAGGGGGCCTGGTTTCGGTAGAGAGTTTCATTTGGTATGTGTCAAAGTAAGTAGGCGGACCCAAAAAATAGTGGATCTCCTTTGCCAGCTGATTTAGAGGATTCCCTTGTAAAGCAGGCCAGGGGGTCTCTGGGGTTTCTGGATGTATCCTGAAGAACCCTGCTTTTTCGCTTCCTTTGGATTTCGCGTGTGAGATGGGGGTTGATCAAAAAATTCCCTGCGGCCCCCCAAAAAACCATTTGTAACGTTTCCATCTAGTGGCAAATATTGCGCTTTTTGAGTGGTCAATGGAACTCCCATGTATCGCGGCCCTTTTGATCAACCCCAGAGAAGTCCCCTGATGGGTAGGGACCCCGAGGCCCCTTTGATGAACCCCAGATTTTCAGTGGTCACCGAAACTCTCCAGGCCCTTTTGATCCACCCCATAAGCCTTATGGGTAACCCTCCCAGGTGCTCCGTAGCGGACTGCTGGAACATCTGGGGCTCCGCGGTGTTCTCCTACTCGGAGTACACCAGCGACTCGGACGACTCGGACGCCTCCGAGAAGCTTTTCTCCGTTTCGCGGTCGGATCTGTTTGCCGTGAGGGCAATTGTGGGATCTGCTTTCCTGGTGATTTATTTTTGTCCAAGGTAAAATCGGGATTTTGACACTCTCAAAACATTCGGGCCCCTTTTCTCCCAACTCCCCCCTGTGCAGGAAGCCTCCCCCTTTGCAGGAAGCCTCGTTGCTCCGATTGGCCGGATGATCCCGGGGTGGTCCGTTTTGGTTTCAGGTGCCAAAGTGCAAAACCATGCAAACCCCATGTGCCCAGGTTTTTGGAGCAGGGTGCGATCGTGGGGCAAATTGACAACCGCCCTATAGATTTTAGTAGTTGGTGCGTGCGTGCGTGCGTGCGTGCGTGCGTGCGTGCGTGCGTGGGTGGGTGGGTGGGTGGGTGGGTGGGTGGGTGGGTGGGTGGGTGGGTGGGTGGGTGGGTGGGTGGGTGGGTGGGTGGGTGGGTGTGTTTGTGTGTGTGTGTGTGTGTGGTTTGAGCCTTTTCAGGGCAATTAAACCATGTCCGAGCAATGAAACCAAAAGGGTGTGTAAACAGGGCGGCTAGTTTTCCCCGTGTTAGTTAAGTTCAGTTTGGAGCCAAGGTCAATGATTGATCTTTTCCTTTGACCCCCCCATCCCCGTTTGTGGAAGATGCATGGAGTTTGTGCTGCAACCGCATTCTTTAGCTTGCCTTTTTGATGGCCAACGAAAAATCGTTCAATGGCCTCTTGGACCCCGAAAAGCTTCCAGAGGTCACCTAGCATCAGCCAAGGGTCCCTGTGAGAATTTGGGCTTTTCACTGGATATGGCTATGGGTCAAAACCCCGGTGTTGTAGTGAACACCCAGAAAGCCTTCTAAAAGGAAAACAGTGGAGTGGTAACCATCCACAAACAGGCACCTTGAGTTTTGACCCACCACCATATCAGCAACATGAAAAAGTGGTGGTTTCTTTTTGGCTCACCTTTCCACTTCAACTGCTTGGTACCCCATGCTGGGAACGGATTGATTGCTTCCTTCGCCGAGTCGCCTTGTTCTTGCTGGTTCTCAGGGGGTTCTCAGCTTGGGCTTTCGGGAATGAAGCGGGTTTTGGGCATCCCATGCCAAGAAACCGCAAGTTGGATTGTTCTTGTCGAGGTTGTTCCCTGATTCCCATTAACATTTATAGCCGTGTAGCAGGTAAACCGGCATGTTGTTGCGCTTTGGTTTTATAGGGTAAACACTTTTTGATCACCCGCAAAATCAGGGAGCGGTTGCCATTTTCCTTGCGACCCTTGGATACCCACAAAACCAGGTTGGCATGGAAGCCACAAGGCAGCAACCCTCTACCCGTTTCGGGGCAGGTACGGGGCTGTCCGACGTGCCGGAGCACTTCCAGAGCTCCATGGATTGCCTGGCGAAGCACCTGATACGGCGCCTCCAGGACGTCAAATCGACCTTCTGATGTTCCGCCCAAACAAAACGTGGCTTGTCCGTCGCAAGGTTTTCCTTGGGTTGAAATGTTTCCCTTTGGGCTAACATTGAATTAATTTAAGTATTTTTCCTGTGGATTCCAGTTGCACCCTATAAACCCTTGTAAGTCGAGTTCACCATGTGGGTGTTTCTCAAAATTGGGGACGAAACCACCAGTTAGTCCTCTTGGTTTCGACCTTTCAAAGCATTCAGCTTCAAGGGCCCCCTAGCTTGAGACTAAGCTGAAGGCGTGGAAGGCGTGATCCGCCCGTTGCTCATCCGGCGAGGAGGCGACGCGGGGGCTCAAAGAAGCCGCGAACGCTTTCGTCCTCAGCCGCGAGACCGATGAAGACAGGGCAGAGAAGGAGAAAATTGACCCCCCGTCCACGAGTTTCTGTTGGTTTGTCTTTGGGTTAGGGAAGACAAGGAGAATCCCCCCCCCCCCCGCCGTCCCCAAACGGGTTGTTGCTTGTGACTTCGACGTTTGGGCCTGCAAAAACCGGCTGGTTCCCCCCCCCCTCCTGGCCCCGGTCCCCTGTCCCCAAACGAGTTTCTGTTGGCTTGTCTTTGGGTTAAGCAAGACGAGGAGCAAAACCCGGGTGGTTCTCTTTTTTGTGGCCCCCCCCCCCGCCCCGTCCCCAAACGGGTTTCTGTTGGTTTGTCTTCGGTGGTTTGGGCCTGGACAATTGTCCCTAGCCCCAGGCCACGCCCCCAAATGGCTGTCACATGGAGCCCCAGAATGCTCCATAGCCAGTGGTCACTTCACATGACCTAACAACTATTTCATTTTGCATGAGTTTGACTCCCACCCAGACAGGGGCTGCATGGATTTGTGTTTTTTGACATGTTCTAGACTCAAACATCCAGATGAGCCACAGTCAAAACTTGGGTAGATGAAGGTTAGTAAGGGACAATCCCAGCCATAAATAGTTCCACCACCGTATTTCCTTACATGGTTCTGGGTCAACCATTTTAATACCGGGTTTTGATTGTGACTCAGATCTGCCCGCTATCATCGCCTTCCAGGACCATCACATGCAGTTGGCCCAAGTTTCTGCAGAGCAGCTGCTCGAAGAGTCAAAGCTCAGCCACTGAGCTGCAGTTCCCCCGTGTCTCTTTGGCCTCCCTTGGCCTCCTGTTGGTCTCCCTATGTCTCTTTTGTTTTCCGTTTTTGTTGCAAGCTGGCCCGCCTTGTCTTGGGGACATCGGAAGGACTCGGGCAAGAAAGGCGCAATAATGGTTGGCGATTCAGGTTTTTGTCCCGTTGAAACGCCAAGGCGCAACGTTGTTTCACGCACGCTGGGGACTCACTAAGTTTCACAGAAACATCAGGGAACTCACTATGTTTGCCACCTGCAGTAGGTAACAGTAAGTTTGGACCGTGGCTCGGACTTGCTTTGGTACAACCTCCAACACCCTCCGCCATTCGAATTGGTTAGGCCCTTACAAGCTTGAGAAGATGGAAGTGACAGCCATGGAACCGGCCACGCCCAAAAAAGCGCGCCAGACCTTGGTCTGGGGCTTTGAGTTAGGGCGCTGGACTCTGCAAAACGACATTCCGATCTTTGTGGGTACACGGAGTAGTTGAGAGCCCTCAGGTTTGGGTTCCCTATAAGGTTCCCTAGGGCGGTTTGGAGAGCCTTAGGGACCCCCCCTCCCCCGACTCCCCGACTCCACAACCATCGGACAGACGAGGTGGGCCTCCGGAGTTCTGGCAGCTTCCTGAGGGCCGGCACAAGCAGATCTTGCTGGAGCTGGTGGTACTCGAGGAGAGAACTCAGACCTGGGGACCGCAGGTTTTAGTCCTTGGTTCCATTTACCACAGTTCCACTTCGGGCCCCTATTTTTGACCCACAGCATGGTAGGTGCTCCATATCTGTGGGTCAAAACCAATGGGATCCCATTTTGGGGGATAGGTGAACTCGCCACCCATTTTAGAACCTATTTTAGTGGGAATTGAATCGGATGGGGGTACAATTTGGATTTTGACCCATGGCCAAATGGCTTTTCGACCCATGGAGCCATTTCTTCCAACCCACAAAATGGTGCGGAGGCGCAAAGAAGGAGGTCTCTATGTTGATTTATTGGGGGTCCGTGTTGTAAATCTGTCTGCGTTGTTCCGCAATCCGGAGGAAAAACGACCACACAACCTATGTAGGTGCTGAACAATTGTTGTCCCGTACAGGTTGAATCATTGTAAGCATGGCAGAGCCATATTGACATTTTTTGCTCGACCTCCAGGCTTTTTTGGGGGGCATTTGAAGATGTTGGGAGGGACTTCGGGATGACGTTAGGTATACCAGCTTTCCAATGTTGACAGGGAGAGCCTTTCTCAAGTGTTCTGAAACCTATCCACTTCCATTGTTTGAATGAGGCTGCCAACTCAACCGAACCCAAATAGGGGGTCCAAGAATGGTCCCCAAAAGGAGATGATTCTGGAACTGGTGGTTTCTCAATTCGACGTGAATTGCAGAGTACCCACCTTTGGTTGCTCTCGTGCCTGGTAGGAGCATGTGAGGAGCTGCCACCAGATACGCGAGGTCGAAGCGCAGGACAGGGGGTTTTGGTTTAAACCCCGAATCTGGTTGTTCACCTCCATTGGACTTGTGTAGTTGTTGGGCCCAAACAAAGCAGCTCGGCGGTGTCATGGAGCCAGAAGCAAACAGCGCTCATGCGCAAGGATTGAACTGGGCCATGAACCGATCATGGTCCTCGTCCTGATCCTCATCATCAGTATCCTTATCATTCGCATCCTTTTCCTGCAGCCTAATCTCCATTCTCATCCTCCTCCTCCTCCTCCCCAGAAGCACCAGAGATAGCATCAGCCTTTAGGAAGCATCGCTGTTTCTGCTCTTGGGGGTCCTTACGACATCATCAGACAAGACAGACAAGAAACTGCCATAGGTGATATCAGGAATGAGCCATTGAGGCGCCTGGTTCCAAGCTATTTTTGAGTTCCTGTGTTCAATGACCATCTTCGCGACAAGGCCTACGCGTTGGAGGTGGGGAACAATTACCCTTTGTTTGAGAGTGTCCATCGTTGTTTCACTTGCAGCAGGAAGGATTCCTACCTCCTGAACTTCATGTCCGGTGATGAATCATTCATTGCTCGGCAATCGAGACGGGGCATGGTGTTGACTGGTAAACGATTGGTACTGTCCTGCAACGTTTCCGGAGCGACCGCGACTGATCCATGAATCTTAGTATTTTTCTTTATGTGAATCCGGTTGCCCCTTCATTTCCTTCCCAAAACCCGGTTGAAATCCCCGAAGGTACCTGGAAGATTTGTCCGATTGTCTCTTAGACGGACCGGTTCCCTGTCAGTGAAAGGCAGGGTACGGTACCCATCAGCCAGAGGGGCGGGCCCCTCACGTCTCACGTCAGGCAGAGGTGGCGGCGCAGGCGCTAGCGCAGCATCTTGCAGTTGCTAAGAAACCCTGGGAGGAGCCGCTGGGATTCAGAAATGGGTACGGGTCAAAATTAAACCACCCGGGTCTGGACCGCAGGTTTTAGTCCTTGGTTCCGTTTACCACAGTTCCATTTCGTGCACCTATTTTTGACCCACAGCATGGTAAGTGCTCCATATCTGTGGGTCAAAACCAATGGGATCCCATTTTGGGGGATAGGTGAACTCGCCACCCATTTTAGAACCTATTTTAGTGGTTGGATTGAGTCGGATGTTCACTGGTGGTACGATTTGGATTTTGACCCATGGCCAGATGGCTTTGTTGCCCAGTTCGAGCCGTGCTTTTGCAAGGTCACCCTGGAACCCAGACAATGGGTTGCAATAAAAGCTGCTTCCTGTTTCCCCAGCTGACAGCTTTTTGGGGGTCAAGTGCCCCGATAGGCTCTGGGGTGGGGCAACTTGGGGAGAGTTCCAGCTGAATGCTCCAACGCCAACCTGTGAAACGTCTCACTCGTCGGGTTAGGCGACTCAACGCTTGGGGAGGAATGGCTCAGCGCAAGCCTGGGCTTCGGAATCGGAAGCGGGACTTAGGGGTGTTGCTGTTCGGTCGGAACCTTTCGGGCTTGCGAAAGGTCAGTCTTTGAGGTCCCTGGCTTTTGAGGTTAGGCCACATGCCCTCCATGTTCCACTGTGAAGCACAGGGAGTTCGTGCATGAGCTTTCCACGCTCTCCAAAAAAGCAGTGCCAAGGATCGATGCCTCTACTGCCATGGGTGAGACTGGCTCCTTCCGGGACACAGGCGTGAGCCGTCGAGCATAGCACATGAGACAGGACATGACACTGTCGCCATTTGAAAAAAAGGCCCAAGGATTACACAAGCTGGCAAACACATGTGTAAATGATGGGCACCCCAAATGTTCAACTGCAAATCAACATACAAAAGACCATAAGACCAAAAGAACATATGGGACGCCATATAAATTCGACCATAAGACCATAAGACCATAAGACCACTCCCCAAATGGAGTCCGAATTGTCCAAACTTAAAGACCCGCCCCGTGGAAATTCACGAGGCAAGCACCCCCGCTGGAAGCCGCCGACTCGTTGGCCGACCGCTCGTTGCAGGCTTCACCACCTGGTCCACCGGATTTCGGTCGAACAGCCCGGAGGTCGCTTCAGAGACAAAGGCGCCGCGATGTGCAAAGACACGAAACTCGGAACTGGGGAGGGAGACCCAAGCCTTGGTCGTTTTAGGATTGCCACCCGCTTTTGTTTGTTTTGGAACCACCCAGTGTTGATCTTTGTATTTCCTTGTGGTAAAAGAGGACTCCAAAAGACCAGGTTGGGTCAGAAAGAAGGTCCGAAGGTGACTGGAGACCGCAGGGCAAGGATCACCCAGACACACTTCCTCTTTTGTCAGGATTCATTTCAACGCCCGGGGTTTGTAGGACATTGTGGGACTGGATAAGAATAAAGGAAACTGCATGTGGCCACCGAACCACTGGGCAGGGAAGGCTGGACACAGGCGGGTTTTGCTTGTGCTTATATAGACATTTGAGCAGGTCGAGTCATCAGCAGGTTGAGTCACACGTATTTTGTCCCATATGAACAACATATTTCTATTGGATCATGTTGAAGGTGACGCTCGCCGTAGCACCAATCACGCGCTACGCGAATCATTTGTCCACCACTTCGTTACTTCAGCCCGCCCAGTTTGTGCCATCAAAGCAGGTCCGCTGTTCTTTTGTGGGCGCAAGGTACTTATATAGTAAGTGATGTGTAAATATGCTTCAATACACCTGGAATGTGAATGGGTCATTCCTGTTTGGCACAGTTTCCGAGTGATGTTTATACCCACAGAACAAGGACTTACAACCATAGCTTTGCTGGATTGCATCTTATTTTTCATTATCATAATTGTTCTAATTGGTTTACATTTTGCACTCCAAAGGTAGAGTCAAAACGACCCACTTGGGTCAGGATGCGCCCAAACGAACGAGATCCTGAGGCCAGCCCGGACATGCTGGCCACGGTCTTGGCGGAGCACGGGTCAATGTCGGGCGCCTGCCAGGAGGACAAACGACCGCCGTTTTGGAGTTGGTGCAAACGGTTGTTGGGTGCTTTTTGTTTAAGAGAGACCACCAGGAACCAGGGGTCTCCAAAAGGATCTTGTGTCTCAGGGACTAAAATTTAGAACATCCTGGTTCAAAGGCACTTGCCGCTCAATTTTCCCTGGCAAGAGTGGAACATCGGATTGGCCAACGCTTCGAATTTGAAGAGCGCAACAGCTGAATAATCTCATTTGTTGGATACCCTTAGCTTTCAAACAGCCGTTTATAAAATAGGGCGACAGTGAAGACATGAACCTCTCTCTTGTTTTGTGTCAGTCTCCAAACATGTTGCGGTTTTACACACATTTGATAACATCAACCAACTGGAAACCACAATTGGAACGTGGCGCATGCAACATGGCGAGTTGGTTGTTTTTGATTATGCACACCTTATAATGAAGACGCAGCACGTTTAGATATATTTATGGTGAACGTTTCCCACTCAAGTGTGGTGGGTGGGTGGGTAAGCCCCGTAGCCATTGTGGCTCAAGCTTTTGGGATAAAGCGCAGCCGCTGGATGGCCAGCGGCCAGCTCCACAGCTTCAGCTTCGCGGACTTGGACGAGGTGCCCAGCTCGAGCTGCGTGAGCGCGGATCTTGCGGACGGCGTGCACGGTGAAGTAATTTGACTGCGATCGCGCTGTCGCTTCCTTTCCATTTGGGCTGTCCCTGGTCTCGCCATCGTTTGTCCGTAGCCATGGGTATTGCGACAAATCGATCTTCAAGAGCGCGACGAAGTCATTGCTCTTTTTCTGCTGTGGTGCTGGAGCCAGGTCCGTATTACAAAACTTCGGCGTGACCTGTTCCAATTCTTCAAGTGTTTTGCCTTGACCCCTAGCGCGGGGCAGCTTGCTCGCGCCCGTTCTTCGCGCTTTCGGAGGTGTCCAAAGCCGCGCGGGCTCCCTGCTCCTGGCCGGGGGTTCCAACTCCTGTGTTCTCGGTGACTGGGACAAGTTGCACGGGACTTTCTGCATCATATTCTTTGCATTTGCAACACGCTTGGAACTGCAACGGAATACAAACCATGAAGACGCCATGGGGTTTTGCTCTCAACGCGCCATGGGGAGTTTGCAAAGGTGAAGAACAGCTTCCATGTTTGAAGTCAAGGGATGAAAGCTGTGCTGGGAGCGCAGAGTGAGAAATTGCTCGAACAGAGGTCACCCGCGACTTCATGGCTTTGTTAGGCCCCAAAGCTAGACATCGCGCGCAACTTTGGTGAGGTTTGTGAAGCATTGGGCAAGATCTGCTGGCCTCTGCCCAGTGTACGACTGGCTGAAGTCTCGGGATTTTTCGGCTACTTTTCCACGATCCTTTGAAGGGTGTGGCGCGCTGGGAGACGATTTTGAAAGAGGTTGCTAAGCTGTGGGCCCAAGCAGCGCCAGTTCAATGTCAGCCTTGCCAAGCTGCTTAGCCCGAGGTTGCAGACACAAAGCACCTGATCAATGAAGCGTGTCCAGACAACTTGGACAGCCTGCTGGCAAACGCGCAGGGCACGGCGCCCGAGACCTTTGCTGCATGCGTGTGATTATGGAGGGGGCGAAGGAGGTCAAACTTGCCATGCGGCGGCAAGTGCGAACGGCCGGAAGGGGGGTTACATGCAGGCTGTAGGCACCACAGGCGTCTACAGGTCGAAGTTCGTAGGCCATACAGGTTCATAGATTCATGAGTTTGCAACACGAGGAAGCTACATCATTTTCATTGGGGTGGCCTCTCTCTGGGGCAAGCTGGAGGAGGAGCATCTGGACGTGGATGACGTTGTGACCCGTGTGCTCAGGCAAGAGCCATTTGCGGCGACGCAGGTCTCTACACCAGAAAACTGGAGGAGGATGTGGAGGAGGACCTCTCTTGACTGTTGGGAATCTTGCCTGGCCTGGAGCTCCTGCACTTGTGCCATGAGGATTACGCTGACACCATGTTTCTCCTCAAGGTCCTCTCGAGAGTCAAGGGGAGTCGCCGGAACTTCGAGGAGGCTTTCTTCCACCTGCAGGGCCTGACCAGAACGGCAAGGGCGCCCTGAACATGGTGCTGCGCTGCTTCTGCGGCCACTATCATTGCGAGCCCCAGCCGGAGACCTTCACCAGCTTCGGGGGACCCCAGCGGCTGCTCGCCAAACATCCTGCAGCTGAAGGGCAGGCGATCGCTCTTTGTTAACGAGGTCGAGGCAGGCGTCAAGCTCCGCTCCGGCATGCTCAAGGACCTGCGGGGCCAGACTGCCTGCATCGAGGCCAGGGGCCTCTACCGGGACCCCATCAGGTTCAAGCCGCAGTTCATTTGCAACATTAGTGCGAACGAGGCATTCGAGTTTCGGACCATCGATGGGGGGATGCGCCGATCCTTCACAAGCATCCCATGGCCGCTGAAACTCGTCGCCCGTCTCGGCATCAAAACTTCCCACTACATGCTAAAGTTTGTCGCGCCTTCGTTGGAGATCATCTTCCCTACCATTGACAGGATCGCGTTCAGTGGCTACACCCAAACGCTGGTAGAGCCGAGGCCCCACTCCATCATCGAGTGCTTGCAAGAGCTGGACATGAAAACCTTCTTGGAGGCGCAGTTACAAGGTAGCGTCTGCGGAGTCACAACGCAGGGCTCCGTTCGGAGCTAGATCCGGCAGCAGGTGCTAAGGACATGAAACTTGGGCCGAGAGTTCTCGAGCGGATGTGGGAGAGGCTCCTGACAGTGGGAGGCAGGCGGATCTTTTCTCTTGTCGGCCAAGATGGCATGTATGTCTGCAGGTGCCCCTTTAAATTCGATGTAAAGGAATAGCCTTGGTCAGATGCAGTTCTTGGTTTTGCGCTGCGGCAGCTCGGACAGTTTGTCAGCGTCCACGATTTCGATGTTCACTGGTGTCTTCTTTGGTCAGGGGATGAGTTCCAATGTTGACGAAAATGTTCACCTTAACACTGGGGAGCGACACAATTGCGCAGCCTATGTTGCCACTCATGTGCGACCACAGCGCACATGTCGCTGAGGCTGAGCGCTATCCAGAGGTTTTGGTTTTGGGTCCACGATAATTCCACAACCAGCCCCTATAGCGCATTTGGGTGTGTCGCTGCTGTGCATTTGTGGTGTTAAATTAAAAGGAAACCAAGAGGAAAACCACCGTGTTGGGCGGCTTGGGAGTTCCTCTGCATACAGACAAACTGTGGAAAAAGCGCCTTTCACGACACCACAAGACACCACTGTATGTGGAAAAGCCGCTTTTGAATGACCTAATGCTTGTGGACAAATCGCTCTGGACCTAGGCATCCTTTGTGGAAAACATGCCTCTAAACTTAGCCTCCTCCACTTCAATCAGGTATGTGGTGAGCCAGTTCTTTCTTGAGACGTGTCGGGCTACAGGTCGGAATCTGCTAGGATTCGTGTTTTGATGGTTTCCCCCATTGCAAGCGGCTTTGGGTCTGTTCATTTTATAAAGGATTCGATCACAGCGATTACAAGCTCACCGAGTTGAACTGGACTTGACAGTTTCTTGCAAAGGAATCACTCGCGCCGAGAACTGAAATAATTTGTTTTATTTTCCTTCCACGCCAAGGCGTGGGATTTACATCCAAATGTGGATGCACGCTCGTAACCAGGTGTCTGGTGCAAGAAAGAAATGTTTCGTTTTGCGTGGATCGTTCTCTTTTCATGTACGGATTTGCCGAGCACGCGTGGCAGTTGTGAACGTGACCTGCTTAGGGCGTCGCCCAATGCGCCGTCCATTTGTTTGCTTCCATAATATGTGTGCGTGTGTGTCCGTGTGCGACATTTCGGCATCTGAGACAGATGCGAGTTTAAGAATGCAATGTTTAACCTGCTGCCCAAGACACAAACCATTGAGGCATTGGTTTGGCTCAAGTTACGTCGTCGTCAGTATGCATGAAACACCTTTTTTTAATGCACTGGTACGGATGCGAGCTCAATGTTGCAAGGGGAGGAAGTTGGACCTCCAAGTATTTTCCTGTACTGTCAACCAGGGTTTTCGTGGTGTGTGGCTGGTTTGCTCCAGCAAACTGCCTCCGGGGCATCCACCTCAGGAGCTGGAGGAGTTTCTGGCCGACTTCCACGAGCGCCGCAGACGGGCGGACAACCACATCGGCCTGCTCTCGGTGATGCGCCACGGCCAGATACGGTGTGTTGCCAGCAAAATAGTTGTTTGAATCGGCAAGGAAAGTGCTTGGTGAAGCAAGAAGCACCAAAGCCATGGTGGTAGGTGGTAAGTATAGGTGGGCTACGCATGGCTAGGCCATTTGCTAAGTACCTTCCCCTTCAAGTCTTGTCCCCAGTTGGAAGGGCTCCCGCGGGGGTTAGTTGCCAGGGGTGAGGGGTTCTAGCCACTAAGCTGCTTTCTGGACCATAATTTGAAGTAGGGCTGGGAGGGCTCTCCTTACTGCAAGCGCCGTAATCCACAGCATGCATGCTGCACCGGGTTGTTTGTTTTTGTTGGGGGGGAGGGTCACAGGGAACAGAGATGAACCTGAAATTCAGCAGACAATTTAGAACCTCTCGGTTCCCACCTGCAAAATGAATGTTCCTGTCGTGGATGGCGTCGGAAGCAAGACCAGAAGTACGCTAATCGTTTCGAAATTGGGGCATGTCCCAAAGAGATTTTGCAGAAGGGAAACCTGCCCCGTTCAGAGTCTGGCCTTGGGCTCCTTAGGAAATCCTGGCAAGCATCTAGCCATACCAGTCAAACCCAAATATTCAGTCCTCTGAACAAAAGACTGATCGCGATGAGGTCTTTTTCTCCCATCCCAGGGTCCGGGTGCAGAAAATCAGCCCGAAGCGGTGGTTTGCGGGTCCTCCGGAATTTCTGCGGACAAGTGTGAAGACGCGGTTGGGATCGTTTTGGGCCTTTCTTCACCATCTACCAACTGTTAAGTATTGCCGATGCTCAACACCTTGCGCTGCCCAAAAAGCAGGCGTTGAGTGCTCGGTGATCGAATGGTCTAAGTCTAAGTGCACCTTTTTCTCTTCATCACTTGTCACCGCTCTTTATTGTGTTCAGATGTAAGACGACAACCAAAAGAGAGAAGACAAGTGACTAAGTGGATTGTTTCCAGATTGCCTCCCGTTGTAAGGGATTCAATGGACGGGAGAAGCCCGTCATTTTCCAGCTGTTTTCATCTCTGAATTGGCTGGTGAGTGACAGAAAAGGCACATTCTCTCCGTCATTCCTCAGTTCTAATCCGACCTTTTCACCTTGGCCCCTTTTTTGCGACCCCGAAAGGCTAGCTTTGATGCTTGAGGGCAGTTCTCGAGCCCGGTCGGGCAGGTTTAGGGGTATCTTGGCACATCCCCACAGTCCAAGGGATGTGGTTCAGCCCTTCAGTCGGGTCGCCCTTTTGGTTTCGGATCAACGGGCCGCACTTTTGCGGGGCTCCCCAACTTTGGAGACATATTACGGAACCAGACGGGAGAAAACGCCCGCAGTTTTTGGGTTTCCCCAACTGTGCGATACGCCAAAGTGCTGGCCGGCGCTCGGCGCTTCTTCTTCATAACGGAAACCAACCGAGAAAACGTCCGCTCTCTGTGGAGTTCCGGATTTCACCAACTGTGCGAGACACACCCACGTGTTGGCGGGTATTATGTTTTTTTGGTTTATATTATTACTGTTGTTATTATGATGATGATTATTATTATTATTATTTTCCAGACACACCAAAGTGTGTTTTTATATGTGTATATATATAATTATTATTATTTTCTTCCGGTCGGTCTTTCGTCTCAGGCGGAAGATCAGCGCCTTCCGCCACGACTAGCGCGAGATCCGAATCGCCTCGCGCTTCGCCGCGTGCCGCGGCGTGGCGGAGTGGATCTGCCGACTTTTGGAGGGCAACGCGTTAGTCGTTGATGCGGGGGGGAAAGCGAGCTCACCATGACAGGGCTCCTTAAAAGATCTCCATGTTGCAACCATTTGAAACATGAATTGCTTTTGCCACCCAAATAAAGGGAACCCGCCATTGAGAAGTTGCAATGTTCAGGTGTTTCTATTGTAAGGATCCGTGCGTGAGAAAGGTGCTTCACCTGGGGATCTCTGATTTCAGGTCTTGGAATTATCTCGTAATTTTGGCGGTAGTTGTTGTTCATGTTTGCGAGCCTAGCACGAGGTCACCCTTTATGTGGGGATCCCTGCATGCTGGTTTTGGAGTTATAGAATGTCCAGCGCAAGTGGTCGTTCCTTGGTGCTTCCCAGCCATCCGGTTCCTTAGCTTTTTTTAGACTTGTAGTGTTTAGTGGTTGGATTTCCATTGAACCCCACAAGCTAAACTTTTAGCGGGGGATCTGAAAACAGCCCAGGTTCCTTTGGTGCCGAAGTCGTTTATGCCATTCCGGTCTGGTGGTTCGGATCTGTGCGAGATCGCGCCACAGAAGTGGCTGTTTAAGCTCTTAGCTTCCGGATGCGTTTTGCCACTTTGGGTTATTTGGGTGTGGCTCAAAATTAAACAGGAGCGGCAAACCGCAGGGTGTGGTCCATGTTTCCACTTACCAGGGTTCCATATTGGTGCCGGTGTTTTGAGCCACAGCCATTTGAGGCTGCTGCTTGTGAGCAACAATCAATTAGCACACCAATTTGTAGGACATCTCCAATGTTGTGCTCTGGGGTATGCTAACTGATTGTTACTCAAGAAGCGTGCGCTTGCTCGGCGAAGCCGAGCCGCAATTGCTGGATGTGCAGGGAGTTGCGTCTGTAGATGCCGCCCTGCACAGTGCCGACCTGTAGAGCTCATCTTATTACCCTCCGGAAAGATGCTCACTTGGAGATTCCTTTCGGAAGTCCAGCTTTGGTATCACAGATGTCGGGTTCTCTCTCACACCGCTTAAAGGACACAGAACTAAATTTCGAAGGAAGCGGGTGCATCTTTCTGGTGGAGTGGGTGCAAAGCTGCACATGTGTTCAGCGGTGCCAGGACAAAACATCTCCGGGACTTGATTCAAACGCCGGCTCTGCACGGTAAGTCACTGTAGGATGTTGTTTATGCAATGCATTGGACGCTTCCACGGTTTCTTGGTTGGATACTTCGTTGGAGGTTGATTGCTCTGTGGTTGTGCGCCATTCTTGGTTGCGGTCATCAGCCTCAAATTATTTTGGGAGTTGTTGTATGTTATCAAGCAGGACAACCTGAGCTTGCTCGGGCAGGTTTTAGTCCACATGAAAACGATGGGTTGTTTCCCTGCGCAACTTGTTGCCTGCTTTGGAGTTCCGCTTCGGACAGGTCATTTACCGTGGCACAGACTCAGACAAAATTGCATGGATTCAAGTAATTCCGGTGTGTGTGCGTGTGTTACATCAGGGGACCCCAATCATGGTTGTTGTTGGGAAACATTTTATATTTTTGCTCATTGTGGTTTAGTGGCAAATCCTCACTTAACTGCTATTTTTCCTTCTCCCCTTCCAACGTCAACCAAGCAACGGTCCTCATGACCGCTCAGTCAACATTTTTTTCGGTGAAAATAAAGAGCCAGCACAAAGCTCGCCAGTGGTGGCCTCGGCACAAGAGGGTCCCTTAAATCAGGGGACCCCAAAGGCAGGGGCCAAAGGTGGCGTTCTCTTTGCTTGGTGGCTCCCAGTGTTTGGTGGAGTTTCCATTTAACCCACTAAAAGTTAAACTTTTAGCGGATCTGAGGGCAGCCCCGTTTTGTTTCCTTTTTCGCAATGCGGTGAGACGATCCGGCCGAGGTGTGTCTTTGGCGGTGCTGGCCGCAGCTGACCAGGCGACTCGCGCAGCATCCTAGAACCGAGTTGGTAGATCCATTTGGGGATGAGACTCAAATAGGACCCCCCCCAAAAGAAAAAAGACAACGCAAAGAATGGTGGTGGTTCCTTTGATTCCACAACAGGGTATTCTCTAAAACACAAGTCAACACTGCAACACCCATTTCGGGCTCACCCATTCTTAGTTCTCGTGGAAACCTCATCCAAAAGGCGGTCACCAATACAATGCAGGCGGCAGCACCGGCGCCGATGCCTGATGCGGGCAGCTGAGTGCGAAGGGAACCGAAAATCCGGGTGGCCCCTCGAAGTTGCCACATACCTCCTATGGGATATGCAGATAAGGGGGTTTGGATGTATAGAAAAAGAGAATCAGGGGCCCATAATGCCACATCTGTCAAAGCTGGCGGCATTTGCTTTGGACATAGTTAACAAAAAGGGTTTGTCGTTTTGAGGGAATCCGCAAAAGTGGTTTCCATTTGGTTTTGCCCTGGGGTTCAACCCCCATTAAAGCAAAGGTTGACCCAATGTAGATGACAATCCTTAGGTAAAAACACCAGGTTTAAAAACATGGTGGTTCTATAAACCCCCATTGTAGATGATGACAATCCTTAGGTAAATAATGGTGGTTCTATAAACTCCCATTGTTTTGATGGTTTGAACCCCAACATTTTGGGCATCCGGCCATGAGGTCACCATGGGCCAGGCGCAGCTCGCAAAGCAGATGGGCGACTACTACAGGTGCCGCGTGCCGCGTTTTCCCCCCCCCCACCCCCCGAAACCGCGCACGGACGTGTCATTGGGCAAAGAGGCGGACATGTTTTGCTTGAGCTGGTAGAAGGATGCATTGAAGCATGCGAATGTGTGTGTGTGTGTGTGTGTGTGTGTGTGTGTGTGTGTGTGTGTGTGTGTGTGTGTGTGTGTGTTTTTGTGTGTATGATTCTATCTGTTGCTGCACTTTGTCAGTATAGCAAAACCAACACAGGACGTAGATCATACGATGCGCATTTGTTCGTGACGACTGTAGTTGATGTTCCAAGTGGTCGCAAGTTCAAATGGATGTGTGAGACAGGGAAGAATGCAAAGGGAATTGGAAAAAACAGGAACATGAAAGACAAGTTTCTAGAGCATACACTCTTTCAGGTTGCAAGTTGGGTGAGAGGCAGCATGTTTTCAGAAAGCCAACAACAACAAAGTAGCATTTGAGCTCGCAACTGCTACCTGCCGGTCGTGCGATACTGCGTGTCCAGCACACGCAAGGAACGTGATCCCAAACAGGCGTCACTTGACGGGCACCCGGTTGTACGGCGGCATTTGGGGTCTATTTTGGCAACCACCTTTGGGGTATTTGCGTTTAAGGCTTGCAGTCTGAAATAAATCGCATTTGTTCGCTTCCATGGCTTGTTTACCCCTTTCTGTTTGCTTCTCAATTGCCAGAGTCCAACAGAGCAACCCAAACTTTGACTTTTTCTTGGGTGACCAAAATCAGATACTGGCGTCGTTTCTACTTTACTTACTTACCTATTTCTTCGGGTGTGAATCAAGGGGCCCAGCGCATCCAACCGCGCTGCATTCGCCAGGTCCATCTACGCAGCGCCCGCGCAGCCGGCGGATTGTTCCCGCGGGTTTGCTTGGTGAGTTGGATGTCAAAAAACCTTTTCTTGAAAGGTCGTATTCGTCATTTAGGGCGCGCCGTTTCGCATGGACACGCCACTATAGGAAGAGTGGGTACCAAGAATCAGTGGTTGGGATTGGTGAAGTTGAACGGAAGGTAGGGTGCCATCGCTCCAAACCACCCATCAAAACCAGCAATCACCAGCATTGGTTCATTTGGCCAAAGAAGAGTATTTGAATGTCCATGTTAAGCTGGTGCTTCTGGTTTCCTATTCTACGGTAGTACAGTCACTTTTGATAGTTGACCGTTGGTTCGCCAAGAGTCACACTTGTTTCAGCCAGTCCACTCAAGAAACCCTGGAAGCACTGGGAGGGTGGGTTCGGCTGCTATTTGGCGTTTCCACAGATAGGGGGGGGGGGCTGGTAATCTTGAACTGGAAGCCAGAAGGCAGACAACCACTTTGGGTGGTCCCACCCAAGTTGTGTTGGTCTGGTTGGACGCCACAAGTATTGTCACAACACAATAACGAAGAAGGGCGATTGTGGCCGGGCCCAGACTGGAAGCACGGGCCAAGGTGTGAGAGATGTGTTTTCCTTCCCAGCCAGCTGGCTATAGGCAGCTGCTCCGTGTTGTCTTCATCCGTCATGACGTGCCCTTCAGCCAAGTAAGGAGCCACTGGGCAAAGCTGGCGCGTTTGGTCACAGAGCCAGATCTCCCACCAGATGCTTTGAGGAGGAGGAGGTGAGGAGCACGGGCGGGCCTACAACTCTGAATGAGTAGGCGGGTCTTCTTGCAGTGGACAACAACGACTTCCAGCTGGAAGGCTTTCAGCAAGCTCGTGCACTTGTTCAAAGTGCCTTTCATCATCCACCATCCAGCCACCCACCCACCCATCCACCCATCCATCCACCATCCATCCCAAACCCTAAACCCTAAACCCTAAAACCCCCAAACCCTAAACCCTAAAAATCCTAAACCCTAAACCCATTTCAATTAAGCAACGGGCCCAAACACCAACCCCAACAACAGCATGCAATTCAGGACATTTGGATGTTTCCGCCAGCAGGCGACTCCTTTCAAAGGAAGCCACATGGGAAGCCCACTTTGACTTGTCCCCCCCTGCTTTGCACACGCCCCATTTGGGTATGTGTCTTAACATAGGGAACCCCATTTCAATGGGTGGTTTCCCTCTATTGTCCCTTTATAAGCCGACCACCCACCTAAACAACGCTGCCCCCCGACAAAAAAGAGAACGAAAGCAGAAACGAAGGCACACCCAGTGGTTCCGACCCGAACATGGATTTCTAGCATTTCTAAACGGTTTCCCAAACCGACCCCCCGGCCCCCTTTCAATCGCCCCCTGCCAGGGCATGGGCGGCGCGGGAGCCGCCATGCCGGCCGGAGCTTCGGCTGCTCAGTCGACTCAGGCGCGAAGAGGAACATGGGAAGCGCAGCTAATGTGGACCTAATCTACCCACCAGTTTATGAATAGGGTGCTTGTCCCTGGCGCCCTTTCTTCCTTTTTTTCTGGGAAGGGTTCCCCTTTGAATTCAACCAACCAAAAAGAATGCCCTTTTTTCCCAGGGCCACTGGGCAGCTGAGGACTTTTAAAGGGTTTGTTGAACAGGTGGTAACATTCCAAGCAATTGTTTGTCCAGACCCTTCGAAATGGAAAGTCGTCTTAGGGATGCACCTTGACCCTCAGACTGCCCCAAACAGATGGATATTTTTTTACTTGGGGTGATGTGCCTTCTGAGGGTCCAGGCACTTCCATACTACTGTGGAGTCTTCAGAACCAGAAGTTCTGCGGAATGTAGGGAAGGACGGGACGCGCAGCTTGGGCCTGCAGGGAAAATAGGATGAACTGACCATCATGCCTATGTCTCAAGCAGACGGGAACTGAAAAATGCGTGTTCCCCCGCTGGTTCCCTTTATGCCAACAAGGGTTATATACTGTACTTTGAAAAGGATAGGATGAAAGGTCCGAACATGGGCACGGGCACGAGAAGAGAGAAGCTAGGAGCCAAGGCCAAGGAAGACAAAGGCTGGGATCTACTTGGAGGGCGCTGAGATGTTCAGTTTTGTGCTAGGTTCAATTTGTCGACCACGAGGTGTTTTCCAAAGTGGAGACCCACAGATTGGCAAGAACCGGCCAAGGTCAATTGTAGCCTGTGGATTCCGCCGTAGGCAAAGGGCAAACCGCCAAAGGGTTGCCAAGTGTGTTTTTTTGTTGGCCTTGCAGGATGGACTCCAGAGTTGCCTGTTCTTATGGTTTCTGGAAGGGATCACCAGAAGGGCCCAGAGCCAACTCAACCAATGCACGCCCAAAGCACCCCAAGCAGCCAGGGGTATGCTCCCCAAAACGAAAAAATGCGAGAAACACGCCCCGTAAAGCCAGGGACCACTCTCAGGATGGGGGCGTTTATTTTAGGATTCCCCAAAAATCCGGAGAAACCAAATCCCCAAAACATCCGCACCCAAACTCTCAGGTAAAAGTCCTGGTAAAATAAATGCCATCCCCTCCACGAAGCAGGGAGAGGACATCTTTCTCAAGTGCCAAGTCTGTTTTGTTTGCATTGTATGACATGTTCCCTCAGAATTTGGTTCCCTCAGATTTTATGACATTTTGGGACGCTTTAGGACACAACTCAGATTTTTGTTTTCTCCCTCAGAACCTTTGACATCACATGTATCCCTCCTTTTGGAAACGAAGAGTCGATTTTGCAACCACCTTCTTCCAGGACCGCCAGCGGCTATCACTTAAGTGGTCAGCCATTTGGGCGCCAGTATTTAGGGGGGGTTAGTGTTGCAAACTAGTCTCTAAGCGTCCATTGTCCCCGCGGGGCCCATGCTACGGGGGGCCATGCTGTGCGTGTCATTTATGTTATGAAAGGGACACGCCAAAGCTTCTGTGGTATGAAAAGCATCATGGTTGTAGATGCAGCAGGTTCACTTGCTCCTTGTGTCACCTGGACGGCCTCCAAACATGCAGAATGACATTCCCCGAGAGCAAAACCCTCCAAGATATTGTGGCTTGGGTTCCTCGTGAATTTGCAGCAGATCCTTCACATCCGCCCATCAAAATGTGTTTTACCACCACAAACCGGTAAAGTAGGGTTGTTCATCCGAAAACGGAGGCGTTCACTCCTTAGCTTCTGGGGGGTCCGCCACCAGCGTTTAGGGTGCTGCCTCCATGCCCGCCCAGCCGGCGGTGGGTGGCATGCCAGGACCTCACAGACTCGGACAAAAACACGCGATTCAATGCCCCAACCAAAAAAAGTCTGGAGTTTCTTCGGGTAACACGGGAGCCTGCGAGAGTCAAGCAAGAATGCCGAGACCAAGTTTTCAACACGGGCTAAAAAGCGAGCTTTGCTCAAGGATCTGCAGCGGCACTTCCAAAACCCGATTAACATGTACAGCGTCCGCGTCGGACCGCTAGCTATACCCCTTCTGTAAGATGCAGTTGTGAATATGGCTAAATCATTGCCAACACTTCACTACGTTCATGGCTCAATTCGACTTTGAGGTACCCCATCCCATTGCAGAAGCTACGTCTCTACTTCAAAATGGGCCAGAGGATGGCGCTTGACGATGTTGTCATACCCAAAAACCCCTGTTTCCCATACGTAGGCATTCTAGGTTTCTAAGCATGTTCTGAACCAGCATGGAAGAGCACGGGGTGTTTGAAGAGGACATTCTTACCCTTACAGCCTGAGGACCGGGATAACTACAAGACCCGACTTGAATGCCAAAGCAGATGTTGGGACCAAGCGTAGCGAAATATCAGATGTTTAAACCTGCGTAGGGTCTGCCGGAATTTGTTTTGGGGGGGCACCCTTTGGAGGTTCGAAGGTCCCTGCATCTTGAGACAGACCTCTCAGTTAAGAATTCCAAGCTGCCAGGGGTTGGCACAACAAGACTTCAGGGGAACGAACCTTGGGGAAAGCTGGAGCTTTAGTTGCCAGACCCTAGCCCTCCAGGCGTTGTTTCTTTGCGCCGCCCAGGCAAGGCAGAACAGCTTTGTTAAGTCCGAGGGATGCGAAGGATGATCAACTGGGCCAGCTCAGAGAGATCCCGGTCTCTACCACTATGGGTGTGTGGTTTTTTAGGGGTACCCCTCTTTGGGTTGGCTTGAAAGGGAAACTCCATGTAACACACATTCTGGGCCATTTGGAGTTTTTTCATTTTGAGATACACACGAAATAGATGCTTGGGCTTCATCCACGAGGAATTCCTTTTGACTCCCCTTCGGTTGCTTTTGGGGAGTGCCCTCTACCCATTCGTTATCCACATGTTTTTCTTTTTGGTTTTTTTTTTTTTTGCGACAGCGTCTGTCTTCTTTGCTTGTGGGTTCGTTTTCAGGAGACGCCAAGTCGACATGAGCCATTTTTGAGGATTCCACCAGTTGGCTGCTAAGTAGCCCATATGCCTGAAACATTTCCCAAACCACGAGGATGGGCATGTTCGATCCGCACCCTTGGCCCCCAGTTTCGGAACAAGCCCCTTGTCATACGATCGAACGGTGAGGTATGGCTCCTATGCTCCCATGGGTGCGCAGGTTGGACAGGCGGGCTGGGCGGCAAGTCGATCCCAGGCAAGCCCCAGAGGTCGTGTTTTCCTCAACGGACCGTGCGCCGCGAGTGTTTTGACAGGTCGTGTTTCCAACCAAACACATAGTGGTTGTTGGCAAACATTTTGCATATTTTTGCTCATTGTGGTGTAGTGGTTGAAATCCCCACTTAACTGCCATTTGTTTTTTGCTCCCCTTCCAACGTCGACCAAGAACAGGGGTCCTATATAATTTGCTGGTCGCCTGCAGGTGACCAGCCATTTTCCTTTAAAGGGTGACCAACACCCCGTTGAAAGGATCCACCAGGCTGGTTGGTGCGCTGGGCGGGTGGGCGGGTGGCTGGGCGGGTGGGCGGGTAGGTGGGCGGTGGGCGGGTGGCTGGGCGGGATTCAGTTTTTGTTCTTTTTCTTTTTTAACGCAGGAGTGTCGGGAGGAGGGGCAAAAGGGAGGACTTGGAGAAGGCTGTTCTTTGAGACTACGCCTTCAGTTTATGAAGCACGACTGGTTGAAAGCGGTTGGCTTGTTATGAGATGCAATGCGGCGCTTGGTTTGCCGTCGAGCCTTTCGTCCCCCGGCTATCAACGAGCAAACCAGAAGACGGATGTTTTCAGATTCATATTTGCATTTTACTGTTTTCTTGCAGCATCCACTTCAAGATACTGCATTTCAGAAGAAAGGTTTGGATGACTCCAAGGTTGCTATGGCTGGGTGTTTTTGATTCGGGTACCCTTGTACCCCTTCTGGGGTTGGCTGAAGGGGGATTCAAAGGGAAACCCATCCTGAGGCCACCTGTTCCCCATTTGGAGGCATAGCCAGGTTGCCCTACGTTCACTTCTCACAGTTTCTCAGACCCAAGCCCAAAACCTTTGCACCCAGACCTACGATGGCGCCTTCGGCGGCTCGCCGGCGCAGGCCACAACCAGCTTCGGGAAACATCCGTGGCGCTTGTTTGGTCGGTGCCTTTGGTGCCTTTTTGTTGGAAGGTTGCGTTGTTGGGGTCGTTTTTCAGAGAATCCAAAAGGAACACACACACACACACACATGGGCGGGCGGGTGCGTGGGTGGGTGGGTGGGTGGGTGGGTGGGTGGGTGTTTGTGTTCGTTATTTCGAGTGGCGATGACGTCGTGTGATCTTGGGACTACACTGATAACAAGCCTTGTGAGGTATAGCTCTCTGAGTGAACCTAGAAGCGATCTAGATGAAGAACACGTGACCCAACAGATTGTATACTTTGCTAAAACTACAGAGGGGTTCGACCTATTTCGGGCGCCTCTAAATTTTGGGCATCCCTTTTCGTGGTGGCTCCTGCGCGTTTTTGCCATGAGGCGTTTTCGGTGTGGCAGGGTGAGGTTTGTTACCAGGGGCACCACCACCCTTGCCTTTGAGGGAACCCTGTATTTGCGGGGCAGAAAAAGCTCATTTTTCCAAGAGGGTTTCTGCTCAACTTGCCAACAACAGGGTTGCGGGGGACCTATGATACTGTAACATGTTAAAAGCTTATGGCCTGACTTATTATTTATCAAAATGCAAGGCCACCCAGAAAAGTGATCCTGCATTCCTCTTGGACGCATGTCAGTAGAACCCCTTCCTGCTGGTGTTCAGAATGGTTGATTTTCTCTTCCCTCGGAGAAGTGTCCCACGGGCTCTGATCTTGGGCAGCCAGTTCTTTCTTCTCAGCCACCAAGTTTGGATGACCCTCTTTCAACCAACGGGCCTTTGTAGGAATAATCGTGGGCATGTTTCCTGCACAGGACAAGCAAGCAGTACTGAAACCAAGGCAAATTCGTTGGAGTGTGGGGGAGCGTCAAGCGGCTTTCCTTCCCTTGTTGGATGCAACGGCAAGCTGCACTTTTTGGTACGCTCAGAGTTGTCCGAACCTTTTTTCTCATTGGGATCCTAACCATACCCCTGTTTCCCTTTATTTTGGGCCTTAGACGTCCTTTTGGGGTCCTTTTTTGGGGGGAAGCAGGAGGAGTGAGCAGTTGAGCCCAGTTGTTAGTGGCACAAATTGCAATTTGATCGCCCTCCCAGGTAGGTTTGGCTCTAAGAAACATGGCCATGAATGTTGATACGGGCTTCCCCCTCAAAACAAGTTTGTTCCCCCCTGATGGCCTTACTCGTCGCGCGGGGCCCGGACAATAGGATAAAAGAGTATAACATTCAAAGGGTCTCGTTACAGGAAAATCTGCAGGAAATGGCCCCAAAACACCCTAACCAAGCCGTTTTCGTGTAGAATACAAATGTCTGGTAGCCCAACCCTTTGAAACATGGCTTCCTTTCCACACGCCCAGTCTGACCGCCCAAGTTTTCATGGTTGTTGTTGGGAAAAAATTGCTTATGTTTGCTTATTGTGGTTTTTCGTGGTTGAAATCCAACCACTGAACTGCTAAAATTGATTTGTTTTGCTCCCCTTCCAACGTCAGCCAAGGTTTGGTCTGCCAAAAAAAAGCGCGCCCAAAGTCGTCTCCGTGGAGCGGTTTAGGTGCAGGCCCAGCAGGCCCAGCTCGCCAACGAGATGGGGAAGTTCTACAGGCCGAGAACTTAAGGGAGCGCCGGAGTTTTTTGTTTGTTTGTTGTTTAATGGGTGGTTCCCCGTTTTTTTGGTGTTGTTGTTTATATTGTTTGTTGGTTGGTTGGTTTGTTTTTGTGGAGGTGCTTGTTTTTTGAAATGCTTGTTAGTTTGTTTTTGGTCCGGACCATGGCTAAACAAAGATACAATACCTGGGTCGCCCTTCCACCCCTAAACACGAGAAACTGGGCCCCATCTACTGTTCAAAGGAGGTCACTTGACAAACTTACATAATGTTGGGCCACAAATGCCTAAGATATCCCAGCCGTGAAAGCCTGAACGGAGCTGATGAGGTAACGAGTCCGCGAACTCACTCATTCACAAACCAACTCTTTTAAGGTTCAAACGGGAAGTGACAGAAACTCTAATAGAGACCCAAGGGCTGTTTCAGGGAAGGTCGGATTGTTCCCCACCGCCTTTCGGGTTTTGCGCAGGTCGCAGTTCGTCCCCCCGGGCATGGAACAGCAGATCGCGGCGCAGCAGGCGGCTCAAGCGCAGCAGCAGGCGGCACAGCAGGCGCCGCCCGCTCAGGCGCTATGGGCTCCTTTGGTGCTTTGTCTTGCTGGTGTGATAGGTAGGGAATGTGGGAATGAACCCAGGGTCCCCTTTAAAGACCACCAGCTGGATGGTTGATCTCGGGGTCATTCCAATTCTCATTCCCTGCCTATTACACTAGCAAGTTGTGCTGCGTGTGGCTTCGTTCCAAACCATTCCTTCCCTTGGTGCGAGAGGTAGAGAAGGAAGTTTGCGTGGTTTTTGGGAATGAACTGTGTGGGAGTAAAGGAAACAAGAGGGGATGGTTTGCAGGGGTCATTCGCTCATTTTTTGCAGAGAACCCGCAAGTTGATCAACCGTCGTGCTTTTAAAAGTCCGATACCTCCACACGTGTTTCAATCGTAACATCATTTGACATAGGCATGAACCCAGCGATCCCCCTAAAAGGAAACCAGGGTGGCTCATAGGGTGTGTCTTGTCGACGTGCTGACTTGCAACTCACGGAAGCATCCGATCAGTTGAAGGGACACAGATTGGTCATGTTGCTTAGGGCAGCCAGACCATTTTTCCAACAGGACACCTAGGCACAAGAATATTGTTACTGGGTCCATTAGTTTGATTTACTTTATTTTTAAGGGCACCTAGGCACAAGAATATTGTTATTGGGTCCATTGGTTTGTTTTCCTTTTAGGCACCGCACAGTGGACAACTGCCAGGCATAGATGAAGCCTGATGAAAGCTTCATAATTTGTCCATCGGTCGGTGTTTATTTAAAGGGAGAGCAAAGGAATGCCAGCCCATCTTGGGGCTGTACCTGTACCAAGCTCTGGTGTCCGGAAGTCCACTGGTGGCAACTACCCTTTGTGTGGGACACCAAAAGGACACCAAACGGACAGGGGAGACCGATTCGGAAAGGGAAACCACATGCTTCATGGGCAAACCCCGCAGAAGTTTTGGGATGCCCCCCACTTAGCTGCTTGAATATGGGCGGGAGGGGGTTCAACGCCCAACATGTCTCCATTTATATCGGGTCGGCAAAAACCCTCAGGACGCCCTGGCATGGTTGTTGTTGGGAAGCATTTTGCTTATTTTTGCTTATTGTGGTTTTTCGTGGTTGAAATCCGACCACTGAACTGCTACAATTTAAATGGGTGTGGGTCAAAATTAAGCCACCAGATAAGACCGGAGGTTTTAGTCTTTGGTTCCATTTACCAGGGCAAGCCATTTTAGGTACTTATTTTTGACCCACAGCCGCATTGTTGCTCCCCTTACGTCAACCAAGATGGGTCCAACCCGATCCACGGATCCACGGATCGGTCGCTTTTTTCCGGGCTGTGAAAGGCGCCGAAGGAGAAGCACGCGCGGCCCTTGGCTTGCGCCGGAAACGCGGGCGCCGGGTTTGTGAATCGCTACGCGGGTACGTCTTGGTCAAAACCATAGGTGTCCTTTTTGGTTGTTTGCAAGAAAAAATAGATGGCGATTCCTGGTTTACCTGGTGGTTTAATCATGCACCAAATGTATTTCCCCTACAAGGACACCTATGGTCAAAACGGTATTAACATGTGTCTCTAACCGGGTGTCTGGTCAACATTTTGTCTTTAACTGGATCGCATGTTGGCAAGCCGGTGCATGATGTTGTCTCCAAATGAAGTGAGTGCGTGTTGACTCAAATGGGTGGGGCTCTAAATGGTACCCCAAAACAGGGACATGGCAGAATCCGATTCCTATCAATCGAGAAATAACACACACACACACAAACAACACGTGTACAGTCTCTACTTGTCATCATGTGGGCCATTTGTAGGGCAAATGTCAATCTTCCATACATAGAATCTCGGCTAGCACATCCGTGCGGGCCCTACACCTGACACAAAGATGAGGATTAGAGGGTAAGTGGGGGTGGATCCTTTGCCGTGCTTGAGGTTGGCGAAGACTACCTCCAATGGATGGTTGATTTGGTTCATTTTCCTTGGTAACTTCAAGTCATCCCCTTAGCTTTTAAAAAATATATATAAATGAGTCGGTTTAGTGGTTGGATTTCCATTTAACCCACAAGTCAAGCTTTTAGCAGCGGATCTGAAAACGGACAGCACAGCTTAAAGGGCCACCCCTTCAAAGAGAGACAAAAGGGGCACTGAGTGTCCTTTACATCAGGGATCACCTGGGTCAGCTGGGCCAACTTGCTGAGTTTTGTTTTGGGCTGTTTGTAGGTTGGACGGGCCCCTAAACGTTTGATTGCCACTCAAACGAGTTCGCTTGTTAATTTTGCTCAGGGCACTCGCACAAAGGGGGTGTTTAAAAGGGAAGCCAAAAAGGCAGCCAACAATGTTTTGGATCGTCATTAGAGACTTGGCATGATGTTTGCTTTTAAATGTTCCTTAGATTGGGAATTGATTTTATTGAAAAGATGTGGAAACATATTGTTGCCGTCTGATACTGAAATCCCTTAGTCCCTTACCTACTGAGATATGCAGCCCCACATCGTTTGTACCTGTTTCACTGGGAGCGCACCCTTTCGGCGCCACTCGTTTCGGGCCACTCGCTTAGGCCAAGGAGTCGAAGCCAGAGGCGGCGTTTGGCGTTTCGATGGGCAGGGAATCAGTTGGAATGACCACCGAAAGAAGAAAACAAGTAGGAACAACAAAGGAAGAAGAAAAAAACAGCACGCACACACGCACACCTTGTGGTTTCTCCCCTTCCGGTGCATTCCCAACACGCAGAAGGTCATTCCCTGCTGAGCACCAGCAAGTTTAAACATCCACAGTTTACGGGAAATGAACTCCGCCCCTTCTTTTTCCGGGGGCCCACAAACTATATGGGCGTCCATATAACTAGGGCGTTTTCAGAGGACACAGAATGCATGACCGCCCACGTAAGGTGAATTTCCCTTGTCAAATGTTTGACGAGATATTTTCAACGGATCCTCTTTGGGAATTCTTTGGGTGTTGGCCCCATTGGGGGCTCTGGCTTGGATGGTCAGGGATTTAGACAAATGTTTAGGCACCTTTGGCAGTGTGCATTTTTCCGGGTCTGTTTTTGTTTCTTTTTCTTTGTCTTGTCTGTTTGGAGCGGGGGGGAAAGTATGTGGAAGTGAAAGGGAAACCAAAGTGGGTCTTGGCGGTCAATTTGTGGGAACACCTTTTTGAGATGGCCTCAGAGGGAAACCAAGAGGAAACCAACGTGAACTGGTTTGTTGCCTTGTCGTTGCCAGACTAGACTAAACGGTGTTTGGACCAGTTTTTCCTGGACCCCTGAAGGACCCTGTTCTAGCTTCATTGCCGCTCTTCTTTTGACTCATGTTCGCCAGCCCCCCAAATACAAGGGCTTCCGGAGGGGTCAACAAGGGGTGAATTCTAGCCGCTTGCAGTTCCTGGACCATCCAAGTGGGAATTTCAAGTGGGTGCTAATGTACTATCCTCATTTATGGCAAAATGGGGGAACCCCTGAGATCGTCTTTTGTACTACTGTTCTTTATCCTGGGGGGTTCCCCAGTTTTTCGCGGACACTCCAAAGGCAAAAGTTGAAGCCTGAGCGCTTTCCAGCCATACGGTTCCTCAGCCTACTAGATTTGAGCTTCGAGGGTGTCAATCTTCATCATCTTCATCCACTAAACGTTCAACTTTCTAGGGATGAACGGATCCAGTTAAGCAGACAAGTTGTAAGTTTGTGGTCGGTACCCTCCGCACATTTGGGAACCTACAAAGAGCCCCGGAAACCATATTGCTCTACAAGGGGCCTTCTGACGGGTTCCCTGTCGGCCAAAACCTACATCAATTGCGACTAAGAGAGCACTTACCCTTCTTCTCTGCCTTTGACCGAACAAGTGGTAGAAAGGCAGAAAGACACTTGGAGTCTCCAAAACCGTTTTAGATTGCAGGGTCGACATATCTGGACAGGCTACACCATTGCCCGATGATTTTTCAAGTTGGAATCTCCAAAGTGATTGGTGCATTCCACTCCCCGTCTTCTTTCCATTTTCTGTTATTTTGCATCTTTTCTGGTCCCACATGAAATCCCCACCGAATGTTGATGCCCACCAAAGGGTCCCCGCAGTTCCTTTGCCACCCGGCAAGTGGCGCCAGCAGGTCTTCCTGGCAGAGCGGCTTGGCAACGTTCGGTTCGGGTTGACCAAACGTCGTGGTGGTTTTTGTTTGGGAGTTGGTACCACTAACATGGAAGTGCAAAAAGGCCTTTTCCAAGAGGAAAGTAGTCTTTCTACAGGCACTTCATGTTAGTCTGGGGGAGGGTATCCGTTTTTGCAGCCCAAAGCTGACTGTTTGACCCAAGGGGCTTTCCTGGTTCACAAAATGAGTCAAGGTCCCCAAAGGTTCACCATTCATTTCCATGTCCTGTTGGCGTGGTTTTGTTTTGAGGTTTTGGGCGGACCGGATCTCCCCTTTTTAGTCGCATGCAAAGCGAACCGAGGACTGGGGCCACTGCCACCACGGCGCCTGTGCCAATGAAAGCTGAGGATCCATGGCAGTGAATGGGGGGCGCCGGACGGGGCCGAGCCAAGGGGGACATGTGGCTTCCTCAGCTGGAACCGGCACTGAAGGCACCCTGCAAGTTCGATGGCCAAGCCTCGGTCGATTTAAATGAGTTCCAAGTGTGTGGGTTGGTGGGTGGTGTGAGCGACCAGGTTTGTGTGTGATTGTTGTTGAAGGTACTTGTTCAGCTTGGTTTAGTGGGTAACCAAAAGTTGAAATCAAATCACCACTTCTTTTGACACCAAGAGAAAACAGCACACCAAGAAACCAACAGGCCCAAGAGAAAGCACCAAGAAAGATAACTTATCTTGTCCAAACAGGACACCAAGGAAGAAACCCACTTTGGGGCAGACGGACCCTTTCCCGGCCAAGAACTGCACGACCATGGACGAGCTCAAGGCCTGGTACAAAGCGAGGCGGGGAAGCAGGTTGGAGTCCAGTGAGTGATGGGTCTGTTTTTGTTTTTTGAGGTGGTCGCTTTAAAAAGAAACCAGCAGAAACCTGATGGGTGTAATTTTGTTGGTGAAGATCGCTCTTTGAAGGGAAACCGCCAGAAACCCCACCATTTTGGGGGCCCCATACAAAATACAGACCCCGTTGCGCAGTGGTGCCCTTTTTTCTTTTTTTTCGGGCTACCGGAAACCCACCTTTTCGGGCCCCCACGTCTGTCTTTTCTTTGAGGTGGTCTTTTTTAAAGGGGAACTACCGGAAACCCACCATTGGGCATAAGGTCGTTTTTAAGGGAAACCACCAGAAACCCCACCATTTTGGGGGCCCCCAGAAAAAAAAATAATAAAAAAAAGAAACAGACCCAGATGTGTCGCACAATTTGGCATGTCCGCGATCAAAAAACCACCAGTCGAATACAGTCAGACAGCACGGCATTCAGAGCTCCGCGCCTTTTGGGGGGCAGTTCAACGGGGGAATTCTACGGAGCCAATGCTGGCCTTTCCGCGAAACGACCCAGACTGAGACCGATACGCATGTGGTTCTTCCCTTTGAAGGCTCCAGAGGATTCCCTTTAGCGTAAACTACCAAAGACAGGTTGCTCTGCTTGTCTTGCCTTGCCTTGCCTTCTTGCTTGCGTTCTGATGCAGATTCAGATGATTGTTTACTGAATTGTTTGCGTGGTTGATTGCATGCTTGGCTGGATGGATGGATAGACGAATGAATTAATGTATTGATCGGTCAACCGAATTGGTTGTTTGCTGATTGTTTGTTTTTCGTTGTGTGCGTGTTTGGTTTCTTGCCTGTACACGTAATCCTATTTTTATGCGCGTGAGTAGTCACGAATTGTTTGTGCTTAGTTGGCGCGTCTGGTTTGTGTTGCGTAGCGCTATGTTGTGTTGTTTGATTGTCTGTTTGCTTGTTTGATTGTTTGTTTGTTTTTTGGCTTGCTTCATTGTTTGTTTGTTGGTTGGCTTTGCTTGCTTGCTTGCTTTGCTTTGCTTTGCTTTGCTTTGCCTTGCCTTGCCTTGCCTTGCCTTGCTTTGGCTTGCTTTGCTTGCTTGCTTGCTTGCTTGCTTGCTTGCTTGCTTGCTTGCTTGCTTGCTTGCTTGCTTGCTTGCTTGCTTGCTTGCTTGCTTGCTTGCTTGCTTGCTTGCTTGCTTGCTTGCTTGCTTGCTTGCTTGCTTGCTTGCTTGCTTGCTTGCTTGCTTGCTTGCTTGCTTGCTTGCTTGCTTGCTTGCTTGCTTGCTTGCTTGCTTGCTTGCTTGCTTTGCTTGCTTGCTCGCTCGCTCGCTCGCTTGCTTGCTTGCTTGCTTGCTTGAATCTTTGCTTGGTTGGTTGGTTGATTGGTTCGATTGTGTTGTGTTTGTTTGCTTGTTTATTTGGTTGTTTGTTTGTTTGTCTTGGTAGTCTTATTTCTTTCTGCTGGTTTTTGGTTGGTTTGTTTGTCTGGTTTGCGTGCGTGTTTGTTGGTTCATTGGCTTGTTGCTTTTGTTTGCTTGCTTGTGTGCTTGTGTGCGTTTGTGCCTGTGTGCGGGCATGTGGGCGCACTGGATGTGTGTTTTTGCGTGTGTTTGTGAGCGAGCGCGTGTGTGATCGAGCGCGTGAGAGAGTGAGGGAGGGAGGGAGGGAGGGAGGGAGGGAGGGAGTGAGAGAGAGAGAGAGAGAGTTGCATGTGTTGGTGCGTGTGCGTCCGCGTGTGCTGTTGAGAGAGAGAGAGGGACGCTCAACTTGTGTTCAACATGGTGCAGCATGACACTGCAGGATAGACACTCTGAAGAAGTACGTGCCCAAGGACAGCGGGTGCTTTTCACAGTTTAGCTGGAAAAGCGCACGCACGAAACAGTTTTCCTCACGCATTGTCCACAGTGTGAATGTGGCACAATTGCTCTCAATATTGCTTTGGGACCTCCAAACAAGCTGCCTGTTGTTGTTTTTTGTGTTTTTTTTTTTGTCAATGTATTCTACTCGTTGGTGAGTTCTTGACCTGAGGATTGGCTCATGCAACGAGGTGCCGTGTAACTCATGCTTATGGATGAGGCATCTTCAGAATTATCATAGACCACTCTAGTAAAGTCGTTTCATTCCAGGCTGTTTTTTGTAGCTTCCTGGGAGAACGATCGGGGACTCAGAACAACATGCCCCCTCTGAACATGAAGTGGGACATCATGAATTCGATCATGTAGTTCTTGTTGCTCAAGTGCTGTTTTTTGACAGGTTGTAAATCGTTGCCGTGGAGAGTAACGTGCTAGCAAATTGTGGTTGGCTTTCGCATTGCAAGCAGGCGGGCATACGGGCGCGCACACAAACACATACAAACACGCACAGCAAAACGCAAAAAGAACAAACACCACCCCACACACACACACACACACACACGCGCACCCACACACACACACACACGCACCGCGCACACGCACCCACGCACACACGCACGCACGCACGCACGCACGCACGCACCCACACACACACACACACACACACAACCACCCACCCACGCACGCACACACACGCCTGCGCCACGCGCACACAGGCGCTCGCAGGTGCGGGCGCAAGGTCCGACCTACGAACTGCAGCTTCGAAAGGGTAATTAACTTGTGTACTGTGCCTGTACTGAAAGTTGCGACTTTCGACCTGGCTCCTTCAATCCGCGCACACACCTGTAATGGCGCGCTGCATGCATACATGAAGCAGCGCTGACGCGAAGGCAGGGAGCAGCGCCAATTGCTGGCAATGCGCCAGACATTTGAAGGGTTGCCGGACGCTCGCAGAAAAGGCCAGCCCAAGCTTGCGCAGTGCCTTGCCAAGACTAAGAAAATTCGGTTTGCACTTACGCTGCCTTATTGCGTGCTGCTTGGCTGTTGGCGCATGCTGGTAGAGCACGATTTCTCTCAGCGGGCAAGGGGCTGCCTCGGGTGGGGAAGACTGCGCGAGCGGTTACGATGCCAACGCGGTGTTTGCGCTGAAAGTTTCTTAGATCGGCTGGGGCCCTGCTAGCGATTAACATTTTTAGGCCTATTATTGACGGTGGCCAAGCATGTAGTAGATCCATGTGAAGCCTATTTTCGAATGCGCACAATGCCACTGAGAGTGCTTCGAGGTGTGATCCGCAGAGGGTTCATCGGGCACCGCGCGCGGGCGTGAAACTTGGCTTACCAAGAGTGAAATGTTCATGTCCAAAGTCAACACCGCACGAGTCAGCTAAGTTTCCGGAACCCGTTTTGCAGCAGACTGTTTCTCCATGACACGCCTTTCATGAATGCAACAGCTTTGTTTGAATCTGACAACCGTTGCTTTGGAATTCCAACTAGCATTCTGAAGGTTTAATCTGCGTTCATCCCCAATTCCCCGGCTGTTCCGGGACCGCCCGGACAAGAAAATGGACATTTTCGGAGATAGGGCCCACCCCCCTATCAACAAGATTCTTCACGCCTTTTCTGCGGGCTGGGGGGGTTCAAGTTTCTTCACCAGGTAGCGCGGCCAACTTCCTTTCCCGAATTCCATCGCCTCTCCCAAGCCCCACGACGGGTCCGTTCTGTCTTCTCTTTGGTTAAAAGCAAAACCAAACACAGAGCCACCCATTTTTGGGGTCCCCTATATTCCCCTGGAGGGTAAAGCTGAAGTTTACTTCGGACAGGAAGACCGAATCCGAGGATCCACTGTAGATGATTTCCCCAGCTGCCGGAGTTTCTGCCAAGCACCATCAAAAACAGCGCTTCCTGCATCAATTCCTGTCCGCTGGGTTCCTTGGAACGTTTGGAAAACCCAGTTTGCCCAGCAAGTCACACGAAGACCGCGTCGCGTCTTGCGTCTTCGCGGCGCAGGCCTACCAGAGCTACGCCAGCAAGTCCATCGAGAGTGGCACGGCACAAGTTGAAGCCGAACTCTGTGGTGTTAGGAACATCCAATGGGTGTGGCTCAGAAATGGCCATGGGTCAAAATCCAAATCGTACCCCCAGTGAACATCCCAATCCCCACTAAAATAGGTTCTAAATTGGGTGGTGCACCTACCCCAAAATGGTACCATTGGTTTTGACCCACGGCCAAATTATTGAGCTAGGGTTACGCAGGTGTCAGTCTTTGTTCCCATTTAGCAAGGTGCAATGCTGGACCGTATACGGGCTTTGGTTTCAAGATTCGGATTCATTACTGTGAGCACCTGAACCATTTGCTTTGTGCTGTGGATCGCGGACTTCTCCAAGTTAAGCCATCTCAAGAGAAACATGTGAGGGCCCAACACCGATTCCCAATGGCAACTCCGGAAGGTTCGCTTCCTACCAGGTCTTCACAAGGCCCATAGGATAGGCCTTCTTTTTTTTTGGGGGGGGGGCCTTGGCGGTTTTACAGGAAAGCCCACGAAGAAACCACCAAACATCGATGCCCTACAAAGAGGCACACCCATACAAGCATTCGTACCCATGTTGGTGTTCTACCAAAAGTCGATAGGTGTTTGGCGCCAGACCATGCAATCATCTAGCGCCCTCCGCCCCTGGGTTTTCAAGAAAAACCAAGAGGAAAGCCGCCACTTTGGGGCCCAAGTCCTGTTTCTGACACCGGGGATTCTGTCTTCTTCACACTAAATGTTGGAAAGGGCGAGAACCCGCACAGGTCCACCAATTCGTTCATTCCTATAGCGTGAACATAGCAGAACTGATATGGACGCATATGTTCCAGACCCCAGGCCGCCTACCTCCCCCCCACCCCGCAAGTAGGGTCTCCCACCCCCCCACATCATCATCAGGATGATGCTGGCAATGCTAGGGATGCTGTCCACCTGTTTCACTCTGTGAACCGGCACCCCAGCACCCCTCGCCGATGCCGGCCTGGAACATATATTGACCGTTTGTCCTATGGCCCGAATGCGGGCTAAACTGCCAGTGACCGGCCTGTAAAGACATGTTCCATGTGGGAGTTTCGGCCCCCAGAAAAGTGAGAGAATAGCCAGGTCCAATACTGATTCAGAGCTATATATAAAGCATGGAATGTTCATGGCCACTGGTGGCCAATCTAGGCTGCGCTTGCTACCCTTGATAAGGGGCCCCGAGTTTTGGACGCGCGGGGTTCATGTTGATGTTCCTAACAAACAGAAACAAGGGTAACCTTCCGAAGGGACCGTTTCATTGGGACGGTACCATCAAAAAGGGTAAATCTACCTTCAAAGAGAGGATGGGCCAAAGTCTTTCACTTAGGCGAATACGATACCAACAAGAAGAGGATCGAAGGTGACAAGACCAGCGAGGCCCCCGAAGCATCCCGCCGCGCAGTGCTGATCCAATGTGTGTGGGTGACAATATGACTCCAGTCGCGACCACACGTAGTGGACATGCCAGCACACACGAGTCTAAATTCAACAAGTCGTCAACTGGAGGTCTACTGACTGCGACAGGGAGCAGTTTATATGTGTCTCGCGGACGTAGAGTCAAACACAAGCGTGAGTTGCTGGTTGTGTCCTTCGTGCGGTTGGCTGCTGATATGTTTGGCTGCCTTAAGTTTGAGCATGCCCAGGTTAGGTCCATGATTCCAATGCTCATGATTCCAATGAAGGGGGACCTAACCTGGGCGCTAGCCATGATTGTGGCGCTAGCCATTGCTCATGATCCTCAGTGGCGCTCGCCATGATTCCAAGGTAACGGGGGTAACCAAATTTGAAGCCCACTTAGGGCGTATCGGATACCATGGAAAGTGGATCCACTATATATGCTTGCTAACCACCTGGGTCCCCCAGGATCGTGCCCCTGTCTTTTTACCGTTTCTTTTTTTGGGGGAGGGTTCCCCTACTAAAATAGACGTTCAGAAAAACATTGGAACCCTATTTCTAACCTCTCTACTGGAAGACCTAGCCACTTACATACCCGATCGCCCTCGATCTCATCGGCTCCAGGCAGGTTAGTGTCGTTTTCTCCGTGGCGTCGTTTTTGTTTTTTTCCTTTCTTCCAAGCGCGCCATGGCGCGCCGATCTTGGACCAAGCGCAAGGCGGGGAGTGGAGCAAGGTTCGCAAGATTTCCCATGGGTGTTTTACACGTCACCTGTTTGGCAAACTGAAAGTGAGATATTTGGTCGGTGCGATGATGTTTGAATGGAAAATATAGGGGACTCTGGCGGCAAGGTGCGGGAGGAGGGATAAGGATCCAAGGCGATGCAGATGCTCAGACACTCAATCCCTTGTGCGTAACCATTCAGCAAACGCTCCAGGCCATCTGAGGAGTGCCTTTTGTGTAGGAATGTTCTTTGCAATTTGTTGGACCTGGCTTTCATTGCAGGCTGATGTACAAGACAGGCAGTAGGCACCAAGTATTTCGCTGGTTTCACATTGCACCCGACTTGGCTCACTTGTTTGACTTCCCGTTTTGGTTTCACGGCAGCTGATTGGTGGTTTGGAGGCAAGAAGATGCGACGCCCGTCCGGTGAAGGGAACCCATTGTGTACCCCTTGAGTGGCTGGTTCTTAAGCTTTGTGTATTCCCCACGGAGACTGGCCTCGTTTTGAGCATGTCCCTTACAAACAAGTCACGCTCCATTCAGTTCTTTAAGGGTGGGAGCCTGTTAGCTAGGGGGTTCTCGGATGCTCAAGCTGTGGCACCTTCTGGAAAATGTGTTGGGAACACGCCGGTTTCACATGACTTTCGGGGTGGGTTGTTTGAGCAAAGAGACCAGGGTGTTTGCCAGTTTCCGAACCCTGGGTTCTTGTTCATGTTGTGTTTTTGTCATTTTCTCGGGCCTGGGTTGTTGAACCCAAGCGCTGTCCACTGAATGGGGGAAGCAAGGTTCACATGCCGAGAACCATCACCTAAGAATGACACAACCCACACACAACACATTCACACATTGACACACACACACACAACCCGTGTAGGTACTATGGTACTATCTACCAACATTTGACCCAATTGGAATGGAGTGTGGTATATGGCCTAAGTGTGGCCTAAGTGTGGCCCCCTCCTAAGTGTTGGTAAATCGGTGCATGGAGTGGCCCTGGTTAAGGCGATGGAAGCCTCGGTACATCTTAGGTGCTGTTGGCGGTGCTGGGAGCGTGCCTCTGGAGGCGGGAGCGTTCCCGCGGGCAGTGCGTTGATCGCGACGTCGGTGAGCGGGGCGGAGCATTTTGCCTTGTTGAGCTGACCAGGTGTGCTTCTATGCTTGACGGTTCCCAAAAAAATGGGTTCTTTAGTTGTTGTTTTTTTCATTTTAGTGTTTGGTGGTTGGATTGTCATTTATATAGCCCACTAAGACTATTCACTCTTAGTGGGGGATCTGAGGACAGGCCAGCTTAGTCAAGGCCCAAAGAGTTCAAACATGTTGTTTGGACAGTCAACTCAGAAGGTCAAGCCTCAGCAAGTGAGGGTGCTGTACCACTCATCCCAGCTATTGTTCAAATGGCTGTGGGTCAAAACCAATGGTACCATTTTGGGGTAGGCGCACCACCCATTTTAATCTATTTGAATGGGGATTGGGATGTTCACTGGGGGTACAGGATTTTGACCCATGGCCAAATGCTTTCCATGGTTGATCAGGTTATGTGCTGAAAAAATTGGCTACAACGCATTGAGGGGATGCTTTTGAACAAGGACATTTGCACGAAACGAAGCTGGTGAGCTGGGTACACGTGTCCAAGATTGTTTTCTGTCAAAGCCCCCAGTGAACGAACGCGGCCATACCTCGAAGTGCAAAGGATGAGGATTCCATCGATGCATTGGACCCGGTCCCCATGGACCGAATGAGTCTGTCCAAATCTGTCCAAAATGACCCAACAAAACGTTGTAAGGCAGAAACAAATGGATGATTGGGGGTCCAGGTTGATTTGCTGGTGGACTTTGCTTTGAATTTGAGCCTCGTTTGGTTACGAGCCTCGCAGTTGGGTTCGGTGATGGGGAAGATAGCCATTTGAGGTACTCTTGAATACTCGTGGAACCGCAAATAGACCGACTTGCTGAAACGTTCTTCCGGACCTCTTTCTCCTCCTGGCTGCGTGTTAGTGGGAGGATATTTCGCTGCAGTTTGACACATAACCCAAACAAGGGGTTTGCCGAAAGCAACCTTCGGGCTGTTGAACCGCCCTGGAAAAAGCTTCCAACCCCGGGGGCGCTGGTAGAAGCATTTTTTTCTTTGTTCCCCACCCGACAGGAAGGGGTTCTTAGATTTTATGTTGGAATCCGCGTTTGCGATGCTTCTACACCACAGTCTCCCGCCAGAACAGCTCGCCAGCGAATCCCGCCCAGTCTCCCGCCAGAGCGGCTCGCCAGTGGATTCCGCCGAGTATCCCGCCAGAGCGGCTCGCCTGTGGATCCCGCCGAGTATCCTGCCAGAGCGGCTGGCCAGTGGATCCCGCCGAGTATCCCGCCAGAGCGGCTCGCCAGTGGATCCCGCCGAATATCCCGCCAGAGCGGCTCGCCAGTGGATCCCGCCCAGTATCCCGCCAGAGCGGCTCGCCAGTGGATCCCGCCGAATATCCCGCCAGAGCGGCTGGCCAGTGGATCCCGCCCAGTATCCCGCCAGAGCTGCTGGATCCCGCCCAGTATCCCGCCAGAGCGGCTCGCCAGTGGATCCGGCCGAGTATCCCACTGAGTATCCCAGAGTAGCTCGCCAGTGCATCCCGCCGAGTATCCCGCCAGAGAAGCTTGTGAGTGGATCCCGCCGAGTACCCTAGCAGAGCAGCCCGCCAGTGGATCCCGCCGAGCATCCCACTGAGTATCCCAGAGTAGCTCGCCAGTGCATCCCGCCGAGTATCCCGCCAGAGAAGCTTGTGAGTGGATCCCGCCGAGTACCCCACCAGAGCAGCCCGCCAGTGGATCCCGCCGAGTATCCCAGAGTAGCTCGCCAGTGGATCCTGCTGAGTATCTGGCCAGTATCAAGCCGGAGCGGCTAGCCAGTATTTGCCAGTGGATCCTGCCAGTGTCCGCCAGAGCAGCTCGCCAGTCTGGTTTTGCTTAATGCCGCCCGGGCGCACAGTTGGCTTTACATTTCATGTTGGTGCCTGCGTGTTCTGAGTGTACCCTGAGGCTCGGAAAGGGGGATGCTTTTGTGTTGCTTTGGGTTGCGAATAAGCAACTTCGCTTAATCCTTTGTCTGGTTTCTTTTTGGAAGGGGCTTGGCTTCTGTTAACGGAACCGAAGTTTGAGTTCTCGAGATCGGCTTGCAGACAAGTGGAGTTTGACACACAGACAGGTGGACAAGGCTCTCAATGCACAGCTTGTTGAGCTAGCCGACGGGAATTTGGAGACTTCGACTCTAGGATGTGGAGGAATTTGTTGTAACAGTCGTAAGCTCGGGTGGGGATTGCTCGAAGCGAAGTAATTTGTTTGTTACCTTTATTTTTTTCGTGTTTGTTTGTTTGTTTGTTTGTTTGTTTGTTTGTTTCTTTGTTTGTTTTTTTCGTGTTAAGCCGGAGTGAGATGGCTCATATTATTGGCTTGCAAGCTCAAACGCCCAGCAGCGCGCAAAAGAGGCTTGCCAAGCTGACCATGGCGACTAGTGTTTGCCCTTCTCTTGCACATTTCTGCATGGACCAGAATTACGCATATGCCGGTTGGGCAAAAGGAAGCGGGTTTCTCTAAAAATCGGGATCCAGCAAAAAAAACTGCAGTTTGGCTTGGGTTTCCCTAAGCACTCCCAATATCCTAATGACACACCCATGAACCCCCCGCACTCTCAGCCCGTCCCAAGCCACAGAGGTACTCCACGACATGGGCGGTGTTGTTTTTCTTGCGAGTTTTTGTGGCGGGCCCAAAAAACGCGGGGGTGTTTAATGAACGCGGTCCTGGGAAGCTGTGCAGGATACCTCACCCTCGCCCAAGTTTCCTCATGTTGCCATAGGTGTCCTGTGTGGTTCTGGCTTGCCAGGTGGTTTAATCATCTATCAGGGCCATTTGTTTCCCGTAAAAGGACACCTAATGCATGTTGTGCTTATGACTTATAGATCGCTCAGTGGAATCTTCACGATGAATTGGTTTGCATCCTGGGGGCTCTGCGGCTTCTCGAGCGCAGCGCTGGCGCAGCTGACACATGGCCCGGCAGGCCCCAAGCAAACCTCGTGGAGGAAGTTTCATAATAGGCTAGAGGTTTGTTTGGGAAACCATCAACAATCTGAGTTATCTTCTAAGCTGAATTTGCTGGCTGGGGGTGAATCCGACAATAGCTGCTGTTACTTGTTTGGGAGAACTGTTCAATCCACCTGGGCTTGTTTGAAGATTCGGCCTTCGGTTAGTGTGCCTTTCGCTTGCGGTTTACCCGGCAACTGATGTTCCAAGGCTCGAGATACACCTTGGATTGCCCCCTCAACCACCAACAAGTCCCTCTTGGAAAATGTCATTTGAGTATAGACTTGAGTGGTAAAGGCACCCATCATCTGCTCTGGTCGGAGGGATACGCCAAGACCCACTTGCGTAGGATTCAATCCCCATTTTCCTCCCCCCTCCCCCCCTTCCACTTCCATTGGATGGATTTACCTGCATGAGGCAACCGAAGGGAACCATCCTAAACCAAAGGAAAGTGGATGGGGTCTGCAGGTCTCTCCAATCGTTTGTGCCGGGCTGGCAGAATGCGAACAGGCCGGGCCGGGGCTGATTGGCGTTGACTCTGGGATTTTAACATGGGGTCCAGGACCCTGTAAAGCATATCCATTGGCGGATTTCAGGCCTGTGAACTGGTTTGTTCGGCATGAAATCCAGAATTGCTCATGTGGGCGGGGGTTTGGGGGGCCATTATTCGCCATTTCACAGCCATGGTGTGATCCACCTGCAGTGCCAGGTGAAGCAACTAGAGCTTGAAGCCCAGTGACTTTTGGTTCCACCAACATTATTCCAGATTAGGGTGGAAACAACAAACACCTCACACAGGAGTTTTTTTGGGGGCCCTTTTCCGGGTTCCATTGTGATTTGCAAGGGATATCATGTATTGTTTTATAACCCCGCTCTGTGTGATCAAGGAAAGAACAACAAGCAGACAGTGAACCTAGTCAGGCTGTTTTGAGTTTGAGCCAGACTTTCCGCATAGGAAGAGAGACGCAGCCAAACCCAGAGGGATCCAAGCCACTTTTAGCAAAAGACCTGATCCGCCGGGTTTGCTCATTTTCTTGGCACCCACAATTCACAAACCTGACATAAGGAAGCCCCCATGTCCTTGCAAGTGGGTGCATGTTTGCAAGGGGGTCGGGCCAGTTTTCTGCAAGTGGTTTCAGAGTCTCGCGTATGTGCCATGGCCAACACTCCTGTTATATTGTGGGTTAGGGATGTCATCAAATCCTGGGGATTGTAGCCAACCATCCAAAGGGTTCGAGTCAAGGACACACCCAAACAGGGGCTTTTGACCATAGCACATGTGGTCAAAGAGTCATCGCCGTGCTCTTCGGCTGACTCAGCTTGCGCTGATCTAAGCGTAAATCTGGCTCATGTACAAGAGAGCACAATAGAGCACATTCGTTACGTGGTACTGTAGCCTGCAAAGTTTCAAGAAGTTTGACTATCGACTTACCTGTTTTGTGCAAGCTAGCAGCATAGTTGTAGAAGTGCGGTCGTTGTAGTGTTGACGCTATGCAAGCGCCGAATCTCAAAGCGCTGGTTCTTTGATTCTGTGAAGGCGCGCATGGCGTATTTTGAGGACCGGGATTTTTTCTACGATGACTGGCTCGCAGACGCAGCCCGGGATGAGTGCCTTGACCTTGACATGTTTGAAGGCAGCATCTACAGCGGTGACAGCGAGCGGTGGCCAGGCGCCGGGCGCGAATTCAGCCCATTCTATGATGACTTCGGCATCTCCGAGGAGAAGTTAAAGCAGCTGGCAGTTGATCGTGCCAGGCAGGGTTGGGCCAACCCGCTGTTAAACCCCAAAGCCCAAAAAGACAAGATTAAACCAAAGAAAATAACATTAAACATGGGACACATGTTTAGACACCGTCAGTTTAAGCGACCGTGTTTTGGTTCCCCATTTCAGCGGCCGGGAAACGGTCCTCCTGCAGGTTTTTGGGTTCCCGGAACCCTCTCTGGTTGTTTTGGGCGACACCGCCATAGGGTCAAGAGTTTTTTCAGGTCCGTGGGTGCTTCAGCATGGTTCGAACCTGATGTAGATCGCCGATATGCGCACGTAGATGGGCATTGCAAGCAATCGCCTACATTGGCAACCAAACTTGCCCCACTTGCTACGTGTTCCATTGCACCCACTGAACTCTTGCATCGGGAGCACACTCTGGGCACCCCATTCGGACCCTTGGAAAGAAGTTTAGCGTCCACTCTAACCGCGCAGCATTGACTCTGACTTTCGGTTCGGTGCGAACGCCTTCCGTGACTCGCGCAGCCTTTGCGCAACTGTTGGCCTTGGGACAGGGACGACCACTCTGACTGCGAGCAGCGTTGAGAAGTGCTTCTCGGTTCGTTGACTGCACGCAGCATGTGCCCAACTAACAATGAACTTTTCGATTGGCCGATGCCAAACCGCAAGCACGGCTGGCTCAATGGAACATGTACGACCCCTTCTTGTTGGATTCACGCCAGGGACACGTTGACCAAGAGCTGCACCTTGCTAGACGCCCTGGATGACATGCAGTTCGGGCTCGCATTCTTCCTGAAGAGTTGCCGTCTGCCGCTTGAGGCGAAGCACAAGATCCGCGGCTTCGTTCGCTCCGCAGAGGAGTTCGATGGTAGGCAGGGTGCGCTTCATTTAAGCCATATTATAAATAATATTGTTTAGACTAACCTTCCTTGGTTCTAATATCCAAGTGGACCGGGGGGGCTTGTTGTGGAATACCATGATTGCACCGTGTTGGCAGGGAGGTGCTGGGCTTGCACAATGGCCAGAGCTACTTTCTTCATTCCATGGCGTGCCTGCCAGCTGGTCGTTTGCTTTGCTCTCAAAGCTTCTCGGGGCCAAGAATGTCGGTAGCTGACCACTACACCCGCCTGGGCTGCCCGGTTGCCCCCACAGCAGCTGTTGCCATAGTCACAAGCTGTGAGGAGGATTCCTTTTGCGAGGACTGCTGGGTTCCGTTGCCGGCGGAATTTGCAGTTCTGGCGCCGGGCAAAGTATTTCCTTGTGGCACTGGCACTGGGTATCTGAATGAGATGCTGGAGGGGTTCGACGACTCATTCGAAGAGCCACGGGTGTATGAGGAAGCCATTGGGTTCAGTCAGGAGGAGGAGGACTAGGTCTCCCAGCTAGGTGCCCTTTTTAACCCCTTTTTTGGTTGGGAGGGTTCCCCTACTGAAATAGACTACAGAACAAAGGGTGCCCTTATTCTAACCTCTCTACTGGAGGACCAGGAGGAGGAGGAATTTGATTTCTTTCTGCGAAAGCGAAGGATACCGCGGCATCCAGAGCGCTATCCTCTTAGAGTGAGCAACAGCACACCTCTGCAAGATGAGGACAGTTTTTTTTCTCGAGCGAACGGTTCCTGCAAGATGACCACAAACTTCACTGTTCTTGGCAAGTTGTTGGGTTTCTTGGTTTTTGGTTCTGTGCATTTTTAGTGGGGGGGGGGCCAAAAACGAGGTGTTTATTTGCCACCATTCCAATGGTCATAAAGCAAGGGTTGAAAATTGGTGTTGGTTGTTTGTTTTGTCACTTTGCCACAGCCAAACTTTCTTGTGACGATCGGGTCGACTGGCAGCACCTGAGGAGCTGTCAAGGTGTGCTAGCAGACTAGACTGCGTGCACAACACCGGCAGCAGAATACGCGAACTGCTCCTTCAGGGTGCAAATCCGACAGCGGTGCTGGGCAAGGCCTTGCAATGCCAGGCCAGTTTGACTACTCACATGGAGGACCTTCAAGGTGACAAGCTGTGCTGCCATCACCGGGCCCACTCTTCGTACAAGTATGCTGATACCTTCAGTTGTACCATGGAGGGTGCCCGTGAGTTCCTCGCGGAACTTGCTTCCGCAGCAGAGGCGGTCGCGCTGCTGCAGGCGGCGGAGAAGGTTTGGAGTACTTCGAGAGCCGCGAAGCACCTCAGCCCAACAAAGCTCGGGACAGTTCATGAAAATTGCCCAAGCCCAACATATTCCTTTGAGGTCAGTTTGGTTGAAATTAGAGCTGGAAGTCTCTTGAGCGTAGGGACCCCCGGACCCCTTGTTGGTAGTGTTGAAAGGGAAAATCAGACCTCTGATTTATTTTTTGGAATCCCTGTTTTTGCCTTAGACAGCCACTGACCTCTAAGTCCGTTTTTGTTCGGAGGTCGACCCCAACCAAGCCTCCTGTTGTCGAATATCAACAGCCGCCCCGAAAATGCCCCAAAACACATTCCCAAGCCATCCAGAAGCTGCGAGGGGGGGGTCCCGTTAAAAAGCGTTCCTCTTTTGCCAGCATCACAGCGCAACCACTTGAGTCACTTGAGTCACAGCTGGATGCCACCACACACCAAGGCACACGGTCTGCTCCAAGACGTGCCTCGTCGGGCGGGGCGTGATCCATGCGGACCCGGCTGCGCTCAGCGCGGCGCTGGAGGCCGTGCCGAAACAAAACGCAGCACAGGGGCGACCCGGTGGCCCAGTTCGAGCCGTGCTTTTTCAACTAGGTTTTTTTGGGGAGGGTTCCTCTACTAAAATAGACTTCAGAAAAAAGGGTACCCTTATTCTAACCTCTCTACTGGAGGACCTAGTCAAGGTCGCCCTGCAATCCAGGCACCCAGTGGGTTGCTTTGAGTGGCTTTTTTTTTAAAGGGAGGGCCAGAGGGTTGGAGGGAGGGTTTCAGGGGCTGTTGGGGATATCACCTGGGCCTAGTCAAAAGGGGCTTCTCCTTCGAATCAACTCTCCCACAAACAGAGGGCCCTTTCTTTCCAGTGTCTGGGAGTTTGGTTTTCTGATGAACTAGGTGTCATGTTTCCTTTGTTGCTCACCCCGTCTTCACTGCCTTTGTTTTCCCAGATCAACCAACAAATCAGTTTCTGCTGTTTGGTTTAGCTGAGTTCCCTTTGGACATCCAGCGATAACCAGTTTGGTGTTCTTTGTTGGTTCTCCTTGGCTTCCAAGCAACACACAGTGTTTCTTACGGGTGCTGGCCCCTTACATAATACAGGTCGACAAACTGTTTGTTAAGGAACCATGCGATCATGTGGTTGCCGCGGCTGGACATTGACCGCCAACAAGTATCTGTGTTATTTGCATTTATTTGCTTTGCGACCTTGGTTGCCCTTGAACATGAACCGACAAACATACTGCCCTTCCTCGTTTGCGGTGTTTCTTTCCCATGAACACCAACCGACACTGTGTGGGTGTGTCTCTGTCCGTGTCTGTGTCCGTGTCTGTGTCGGTGTCTGTGTCCGTGTCTGCGTCTGTGTTTGTGTGTGTGTGTGTGTTTCTTTGCAAATAAACCACCAACACCATGATTGTTTTGACTGGCGTGGGTTTCCCTTGAAACCAACCAACAAAGCTGTATGTTTCCCTTTTGTCGGGGTGGGTTTCCCTGGGACGTGTCTAAAATGGGCAACCGTTGTTAGAGGGGCCGCCTCTCCCCCCTTGAATGCCTACACCACACAACAGCGTTGATTCTGGGGAGCAGGTTATCCTTTACAATCATCCTTACAGACGGGGCTCTTTTGAATTTCAACCAACGCAATCGGGTTTCGGGTTTCATTCTGGTGTCCCTTTAAAGCCACAGAAGCTCGCAGAACAAGGGCAATGTTTAGCCCGTCGACTCAACCATTTTTTTTGGGCTAAGCCAAAAGCTAGACATGGATCCCTGCAACTGCACCGAAAAAACTGGAGCAGCTCGCACCGAGCTTCGCTTTTGTTTCTTCTTGCCATGGGAAAGTCTACATGGTTTCCGCACCCCATGCCCATTGTTTCTGCCGCCAAAAAAAAGTGGGAAGGCGGAAGAAAAGGGGTCCATTGGGACCCGCGCCACGTGAATGTTTGATAAACCGCTAAGGCGAGATGTGCAGGTTCTGGCACGGCACATGTGGAGAGTGCTGCAGACAAGGCCATCTTCGTGGCCTTACCGCCGGCAGACGCCAAGTTGACATGGGGGGTGTGGGAATCAGGGGTTGCTTCCTGCGTGTGTACCAGAAATCCTCCCCTTGGAGTGCAGAGTGAGTTCTTCGGAAGGCCTTGCCTTGGTATCAGGGAGCATTTGGGGGCCCAAGGCACCTAAATAGAACCTGTATGGATCCTTCGAGGCACCTGTTTACAGTTAGGAATGCAGCAAGTATCAAAGGCCGTAGTGGTCCTGCTCCCTTTTCTCGTGTTCCCAGTGCAAATGGCCTCTTTGTTGGATGCAGAAGCACCAATGGCCCCGGTTGTTTCCTCCAAACAGGGGCCACTTGGTGGCTCCCAGCCATTCCCTTAGCCTTTTGGCTTTTTAGTGTTTAGTGCTTGGATTTCCCTTTAAGCCACTGAAAGCGAGAAGCTTTTAGCGGGGGATCTGCAAACGCACGGCCCAGTTGCAGGATCCAGCAGCTCTGCTGCAGAGAAGCGGAGACGGAGGCCATGATGGCCGAGGAGAAATTGGCCAGGGAACTCCGAGCCCGTGAGCAGCGCGCACGCCAAAGGGAGCAGGAAGCCTTGCAACGAGAACGCCGCCGGGAGCAAGAAGCGCTGCGCTTGGCTAGGCGGGGTTGTTCCGAACTTGAAAAAGACATATATCAAACCAAGCAATGGCATAGAGGTCAGTTTGGTTGAGCATAGATGGATTTTACTGGTTTTGGTTTGGCACTCTAATTTGTGAGTGCCGCTTGGTCCAAAAGCACGGGTCCCTAGGCATCGGGTCCCTGGCTTCCCCCATCCACATGACCTGTGCAAGTTCTTCTTGCTGGCCTTAAGATGACCCACCCACATTTGGACGCCGAAAAGTCAAATGTGCGTCTTGCGAGCCTCAAGATCAAGCCAGTTTTTTTAGCCTCAAGACCAAACCAAGCCGGATTCGGACGCCTCTTAAATCGGATTTGTCCTTTGGTTTCCCTTTTCGGGACCCATCCCCCCCTATCGATTCCTGGGTTCGCAGGGAGCGCGAGCTGCAGTGGGCTCGACAAGAAACCGGGCCCCGGTGCCAGGGCTGCGGAATCCAAGGCAGCAGCGCCTTCAGCATCAGCCAGCTGAGGAAGCCTTGCCCAAACTGGGGGCTTTTCCCGTGTCAATCATGCAAAAGGAGGTGCCTTGCGTCAATCAGGCAAAAATAGACGTTTGGGGCTTTTCCAGGATCCCAGTTGCCCAGTGCCCTTGGTTCCTTCTTCTTTCTTTGGGCAGGGCTCAACCCTTTAAAGTTAAGTACCTCAAAAATGGACGCCGATTCTTTTTTTCTTCCTGGCAATCCGCTGGGCATCTGAGTTACAGGGTAGGGTACGTCAGGTTCCCTCAGGGGCCTCACTACCACTAAGTGGCACCTGCCAGAGAAATGGTCCCTTGAAGAGGGAGATGAACTTCCAGGTACTTTTCCGCAGTTGTTCTGTTAGTAATTGTTCAGCAATGGTTACAAGCCAGTTCTCATGCTTGTAGGTAAATTCCCTAAGTAGGTCATGACCTCTTGCCAATTCTCAGGGTTTCCCAGCCATTTCCAACTTGTTGGGTTACCTCCAAAAGTGGCGATCGTTTCGAGGTACACCACCAGCAAATTGTATGTACTGGCTGAAAAAGGGTGCTTGTTTCGTTTTCCGATATCTAAACAGTTGACTCTTTCGACCCTTTTCCCTTTTGTGCTTCCTTACCCTGGGGCTCACTTGAAAGCGAAGCCGAAGAGAAAGCCCCCTTGAAACAGGAAGAGGAACACGTCTGGCCAAGGAAGGGCGATTTCAGGCGCCGCTGCAAGTGGTGTATCTTTGACCAGCAGCAGCCTGCCAAGAAGGCCCGTGTGGAGTGATGGAGTGATAGGTGAGTTGCGATTTCCGCGAGTTCTGGAGGTGCGATGCACTGTGCCGGGTGTTTATAGCATAGGCCAGCATTGCCATTATAGTAGGGAGCCACGTATTTTTACCAGGCTCATGGTCTGAGTCCCTACTACAATGGCAACTGGAAGCACATAGGATGGCCTGGGGTTTCCAAGGGGAGCCACTCTGAAAGCGGAGTGCGATGTGCGGTGCCCAAAAAAGGCGGGCCGCGTGCACCTCGGTGTCTCAAGCGAACGTCATTATCAAAACCCCCCCCCCAACCCCGCCCCACGCGCATTCCATGAAACCTAGGCTACCAGCCTGCAACCGAAAAGCTGCATGTTGGTGAGGCAACGGAGTGCACGTGCAGCGGAAGAAAACAGAAAACGGCTCCGAGCACACTGGTTCTAAGTCCCTACAAGATGCGCGAACTCCCCGGAAATGTTTGACTTTCTGAAAGAAGGGACCCCCCCAAAGGTTTCTGCTCAGGAAACGGACCCTGACTGACTTGGGTCAAAAACATGGCGAGGGGAACCTTGCTTGCCGGGGGGTGACTTCGATGTTTCTACGCAAGCGACACGCTGTACAATTTGCAACGACATGTTGAAACATGGTGCCCCACCCGGGAGAGCAAACAGCTCGCCCTAGCTGATCAAAGCGAGCCTGGCAAACATCTGCAAGCTCAACTGCGGGAAAGCGAACTCACCAGGAAGGTCCTTGGAGATCCAAATCTTGGAGGTTTAGAAATCATATCCGGGTTTTGTTGGTACCTTGTGAGAAAATTTACCAGGGACCCTTTTGAGCCCAGTACATCCTTCTAGGTACCAAGGGACTCGTTGGACTAATCTGCCGAGCTCGTTGCAGGAGCCTGCCGGCGTCGGCGCGTGCCTCCGAAGCGAGCGCAGCGAGCGCAGCGAGCGTGAGCGCGGACGCGCCGGGCGAGTTCTTGGAGAGCGAAACGATGTGGAGCCCCGGCTGGGGATGAAGCATTTTGGGTCAGAGGGTCCCTTGGTACCTTCTACGGACGTTCTGCTGGTCTGGATTGGTTTGGATTGGTTTGGATTGGTTTGGTTGCTTGGATTGGTGGTTTGGGTTGGTTTGGATTGGGCAAAGGGGTCAAAGTGTTTCCTCGCTTGGACCGGGTTAAGAAGCCAAGGAAACCGGCGCGTGACGGTTGGACATGGGGGGGACTCAGACGAGCTCTAAGTTTCCCACGAAAAAAGAGGCTGACCACCCAATTTGCGGATGTTCTTGGGAACATGTCATTCACATACCTTATCGCAGATTGGGAAAGCTAGCCTCATGTTTCAAGAAGCCCTTTGCCCCTGCCGTTTGGCAAGAGGCTACCTTGGGACTTGGTAGGTCCATACCACGGTGTCGTCCGAGGTGTTGGCCTCCTGTTGGTGTCCAAAAAGGCGGTCCATCCAGAGTCAACCTTGACATGAGGCGATGTATCTAACGTAGCCAGGGTCCCTTGGTACCTGAGGATGGCTTTTGGGGTGGTCAAAAGGGGTCGTTCAGTACATTCTTAGCAGGTACTTGGACCCTTCGGGGTAGTGATCGCCAGTGAGATGGTCGAGGGACGTAGAGGGAATTGCGAAGGGAATGGCTCGGAATGACGGTGCTTCTTTGGAGGGCTTCGACGCGTGATGCAGAAACTGGGCTTGCGAAGGTCATTTTTTCGGGGATCCTTCGCAGGTAACAACAAACTTCTCTCGAAGGTGCCCCCCCACCTCCCAGGACAGTTCCGCGAACCACCTCCCAGGACAGTTCCGCGAACCACCTCCCAGAACAGTTCCGCGAATCATTTCTTTGGACAGTTCCGCGAAGCCTGGGAACCTTTCTGTGAAGAAGGCTCTCAGAAACCTTTCGCGACGCCTCTGGGCTCTGGGCTCCTTTCCACGGGTTGAAATCAGCGAGTGGCCCTGAGGAAAGGCGTTAGTCCGAGCCTCAGACGCCGACAGTCCTGACAAGATCTTGTGCTTGAAGCGGCTTTTGGGGAGACTCATTCCCAATTGCAACACCTGGATTTGTGAATCGCCTATGGCCAGAGGGTCCAAGTACGTACCTTCTAAGGATGTACCTAGACCCCTTTTGACGCGGGCCCCGAGAGCCATCCTCACAAATTACCAAGGGACCCTCTGGGTAGTAAGCTTTCAATCTGGCATGTCCATCCTGTCGTATCGCGTTTTGACCTTGAAGGGGCCCTGAAGCTGGAACGTATGGGAGAGACCTGGTCTTTGGTCTCCTCCAAAGTTGCGTGTGTGATACGGGTGTGTGTGTGTGTGTGTGTGTGTTTTGTTGAGGGTACCCTTTGTCACCTGTGTTGAAAGGGAAGCCAAAAGGAACACCGAAGCCATTTTGGGGGTCCCCGTATTTCAACCGATTTGGGTAGGGGGTAGAGGAAAAATGGAGCAGAATCTGAAAAACTCTAGGGGTTGATTCCCCATTCTTTTCAAGCATCGTTCTTTCCAAAAACCGGCCGTTCTCCCTGGGTTTCCGGAGGTTTTCTAGAAAGAAGGATCCTTGGAAAGAATGGGCAAGGTACCAGTAGAAAAACCGATTTTGGCAGCGCCAGAGTTGGGCACTATTTGATTGCCGGTAGGCGTCTTCATCTTTGAAGGCCAAAGGCTAGAACTGGGTGTGGCCTCTTCTGAGGTCCCCTAAAATGGGTGGTTTCCCCCGGTTGTCCTTGAAACCAACCCCATAGGGCTGCACCCAAAAAAGGAGCATCCAACTTTATGTGGGCGGATCATCGTCTCAACTAGTCAGAGATAGTCAGAGGCAACTCTGGTCGCTTTCCGACAGATCATGAAGAGGAGTCGCAAGGCATGTTTTGGCAGAGTCCCGAAACAGGCGAGGATTGTCTGATTTTCCACTAGGTCTCATCCATCTCAATAGCAAGCCTGCCTCGAAGTGGTGGCTGTTCTTTGGAGGCCCCGTAAATCACTGCTTGCTTGGCGGTTCGCAGCCGTCCGGTTCCTGAGGTTTGCTTGCTTTTAGGGATTAGTGGTTGAGTTTCTATTTAATCCTTCAAAAGGGAAGGTTGCACTTGCCCTCTCAGTGAGCTCACCAGCTTACTGGCTCTCACTCAACTTGGGGGAAACCACCTGGAAAACCGAAGCCATTTTGGAGTCCCCCCAAAAAAATAGACAATCCTTTGAGCTGCCCTGGGCCAGTGGGCTGAGCGGCTGAGCGGCTGAGGTATGTTCAATGCCATGATGTGGGGGGGCGGCTCGGCAGCATTGGCTGATGTCTCACCAAACCTCCAGCCCTGACCAGACCTGAGTTAGACTCGCCTTGTCAAGGCCAAACCATTTCGGAGGGTTGTCTGATGTCACTGATGTTTTGGCCAACACCTTTTTCTTTTGGAAAGGGATAGGTAAAAGTATTGAAAGGAGGATGGCATCCAAAGGAGACACATGTGATCGCAACTGACCGTCAGAAGTTGGGACAAGGCGCATTAATTTTGCTACCGCAGCTGAGGTAGCATTGTGTCTTCCAAAGCTGGCATAGACGCATTGGCATCAGCTGGCGTAGAGGAGCTGTGTGTGCTGATACCAAGACCCGGAGGCAAGGCGTTTGATGGAGGCTGTACCGGGTAGGGGCCCCGAAGCATGTCCTGGTTGTGCAGCCCCGCGCTTGGTGAGACAATGGCAAAACAGGATTCAAGAGCCAGTGCCAGTGCCAGGCTCTTGGATTTATAGGGCCCAAGAGTGCTTGCCCCTAAGAGGTTTCTGGACCTTTTGAACCCCAAAACTCCAAAACTTGATATGGACCCCCCAAGCTCTGGGGTGGCTTGCAGGGGGTGGTTCGAAAACTGCTGGGATGCCTCTGCTTTAGCTGAAAAAGGGAATCGGTCCTTTGGGACGGGCTGTTGAAAACCGCGGAGTCCTCCAGGTGGGTGCAGTACACAAGATATCCCATTTCTCACTTAGAGGCTTACCTCTTAAAAACACAACTTTTCAACTTTTTGGGGGTAACATGGGCTATATGTCTGTAAAAGATGAACTTCCCCAATCCTTGGAGTTTTAAGGGGTAAGGACTCACTCCCGAATCTGGGCTTGTTCTGGCTCAGTGAAGTCTCTGAAGATTCTAGATATATGCTCCACAGCGGAGCAGTCCAGGCGTGAACGCAAATTCCGGAAGGGTGCCAAGGGTCCCAGTTGCTCTTGGGAATCCCACCTTTTTCTATTTTAATGTTCACGAAACCGAAGCTGAAATTGTGTTTGTTGGTGTACCCCATGGTCTTTATGTCTGCCATGTTGCCATTAAGGGAATAGCCTTACGCCCCCTGAATACCTGAGCTCACGATCCCCCATCCCCCCCCCCCCCCCCCCGAGGAGCCGGGCGTGGTCTTTGGCGCGCTGCGCTTCTTTGTGGCGACGCTGTGCTTGTCGCCCTGGCTCTTTGCGTCCAGCACCAAGGAGAGCACGCGCCCTGCTTGGAGAACTCGGGGAGCACAGCTTAGGGAAGCCACAAGGACTAGGTCTCCCAGCTAGGTGCCCTTTTTTTAATCCCCTTTTTTGGTTGGGAGGGTTCCCCTAGTAAAATAGACTACAGAAAAAAGCGTAGCCTTATTCTTCCCTCTCTACTGGAGGACCTAGAGGAAAAACCCGGAGTTCAGGTTCGGAGGTCCAAGAAGCCCCGTGTCCACACGGAAGAGAGGCAGACCATGTTCTGTCTTTAGACGTGGGACAAGTTCTGTGAGGTAGCTGGGTCCCAATGTTACAGATTGAGTCATGTTCTTTGCCGAAACGATTCACGAAAATGTGTCAAGGCAGGAACAGGGATCTTTGGGTATTGCGTGCGGGCTGGGTGGGTTGGTGGGTGCGTGTATACCATTCAGGGTTTGCCTTCTACAAAAGCAGCTTGCCGTCCAAAGGAAGGCTCAGCAACCGCGAGCAGATTCCGATGTCCAAGTTTGAGGTGTCCCTTGCGAATCTGGCAGAGCCATGCGAATTGTTTCCTACCGCCCCAGCCCAAGTACTGAAATCGGATTTGGAGCCCAGATTTCTGAGGTTCGGACCCCATTGGCATCCATTCGCAATGGTTTCCCTTCGGCCAAACAGGGTCCGACTTGAGCATGGTGAACTTTGCTAGCCAAGGACCAAGAGAAATCTGTTTGTTTTTTTGGGTGGACGTCCAATTCAGAGAGCTTCCAGGTCACCCGACACGAGGCTTTCGGGTCACCTGTCAGCCTGCCAGAAAACCTTTGAAGTCGTTCCGGTTTCCCTCAACCCTGGACCAGAAAGCATCCGACTGACTTGTTTTGTTCAAACAACAAGTTATCTATGATCACCGTTGCTCCTTTGCCGAGCTCGCCATTTTGGGCAGCGTGTCAAAGCTAAAATGGCCCATGGTTGGTTTCAAAGGAGTCCTTGCTCTCACTTGCCCGAATCAACCTTTTAGCCTTTGAAAATTCCCTGATTTGGTCCGTTCTTGGTGAAGGCTCCTTTTTATGTCTGGGTCCTTTGGGCAAGTCATTGATAACTTGCTCCAGCTCTGCAAGAAATCGAGTGGCCGGATCATGGGTCCACTTCCAAGGTCACCGGGGCAGCTTTGAACCATGGTAGCTGATGACATGATCCAGGGGACAAAAAGACTTGGTGGCCGGAAGATTCGCAAGACTCAGCACTTGTTTGCGAGGAGACGGCGGTCAATCAGATCAAGCTTGCAACACAAAGCAGTGCCAGATACCTGTACTGGAATCTGAATACCTATGGTTCAATTGCCTGTAGAGGGAATCACAAGGAGGTCGATTGTTTTTTAATGTTTGTCGAGTGCCCAATTTATTTGGCATCCCCGTTTCACCCAACCGCCAATTGGTGGTTTGCATTGGGCGCTAGGGATTGTTTTTCCATTTGGTATCAACGGGATTTTTTTTAAAACCCATTATGATAAACAAGCTGACAGGGAACATCCCTTTTCTGCAAGCATGTTTAAACCGCTTGTGTTTGAACAACCTCATTTGGGCTAAGCTTGGGGCCAGGGTGTGGTTGTTCAACCAAATTTGCGCAACCCAGATGAGAAGGTGGTAAGCCATTGCTCAGGTTGGGGTCAATGAAAGTGGGAGCCTGCTACGGAGCAGGCGCGGTGTTTGTGCGTCCGGCAAATGGTTAGTAGCCATTGTCATAGCCCACTTGGGGGACGTACCATACGGTTCAACCCCCATGAAAAGAATGGTTGACTCAATTTGGACGATGACGATCCTTAGGCAAAAGAACGGTGGTTATATGAAACCCCGAATTGTTTTGGTGTTTCGAACCCCAGAGCATAGCTTGGGGTACCTGCGCAAGGTTACTACCCGCTTGGGCTGGTTTAGGGAAACGGAGGTGTTTGCCAAGAAGGCCACAGCGTAGGCTTGCCAATCAGGCTCCTGCTTACTTACCGGTCCCTTGCCTGGAAAGTGCGAAAGTAGCCATGGGAATGAACCACTTTGGGGCCGTGAACGAAATCCTGCACCCATGGCTGAAAACCCATGGGACAAACCAACTGTGAGCTGGCGAGAAGCAACAGTATCAGAGAAAGGGTTGCTTTCTTGTTTGTTCTGTGGCACCTCCTACCCCTTTGGAGAATGACGATTTCCCCACCAGCAAAGGGTGAAACACCTTTTGGCGGTCTAAGACGTAGAGGTAAAGACCTAGTAAATCGAGGTAAGAATACACAAGGGTTACCTGTCGGTTGCCACGCCTGGCATCTACAGACAGGTTCCGTTCATTTCCTTTCGCCTTTCTACTGTTCTGCTTGAATGAAAATCGTTCTCACACAAGAAGACAGGTTTCCTCCACACCACACCACCCAGACAAATCGTCCAATTTTCCTCACAGAATGCGAATGACAAACCTTTCTTGCTGGTGCGATAGGCAGGGAATGAGAATTGGAATGACCCCAAGAAAAACCATCCAAGTGATGGTTTTCTTTATGCGGGGGAAGCCTGCGTTCATTCCATGTCTCCTTCCCATCGCAGCGACAAGCTTTTAGGGCTCTACTAGGTCCCCCAGTAGTGCCCTTTCTCACCCCTTTTTTGGTTAGGAGGGTTTCCCTACTAAAATAGACGTCCTGAAAAAAGAAACAGTACCAACTTATTCCAACCTCTCTACTGGAGGACCTAGGTTAACAGGGATGGTCATCCACCTGGTAGTAGGGATCCTCAATATCCATTATAATGACTCCTACGGGAGCCCATGACCATTGGCCATATAAAGGCTTGGTCCATCGCATGCGTTTAGGGCGCCTGGAGTCTCCATGACCCTATGGTTGGTCATTACCCAACAGGGGTGGACCCATTGGTTCGGGTCGTGGAGACTCCTAGGCGACTCGGGCGGCCAGGCTATGTGGCCATGTTCCTTGCGCTGGGCCTCGGCACCACCGCGGCCAAGACCTCCTTTTTCGGGTCCCTGCAGGCCGTGGTCTGCGCAGGCCGTCCGTGGGAGACAGAGACGAAGTGGTCCTTGTGGGGGTACCCCCGTTTCGGGGGGTTAACAAGGGAACCAAAAGGAAGACGCCTAAGGTATCGTTTCACGACTTGGCCCCTTTGTTTGTTTGTTTGTATTTTTTGCCCCTGATGTTTGCTTTCCCCTGGTTTTGAAGGGACACTTGGACTGCTGGAAATACGACCCTGACTTTCTCCAGGACACCCCAATGGTGGTTGGCCCCTTTGGGTTTCAGGGTTTTAAAGAAGGTGGCACGCTCAAAACAGACAGACCGTGACAGACCCGTATTTTGAGCTGGCTGGTTGTCCCCTTGTGTTTTCCTTTAAAGCCCAAAAAAAAGGAGGTGGTGCCCTCAAGAAAGACACGACCCGTATTTTTGAGCACCCGAGACACGCCGTCAACCCCTCGGCCAGGCATCACTTGCATCCTGGCGCGGCAGCTGAAGATCGGCACGCTGGCGGCAGCCGCTCTGGCGGTCACAGGCGTGGCTGCGCGGCTTTTTGGTGCGAGAGATGCCGAAGGAGACTTGGAAACCTGAGCCCCTGAAAGGAGACCACCAGTTGGATGGTTTATGGGGATATGCACGGGAATCAACCAACTTCCATGTGGTGAAGAATATGTTGTGTTTTCCCCTGTTGGTTTTAAAGGGAGTCGACTTTAGTGGACATATGTTCTCATTTTTGTCCAGGGAACTTAAGCAAATGGAATGAGCCCGGTTTAAGCCATCCAACTGCTGGTTTCCTGAGTTTCCTGAGTTGATTGAGGGAATCCCCGAACGGTTCATTCCAATCCGCATTCCCTGCTGAGCACCAGCAAGTGTCTTGCTTAGCAGAACAGGGCCTGAAATGGGGCCCAGTTTCACTTTGGTTTCGCTTCAAACCCCGAAAGGCAGGCCAACCGTCCAAATCAACTGGGTTTTCCTTTCAACCCACCCCAAAACCGGTTTCGCCCCTTGAAGCAAAGACACCCCATTTGGCCTTCCTTCAAACACATCAAGCGGTCGTTTTCCCTCCAAACCGGGCCCCGCCCCCCGAAAACGACTGGGTCTGCACTCCCAACCCCGACCCATCCGGCCCCTCCGCTTCGACTCGACCAGGCGTGGGGGTGCTGGAGCTGGCGGGCAGCGGGCCTCTGGAGCTTGCGCCGGGCGCTTTGGCGAGAGTTTGGAGAAAGGCACAACTTTTTCCTAGCGGTTGGTTGGTTGGTTGGTTGGCTGGTTGGCTGGTTTGTTGGTTGGCTGGCCGCATCCCCGGCATCACCAGCCTCACTTGGCCCTGGGGCAGCCTATTGGCTCTGATTTCGTTGCAGTTGGGAGTTGCTGGGGGCTGGTTTAAATTAGGGGGCTTTTGGCTGGCTAAGATCTTCATGAGGGTGGGTCTTGGGGTGGTTTGGGGTTGATTTAGGAGAAGCGAAGGGCTGACATCCAGGCTGCTGTTGGGCGGGTTTAGGGTTGACTTTGAGTGGGTTTGGGTTGGCTTGGAGCTGATTTGTGATAAGGTGAGTTTTGGTTTAGCAGCGGCTTTAGGGTTGCTTTAGGTGTGGTGAAGTGAGTTTTGGTCTCGTTTAGGATCGGTTTTGGAGCGTTGCACCCACCCTCATGAAGATCTTAGCCAGCCAAAAGCCCCCCTAACTTAAACCAGCCCCCAGCATCTCCAAACTGCCGGAAAACCAGCCCTAGGACAAAGTTACCTTCTGGGGCTGCAAAGTCAATGGCGGATTCTGCTCCAAAATCACCTGGTTCTGCATGCCAAGCCCAGGATCTTTAGGGATGGTGCAGTTGGATGTGTCTTTTTTTAGGGTTGGACCCCTCAAACTGGCGCAATGGTTTTCCTGTTGAAATCACAAAAACAGAAGGGTACCCTCGAAAATGACACACTCATGTCCATGTCTATTTTGGGAAACTATGTAATGGCCCCATGTTGACGCATACCCATACACAATTTCCTGATTTGTGCCTTATCCTGATGGGTACTGTGGCGGAATTTTGAGTACAGATCAGGGTGATGGGTACGCCCCATTTGTCAGCATTTCCTGATTTGTGTGTGGCTCAAATTCAACCACCAGAAGACCGCAGGTTTTAGTCTCTGTGCCCGTTTACCAGGGTTCCATTTTGGGCCCCTGTTTTTGAGCCACACCCATTTGTCTATGGTCCATGTGGAAGTGACATGGGTCGCTCTTTTTCTTCCCTGCAAAAATCCGGGGACTCACTTGTCCCAGGTATGGCAGGCAAGCAGTTTTGACCGTAGCTCATGCAAGCAACGGTCAATACTTACCGTCATGAAATTGAACCCTCGGGGGTTGAGACATTTGCTCAAGACGTGACATACCACATTGCCACATGCTGCGTGATATGGATGCAATGAATACACCATCGCCACCGTTCGGCGATGGTGTCGCTTTGAGGCTGGGTACTCTTTTTTTTTTTTTTTTTTTTTTTTTTCGGGTGATAGAAAGGAACAAAGGGGAGGTTCCCATACGTCCAGAGCAAACCACATAATAAGTACAACTCACAAAATGATATATACAACTGATCAACCCAAGGGTCCGGCCAATTTGGCCATGCCCAAAAGGGGGAACAAAGAAGATGGTTTGTGGCTCGCATAGATGTTATCCCACATTGGGTCCTTTCTTGTTGGAAAAAATGTTCGCCTTCAAAGCCATCCTGAACAGAAAATTAAGCACCCAATATTTGTGTGTCCCAAATTTGAGGACCTCGTCATGCTTTCGAAAGACAAACCACAAGGAAACCGTCACCCTGACATCTTTCCCATGGTCAATTCCCTTTCCTCCACAGATTAGTTGACTGGTCCCCGTTTTTGATTCCATGCACATTCGAGCAAGGTCTTGGTAGCTTCTGGAGGGCAACCTCACGAACTGCGGGGGTATGTGGCTATGAGTTGTGATGAGGAAAACCGTTCCATGTGTCTCTTTTTGTAGGGGACCTCCAAAATCGTGATTTTCCTTTTGAGTTCCATTTGAAACCATCCAGGTAGGGCACCTTCAAAAAAGGCGCTCCCAAATGGTTGGTACGCATAAATCCCAAATTTCCCCTGGATGAGTGTGTTCTTTATGCTATCCTCTCTCTCACATTCTGTCATACTGCATTTGTTTTCCAAGGACCTATTAAATATCCAATACAATAGGTACAGGACATGCGTTGGAGAGAAGTAAACCCTGAACATGATGTCCACAACGGGATTCTCAATTAAAACTCAGACCCATATAAGCCATGCAAAGGGTTTTGGAGCTTCTGGAGTTCCGATGGCCCATGTCCCGTGTCCGTTCACGGCACGTGAGCCCGAGGCGACTTGATCTGCTCGCTGGTGCCACTGAGCTTCGGTGCTGGATGGTTCATCCTGGGCAAGACCATGCCGCTAGTCATGAAACCCACAAAGGCGGCGATGGGCTTAGAACGGGGGGGTGTCTTTTTTGCCACCTGTTGTGAGAAAAGGGGCGATTTTTCCTCAAAACGGACTCCTCCTCAAAACGGAGTCGGTCATTTTGCCACAAGAAAAACGGCAAAAAACGCCCCGCCTGGATGGGTTTGGCCTGTAGGTCTCCACGTTGTCTTTGGGGGCGGTGAACTTGGATGTTCGGCGGGAACCGGGAAGGGCGCGTTGGTGGTCGGAGCTCTGCAATTTGTCCGGTACTTCACCTTTTAAGACTGCCGTAGACATGGATCAACATGAAAAATATACCATGTTGGATGTAACTGGCAAAAGCTGAGGCTTTGGGTTTCCAAGAGTTGCGGACCGTTCGTAGTCTAAGTCTGCTGGATTCGTGGAATGAGATGAACTGAGATCCAGTTCGCCCAAATCGAGCACAACATGAACGCAATGGCTTGCAACCAAGTCAGACCAATCCAAGTCAATCCATGTCAATTCGGAACATACAAAGCCTCAATAAGCCAAGACCAACCTCAACAAATGTCTCTTCAGGTCGAGTACAAGGCGAACGTGTGCAGGGTAGACAGACACGCAGACACAAAGACACACGGACACACAGACACACGGACAACACAAACATACATAGAGATGGGCACGCGCACGGGCACGCGCACGGAGCAGCACAAAGCAATACAGCAGAAACACACAAGCAAGCAAGCACAGACAACACACACAAACAAAAGCAAACGCAAACAAATACACCAACAAACACGCACACACAATCCACACCACACACACACACCACACACACACACACACGCACCGACACGTGCGTGCACGCACGCACGCACCAACATATGAGTCCCAAACTGCTTGCCAATGTGAACATGCTGGACCCTCCTTGGCAAAGGCAAAGGTTGCAAACCGCACACACAGACACAGACACAGACACAGACACAGACACAGACACAGACACAGACACAGACACAGACACAGACACAGGCACAGGCACAGGCACAGGCACAGGCACAGGCACAGGCACAGGCACACGCACACGCACACGCACACGCACACGCACACGCACACGCACACGCACACGCACACGCTGTTTTCCAGATGCTTGGTTACCCGCTGATGCATGGAATGGATCACTGAAGGAAGGACTATCCTGAAGACGCCTTGCCCTCCACGGCTTTGCAGCTGGCGCTGATCTGCTTGGCCTGTTTGGGCCTCTTGCAAGCACTAGAGATGGGTTGAGTTTCAGTCTTGGAGGCCTCCGAAAGTTGTGGCTTTCTGCTGGGCTTCCCAAGAAACAGCAAGGCGTTCCTCAGGTCCCCTCAAAAAAAATCGACCGCCATTTCTTGGCGGTTCCCAGCCGTCCGGTTCCTTTGGTTTTTTAGGCTATTAGGGTTTAGTGGGGGCTCCCATTATGTCAGCCGCTAAAAGTGATTCACTTATTCACGTTTAGCAGTTAACTGTTTGTAACAGTGATTCACTTTTAGCAGGGGATTTGAGGACGGCCCTGATTTGTGGTTCCATGTTCCCTGCTGGAAGAGTGAACTTGGGCCCTCCCCCCTTAAGCTCGGGATGGATCTCGCATCGCCAGAGGTTGGCCATTTCTTTCTTACCCCTTGTTTGGTTGGGGAGGGTTCCCCTACTAAAATAGACTACAGAAAGAAAAAAAGTGGGTACAACCTTATTCTAACCTCTCTACTGGAGGACCTAGACAAAGTAGTGATGGGAATGAAGCATAACGGCATGACAGACAAAAGTATTCCACCACTCTGTATGGTGAGCCTGTTGGAGTACTTGCTGTTATCACGCCCCTTCAGGTGGGTCCACAGTTGAGACATCCAAGGCATATCGCCTAGGCTCTTCTTAAGACTCATGAAGAAGCGGACCGGCGCTGCTTGGTTTAAGCACATGGTCGTTTTACCAAACACTCCAACGTGTTGCCAAAAACCTTGGAGGACAAGCAGAGGTCAGCCGGGAGGTGAACAAGGCGTTGACATACGCTCAGCAGCAAAGCAGGCTCAGCTGTTAAACGTTGGAATTTCCTTGGAAGAAAGTCTAGCCTTCCACAAAAGGTGACGGGAGGTTCTATCAGCGCTGCCCCTGCTCTTGTTCAGCAGGTAAACGACCATTGGGACGACCGGGTATTCGTGCGAAGCAAGGAGGAAACCCCATGCTATCTAAGTTTACCTTGGCACCAGACCCCTTTGGATAACTATGTTCCTCCAGGAAAGGGGTTTCGTTTGTGCACTTCCGTGTTCCTGGTTTTCCAGCAACCCTTTGTTTTTCTGCTTTACTGCCTTAAACTTGCTTTTCTGCCCTAATCCTTTTTGTTTCCGTCCTTTCGAACAGATGAACAGTTCAATTGCGACCTGGAGCTTGGCTGCTTGTTAGGCTGGACGGGCGCCTCAAGCTTCCACCAGGGCGGCCTGGAGGCAGTAGCAGCGGTCTTCGCGCAGCTGCCTTCGCTGCTGCTCACGCCGAAGCATGGCCGGACAGAAGGCCTTACCTCTCTGAACTCACTTCCTAAGTTCCATTTTGGACTTTAGGCACCTCTTGGTCCGTTTGTTTCACCATTTTAGTGGTGGCAAACGAACAGTTTGGACTGTTTTTGTTTGTCAAAGCCGAAAACGGTTGGACTGTTTTTGTTTGGAGAAGCCACTGAGGAAGTGAGTTTCACCGTTTGGTGTGTCAAATATGTTTCCTCCAGTTCCTTTTGGATCTGGGTGAATTATAACGACCTCACACGACCTCACCCCAAATGGTGGTTTATGTGGAGAATAGGGCCCCCGAACCACCTTGTTTCAGGCTGGTTAAATATTATGATTCACCCAGATTGATTTTTTATCCATTTTCCTTTGCCCGGGCAACCTTTTGTGGGGAGGTTGTATCTCAGGAACCTCCTGCCGCCGCTGCTGTTCTCGGCCCTGGTGGGCAATGCACCCCGGCAGACGATAACTAGGTGCCCCAGTGCCCTTTCTCTCCCCTTTTTAGGTGGGGAGGGTTCCCCGACTAAAATAGACTACAGAAAAAAGTGGGTACCCGTGTTCTAACCTTGCTAATTACTGGAGGACCTAGATAATAATGCCCCCCAAAATGGCGGTTGTCCTTTTGGCGTCCCTAGAAGTATAACATCCTGAAAAGGGGTACCCTCAACAAACACGCAACCCCACATCAAGCATCGCCAGCTGGACCCCTGTAGTTGGAGTTTTTTGCACAAATTACAGCGACCTTCGGTGTATGGTTTGTGAGCTAAGCGTATAAATTCACCGATTGGGGATTGTTTCACAAGCGCAACTTCTGTGAAGGTCCTTTATGCGTCCTGGCGAGCGCTCCCAGTCCCGGCACGAGCAATCAATGAGGTTTTCGCGGGCTGGGTGTTCAGGAATGTTGTCTGGAGGAGCAAGCGAAAAAAAGGGGGAGCCGAAGAAGGAATCTACAAACAGGGAAGCACGCCAAGTCCAGTGCCCTAGCCTGAACACACAATGTGCGTTGTATTGCAGAAACGGGGAAACGGGCAACCATTTCACCTGCCCAGAATCCAAATAGGTTTTCCCTACCGCTTGGTTGTGGGACGTGAATATGAATATGAGTTGCTGAATAGCCGTTTTGACATTTCAGTGATCAATGTCTCGTTTTGGCTCGTCGTGGCATTTTGCGGTTACCCCATCTGACTAAAACCTATGGCTCATTGATGTCCCCGTAAAGGGGGAGGCTGGTTTCAGTCGAACCCTACGAGAACCCATAAGTAGTAAACGGGTCGATAAATTGGGGAGGTGTTGAATATCTGAGTTGCCCAAAGCCAACCTTTTGAACTTTTGGTTTCTCCATTTTGGTCCATCTTGAGTAAAGGTGCCAAAAGATTAACCCTTTGTTTCTGGGTCCTTTGGGCAACTGAGATATGGTGTCATTTTGAAGCGCACTCCCGAGCCAACTTCTGAGATCTTGGGCACAGGAGACCAACTCTGGGGCTTCAGTTTCTCCAGCGTGCCAAGCCCATGGGCGTTGTCCATGGGAAACCAACAAGTCATGGGCGAATTTCCTGATATTCTATGTTCTCCAGCCCCAGATTTGGTTGAAAAGACAGATGCGGGTTTTACAAAGAAGGAACAACCGCTGGAAATAGGTCAAGACAAAACGCTTCAAATAGGTCAATACATCTATGGTTCCCAGATGGCAATGAAAAGGCGCCTCAGAAAATTCTCCCCTCCAGCTGCTTCTTCTAGGCCCCCCACAGCTAGGTGCGCTTTTACCGGTTCTTTTTTGGGTTGGGAGGGTTTCCCTAACAAAATAAACGTCCTGAAAAAAGAAACGGTACCAACTTACTCTAACCTCTCTACTGGAGGACCTTGCCAAACTTACACCCAGCCCAGTGGCGCCCCCTTTTTTCCCCTTTTTTGGGAAGGGTGTTTAACCCTTCAAAGTCAACCAGCCCCAAACAATGGATGTCCCTCCAGCCTCTGGAGGACCCGCTTCGCTGAGGTGCTGACCATGTGGCTGGCCAACGAGGCCCTGCGCCGCGTCAAGGGCGCCGACGTGGCGCTCATCGCGGCCTCGGAGCCGCTCTGGGCGGCGCTGGCCGGGATCGCCTTCCTGGGAGACGCCCTTTGGGCCCAAGAGTCGGTTGATCGGGCCGGGGCGGGGCGGGTCCCGGGTCGGGTCCCGGGTCGGGTGGGGGTCCCGGAAATCCAGCAGAGTGGAGGTCGTGTTTTCTCGGTGTTTTTCTTCTTTGGGTTCGACATGGGCCTCTTTGGTTGAAATTATGTCAAGGGAAAGCCGAAAGGAAGCCAATTCAATCGATTTTTAGGATCCACTTAGACGATAATGATATAGGGGCGGCTGGTCACTAAATGGGTATTCTTAGTTGGGGGGTTAAGTGGTTAGTAGCCTCCTTAAATGGTTCCCAGACCATCAAAGCATGGATCGGCGTTTGGTGCACTTGACCGTAGCTCGCGTAAGGATCTACAAACGCCACCAAGCAAACCCTCCATGTGTGGACCCTCTTAACTTAAAACGCCACGGTACGTCAAGCGAGTGGGTAGTGACCGGGGGCAAGCAACCCGTCCGACCCATGGTTATAAGTCCCTAACTGCAAGCAATACGCAACTGTATTTGTTCTGCCTTTGTACAATTCCATTTGCTTAAGAATATTTGTTATTTCCCCCTGTTGGTTTTAAAGGGAATCTATCATTACTGGACATATTATTTTTCTTTTTTCCCGAAAGCATGGCGAAGGGTTCTTCCGCTGGGTTCACTTGAGTTGTTCTCATGAGAGTCATTACAAGGTGTCATTGCAAGGAATCATCATCATGAAAGTCATTGCAAGGAGTCATTGCAAGGAGTCATTGCAAGGAGTCATTGCAAGGAGTCAGGAGTCATTGCAAGGAGTCATTGCAAGGAGTCATGCAAGGAGTCATTGCAAGGAGTCATTGCAAGGAGTCATTGCAAGGAGTCATTGCAAGGAGTCATTGCAAGGAGTCAGGAGTCATTGCAAGGAGTCATTGCAAGGAGTCATTGCAAGGAGTCATTGCAAGGAGTCATTGCAAGGAGTCATGGCAAGGATTGCAACTTGCACTTGACTCCTTGCACTTGCAACTTGCACTTGACTCCTTGCACTTGCAACTTGCACTTGACTCCATGCACTTGCAACTTGCACTTGACTCCATGCACTTGGCTCCTTGCACTTGGCTCCTTGCACGTGGCCCCTTGCACTTGCAACTTGCACTTAACTCCGTGCACTTGCGACTTGCACTTGACTCCATGCACTTGGCTCCTTGCAACTTGCAATGGCTCTCATGACTCCTTGCAATGACTCCTTGCAATGACTCCTTGCAATGACTCCTTGCAATGACTCCTTGCAATGACTGCTTGCAATGAATTCTTGCCATGACTCCTTGCAATGACTCTTTGCAATGACTCCTTGCAATGACTCCTTGCAATGACTCCTTGAAACAAGCAAGGAGTCAAGTGCAAGTTGCAAGTGCAAGGAGTCAAGTGCAATTGACTTGCGAGGAGTTAAAATCTCTTCTTAGGGCGGCGGGGTAGTGCCGACGACACTACACGAAAATCGACCCTCTGCGGGGATCGGCGTGGTCGAGGTGCAAAAACCCAGGTTTTTTGCGATGTTTAACCTGCTCGCGCGACCCTCTGCGGGGATCGGCGTGGTCGAGGTGCAAAAACCCATGGTTTTTTGCGATTTCTGCGGTGCTCGCGCGACCCTCTGCGGGGATCGGCGTGGTCGAGGTGCAAAAACCCGAGGTTTTTTGCGATTTCTAACCTGCTCGCGCGACCCTCTGCGGGGATCGGCGTGGTCGAGGTGCAAAAACCCATGGTTTTTTGCGATTTCTAACCTGCTCGCGCGACCCTCTGCGGGGATCGGCGTGGTCGAGGTGCAAAAACCCATGGTTTTTTGCGATGTTTAACCTGCTCGCGCGACCCTCTGCGGGGATCGGCGTGGTCGAGGTGCAAAAACTCGAGGTTTTTTGCGATTTCTGCGGTGCTCGCGCAACCCTCTGCGGGGATCGGCGTGGTCGAGGTGCAAAAACTCGAGGTTTTTTGCGACTTTTGTTGTTCGAACTGGTCCTCGGGAGTTGTCTCGTGGTTCGCGCGCCTGCTCCCGGAACCGGCGGGTCGCGGGTTCGATTCCTCCCTGGTCCGCGGGCGGGCGTCGCAAGATGCAAACTTTTTAAGAGCAACTTGCGCAGAGCAACTTGCGCAGAGCACAGAGCAACTTGCGCAGAGCGCCTTGCCTAGAGCAACTTGCGCAGAGCAACTTACGCAGAGCAACTTGCACAGAGCAACTTGCACAGAGCAGCTTGCACAGAGCAACTTGCAGGGAGCGCAATTTGCACAGAGCAACTTGCAGGGAGCCACTTGCAGGGACCAACTTGCCGGAGCAACTTGCGCGGAGCAACTTGCGCAGAGCAACTTGCACAGTGCAACTTGCGTAGAGCAACTTGCGCAGACCAACTTGCACCGACCAGTTTGCGCAGAGCACCTTGCCTGGTGCTGTCTCGCGCTTGCTTCACAAATGCTTCGTGTAGGGAAAAAGAATGCATCCTGCAGCGTTGGGCCGACCTCGCTTGCGATGTTCTGCTTTCGGGCCAACCGTGGTCTAGTTTTCCAGGGGTCTTAGCCAAATGGAAGTACATGTTTCTGGAGCAAAGGCAGAAGTGAGTCCATTGGGCTCAAGCTTCGCATCGGCGCTGAGGTTCTGCATCCCCATGAAGTGGTTGGAGGAGTTGGGCGCTGGGGGCAAACCACCTGGCCAACTCGGGGCTGATTCTCCTCCAAGAAGTTTTGCTCAGTTATAGACTGAGCATGAAAAAAAGGTCACTTCTATTTTCTGTGCAGATGGTTGCCAGTTTCGGGGAAACAAGAGGATGATGCTTCATCGGAGCGTTGAACATGTTTCAGGCGGTTGGTCCTCCCTCAATGGCAGTCAAAAGACCGCGCCAGGAGCTCACGTCAGAAATGCGTTGGCAGCTGGACTTGGATCCAGGTGCTGTTTTGGACTTGGATCCAGGTGCTGTTGGTTGGAGCCTGCAAACAAATACTAACTCCCCGACCGATCTCGACCACCAAGCAAGGCCACTTGTGCAAGTGGGATGACATGGGGCAGACTTATTATGAAATAGGCTTGTCTGAAAATAGGGGAACCCACAAATTGTGTTTTTGTTCCTTTACTTCCGCCTGTAAACCAACCCCAAAAAGGTACCCGCAAAATTAGAGTGCCCCAAATTTCAATTAGGAGATTGGTCTTTCGGCAGGAAACGGAATCGCTCTCTTCTCTTGATTGTGATTTTCCCGAAAGAATGCCCAAAGGGTGTGGAGATTTCTTGTTTTTTCAGACCAGCTCTTTTTCAACACCCGGTCACCAAAGTCTAGTGCCCCTGGGCAGGCAGAACACATGCGTAGTGTCTAAAAAGACCAGGGCAAAAATCCCGTGTTGACTGTTGGTTTCCCTTCAAGACAGCCCCGACAAGAGCGCCCTAGCATGGACATACCCGTGTTGACTGTTGGTTTCCCTTCAAGACAGCCCCGACAAGAGCGCCCTAGCATGGACATACGCACAAAAGCACATTGACACACCACGCACAGCCGAAGATGTGTGCTGTACGGGTCCTGCAGGAGCGCTTCTCATCGCTGCCGTTGTGTGCAACGAGCTGCCTGGATGCATCGGGCTAGCGGCCTGCAGTCCACCTTGCTTTTCGGTAAGTAGTGAAATATGTCATGAGGGGTTAGTACCCATGGTTATATCCCACTACGGGACTTATACCATTCAAGTAAGTACTTCCAGGGTACGCCAGGTAAGTGGGGCAACCATGGCTACAACCCACTTGGGGGACTTGCTTTCTATCCACTTACCAAGTAGTTATGTTGCCCCTTCAAGACGATGTCTTTTTCAAAGGCACCTTTTTGTTTCCCGGAAAGGGCTCAAACGGCCAATGGTTAGGCTGTGCTGCATTGGAATTTGGACGTTGGCCCGCATTTTACATCACTGCAATGTGTCAAGGCTTAGGTGCACTGGCAGAGTGGATTCCTTCCTATCGGCATTTCTTGACATAGGGAATCCCAAGAAATGGTGGTTATCTTGTTGGTTTCCTGTGGTTGTTTAACCTGGAAAAAGGGGACCCTAAGCTTTTACATGGTCCTTGTATGTTATCAAAGGTGCATTTTGCCAAGGGATGCTAGAACTTTGACTTTTTGCCAACGAATGGGGTATTAAACCACTAAAGGTTAAACTTTTAGCAGGGGAGCAGAAAGCAACCGAGCTATGTTATTCCCAGGGTTTACAGGAAGTTTGGAGTTGCTATGTTGCTACCTTTTCAGCTGCAAGGCAAGCCGCCCAACCGCGGGTCCGCCATGTTGTTGTGGAAGCACTCATGTGGAGTCTATGGTGCAGACTCAACACGCCCCAGCCCCACCTCCCAAAAAAGTGAGTTGACGCAGAAGAAGAAGAGACGAAGAAGAAGAAGAAGAAGAAGAAGCAGAAGCAGAAGCACAAGAAGAAGAAGACACCCCCAAGGGCCCAAAAAAGAAACGGCTCCAAAAAACCGCCCCATGTGTCCACGGCGTGTTCAGGCTTTGGGCAGAGGAGGAGCTGCCGCTGGAGAGCGCTCCGCCCAGCCGGATGTTTTTGTCGGGAGACGTCAACCAAAGGGAACTCACCACCCTAAATTGGACCATATATGCCAAAACTACGGATTTGGACCCCCCAAAACGCTGGCTTTCCTTTCTAGTTGTCCTTTTGACCAATCTGAAAGGGATACCCCTCAAAAACACACACCCATATGAACCACCCCAAGTAAGAAAAGTTCGATCAGAATACATTTGGCCGGTCTTCTGAAACCCGAGGTTGGGATTTGCTGATTCAACCGGCTTGGCGCCCTTTGAGTTGGGTAGCCCCTCTGTTTGGAAGGGAAGCGACAGTGCGAAGTTGAGGTGTGGCGTTCCAATGGCTTTCAGTTAAGGGCCGTAGCTGAGGCTCAACGAGCATGTCACACCTCTGCCTCCTTGTTTGTGGATGTTTTCTGTTTCGAGGCAGCGCGTTTGAACCGCTGGTTTCGCCTTGCCGTCAGGCGACACAGTTGATCAAAACATCGCGGCGACAATGTGTGGATATATGTTGTTTTTGAGGGAAACCACTGTTTTGCGTGCTTTTGACAAGAAACCGAAGGGAATTTTACCTATTTGAGGGGTCCCCTCAAAACCGAAAACCCCGTTGAGGGCCACTCGTGGGCGTCGAAGCATGCACTGCAACAAACATAAAGCCTTGGTTGCAAATGCGCAGGTTCGAGGTGTAAAGCCCTGCCTGAAAGAGCCGGAGATGCATGGCGTCTGGAGACATTTAAAGTGCCTGCTACAAACCAGGGACAAGTCAAATGAAATTTTCGCCCCATGGCCATTCGAACAAAAAAAAGAAAGCTGTGTCGTGTCAAGTAGGCGTGGAGAAGAAGCGCATGGCGTTCAACTGGAACGGAACAAGCATGGCTATGAGTCGTTCATGGGGACCGTCTTGCAATGCGTCCCTGATCAAAAAACGCAGAAGAGGAGTCACGCAGACGTGCATCCAAACTGTTGATTCACTCCATTGGACACTCAATCAAAAGTTACATGGGGTACCAAAAAGGACTGTCTCTGCTTAGGAGAAATGGACGGTACCAAAATGTAGGAACAGTCTCGTCAATCAATGTATTTTTGTGGAGGGTACCAAAGGAAAACCATGCTAGGGCTTCGCCACTAGCTGCGCTGGTTGGCTGAAAAAGCCCACGTCTTGGTATTGCGGGGTGAGGGTGAATGAAGGAATTAGTGACATTCATCCCACCACACGGTTTTTGTTTGCCGGTGTTGGGATGTGTGTTCTTCAAAGGGAAACGAAAAGGAAGGCAAATGCCAATACCTGTATACAATATGAAGTTTTCTCTGTATAAAAGGCACCATACACAATGTTTATTATTACTATTATGATTTTTTGGGGGGGAGGGGTCCCCGAGCAAAGGCCACGCCCACATGCCGTTGGTATTGGACACTCAGGCCCTGCACGCCGGCGGGAGGCGCGTGATCACTGCCCCGCAAACCGAAGCCTCTTACAGGGGCTCAACGGAATAACGTATACAAAGGGTGCACATATTATATATGCATATATATATATATACAAATAGTAGTTGTTTACTCGTTTATTCTTTATATGTATTATGTATATATATATATATATGTTATTGTACACTCTATACTCTGCTTTCCCCTGGGTATCGGTATCGGCATGGTTTGGGGGTCGTGGAGACGTGCTCAACGGGGCCAGCAAGCGAACAGATAAACTGGAAAGTGAATCGACGGGCTTGGGATGGGAAAAGCAGAGGGGGGGCATGTTGGGGATGCGAAGGAACGGGTCACCATTGCAAAAAAGGGTAGACTTGGGCAGCCTTGCCAGGTATGATCATTTCACTAGCAGACAGAATGAATGAAGATATCCATACCTGGAGTCTGTATGACCCTTAACAAGCGGGATCATTACCCAAATTAAGGGGTCATGGACCCATTTTTTAAGGGTCATGGAGACTATAGGTACATGTATGGGGACAACCATTGCAGGAAACATCACCAGCCCCCACCCAAGGAGCTTTGGTATCGCGGGCTCCGAGTCAGCCTTGTAGTTTCCCCCACTCGATGGGGCTTGCAAGAAACAGATGTTAAGCAAGAAAACGGTTCCTGTGTTTCCAGTTTCCACTATAGTAAACCATGTTTCTACCTCCAGGTTTTACATGGTTCCTTTGGTTGCCTGTGGTAACTGGAACTGGGCCAGACAACAATGTGGCCAGAAAGGGTTGCCAGGTTCGCGGTCGAGTATTTACACAGGTTTTGGAGTTTGTCTCAAAATAGGAGAGCCCCAAAAAGGCTGGGTTTCTTGTGGTCCTTGAAGGTTGTCACTGAAACGAGTACCGAGTTCGTAGCCACGGGTATGTGCCTGATCAGGGTAAACCTCAAGTCTTGTGCCTTTCCCCTTTGGGTTGGTGTCTATTTGACAGGCCAAAAAGCAGTACAGATCAGTCAAGACTAAAAGGCTACACATGTTTTTTCCCCCAAAACATAGGTATAGTTGTTTTCCCCACACCAGTACCCTCAACGAAAGATGCACCCACATCCACCCGCCATTTGGCAGATTGAATGCTGCCAACGCAGCCATGATGCTGATGCGCCCCGAATCCAATACCTGATGATCGCCTGTCCTCCTTTAGTCACCGCCACCAATTGTCTCCTAAATCCATCTCACGGGAGCGGGGATTTCAACCACAACCAAATGGGATGGTGGGGGGGGGCGGATCCAAATGTGCCATGCTCATGCCAGGCAAATGTGTGGATTCTGTTGCTCCAAGGAGGGATGACCCCGGATGAACAAACCCGTCCGATCAATAGGGTGTTCCACTCCAAAGGTTTTCTGAATTCCCGTCCAGAGGACACCCCCCATTGATCAACCTGGGGCTTTCTAATCCGGACAGCCACCAAAGCCAGTCCCTTTCCGCGGCAAGCTGCTGGTGCGTGAGCCACTCGTGTCTACCCCAAAACTGAAGGCTTGCCTCTTGAATGGGACCCCCCCTGTTTGTGAAGGGCTTAATTCAGGGCTCGAAATGATTAAATATTTGTGTCACTGATGGCTTAGGTGCAATGCCAACACCGGACTCGTTGTCATTCCCTGTCCATTGCTTCTTCCCCTAAGAACATGTCTTTATTGTCTTGAGGTACGAACCGGAAATCTTCAGAAGTCCCGTTCTTTCTCGATCACACCCCAAATTTTGCGAAGGGCTTAATTAATTCCGCCCCAGCGATGCATTCCCAACCTGCGGACTCCTTGCCATTCCCTTCGCCAGTCGCGGCCACGGCCCCTGGTGCAGATGGCCGCCATGAAGGCACCTGGCGGAAACGCGCAAGCGGAGAAGCTGAAGGGGACCACTTCGAATCCCCCAAAGGTCTATAACTGGGGGTTCAACTTGGCTTTGAGGGGTTCTGAAAACTACTTTTCTCACTCCTTGAGTTCCGTTTCGGACTTCATCCTTTTTGGGTTTGGACCACTTTAGTTGTAAGCAAGTTCAGGCTTTGCTTGGCCGATTCACGCAGGGAGTGAGTTTTACCATTTGGCTTGTCAACCGTTTTTTTCCAGTTCCTGTTGGATTTTTTCCATGTTCCTTTGCCAGGCGTTCCTTGAAACCAATTGGATTGCAAGTTCGAGGATGTCACTTGAATGGACAGAACCCCCATACGTGCTAAGGGCCGCCCAGGAGGTAAGGCTCCTGTGGGGACCATCCCGGGGGGTTCGAGCAGACCTCATATCAGATACACGGCAGTGTGTCTCCAAAATAAATACGACCCCCCCCCCTCCCGCTTGAAAGCGGTGGTGGTTCTGTTGTTCGGCTTGTTTGATGAGTTTATTTATTTTGTTATTTCTTTATTTCTTTCTTCCTTTCTTTCTGTCTTTCTTTCTGTCTTTATTTTGTTTGTTCGTTCGTTTGTTGGTTTGTTTTGCTTGTTTGCTTGCTTGCTCTTGCTTGCTTGATTGATCAATTGTTTGTTTGTTAAAGAACCCCAACAATGAGCACCTAAGAATGATGAGTGGCTCTCATCCAGAGCTTCCTGGGACTCCCTGGAACTCTTGCCAGTGTCAACATTGATTGTCAAGTTAGGGCGGTCACTCCATGGCTAGTCTTTGGTGTGATCTTAGCCCCTAGGCCCTTGGGCTTGTTTGGAAAGAACCGGCTCGTATCGGTGTGGTTTTGACCGCCTCACGGCAGGACAAGTGAGCGCTGAAGGCGCGCTCGAAGATCCGGCCGGACGTGATAGCGCCTAAAACCTCCATCAGGCACCACCTAAGAAACACTTGAAATGATTCGATTCCGAAGACATGTTTCCCATGGTTCAAAGTGGTGCAGGATTTCGTCCATCCGCGGTATGTGTTGCTTCTACCCGGTTTGATTAGGGTTACGGTGGAGCCTGTGCAAACCTTGATAGCCACATTTGTTAGAACCAAAAGTCTATGGGCTTGGCCGCTTGTTTGGGCGCGAGAAACCAAAGGGAAGGCACCCATGTAGGAGCTTTACAGGCCCCTTCCGCACACGGAAAGGAGTGAAGGCAAGCAGCACAGGCCGGATGAGTTTCTACAATTGGGCGCCTACATGGATGTTGTTGTTGTTGTCTTCTGTTGACACCATCCTGAGGGGGCCTTAGTTTTTGGACCAGACGTGAATGGCCAATTTGGTGCCATCAACTTGATGCTGGCCTCCGTGTTTCTGTCTGGAACCCAGTTGATTCCATGGCGCCCAAAAAGAACCAGAAAAAGAAAAGTATCCCGGGCAAGGGCTTTGGAAGGCTTCACTAAGCTGGAAGTCCCTAAAGGACGCATTGGAGAAGAAAATGACGCGGGAAGAGGGTCTCCAACAACACACGCACAAATAGAGGGTTACCTCCCCCCCTTTTTGGGTAAATGACACTCGTCATGGTCATGCCTAATCTTTGACCGAATCGCCGGGAGAACTGTTGGAAACGAGTGGCTTTTCCATCTACAAAGGGTTTGCACGTTCCAAACAGACAAACAGAGAGTCTTTTTAACGTAAAGCAATGGGTCCACCCTTTTCCGTAAATAACCCCGCCCTCCACCCCCCCCCTCCACCCCCCCCCTCCACCCCCCCCCCTCCCCCCTCCTCTTCATTTAGGTACATGGGTGCTTCTTTTTTCGGGAGTCCCCCCCCCCCCCCGCCCCGGCCCCCCAACCACCAAACAATACCAAGCGTTTGCTCTTGTTCAATCCACACAACTCGAAGAATCACTGACAGACCCCCAACTTCAAACGCCCAAATCGGCCTTTTGGTTCCACGGCAGGTAGCCGGAGCTGGACACACTGGATGAACTGGTGTGTCCAGAAGGTGACTTGGCTTCTCCTTCCCTCTTCGGCGAAGTCAGGCCATGTCTTCGGTTGAGGGGAGCTGTCCGTTTCGCAACGGATGGTTTTAAACGAAGCATCTTGAAGCTGTGTTTCTGTCCAACTGGTTGTGACTGCGGACGTGTTGTTGAGCACCAAAGCCGCAAATGGAAGTCACGCACCTGATCACTAGGATGCAAGAGGCTTGCGGATATGATGGCCATGCCGGCCTTTGTTTCCTTCACGAAGCAAATTCCGAAGCAGGTAGCTTTCCTTAGTGCCGGTGCGAGTTGACTGACACGTCAACACACACCATGGCTGATACTCCTTCGCGCCGCGATCCGCACGGCAATGCTCTCACGAATCTGCTGCAAGTCGAGCGCGCAAGGATGCAGTGAGACTGCTTTTGGAAAGCTACCCTCTCCAATCATGGAAGCTCCAAGAAGTTTCCTGTCCCCTTCCATGATCGGAAAGAGGGTAACCACACAGGCATCAAAGTTCCCTTTCCAAAGCTAGTTCCACTGGCACCCCTTGCTTTGCAAGGCTGCATGCACGGCTTGCCTTTGCCTGAGCGAAGCTCATGGCAAACCAATACCCCAGATTTACCCTCGCCGGCTTGTTCAGCAATCTTTGGCTGATTGTCGTGGTACTTTGTAAGTGGCTAGCAATGGTTGTCGCCCGCATAGAGGACTCATATCCCTGCTAAGTGGGTTATAAGGTTTACGAACCGCTTACAAAGAACCCTGTCCATTCCAGTTGTGTTCGGACGCTGATGTCTTTTCACCCCTTCATTCAGATTCCATACCGGACATTCAGCCAGTGCCGGAAGGTATAGCGCTGCCTGGCCCATTCTTGGAAACCAAGATTATTTCTTCCATCATCTCCATTTGAGCCACAATCAAAGCCCGGGTAGATGATGCGGATATTCGCCTTGGTAATTCTTGAAATGGTTCTGGGATTACGACCATTTCAATACAAAGGGTTTTGATTGTGTCTCAAAGGGAAACACCACCATTTTGGGGGGTACCCTCAAAAAAAAGACACCCCCAACTAGTGATTCATATGGAGATCAATGTTGAAACACGCTCTCCGTGTTTGGTTTCCAAGTCGCAGGGCAGAATTCGAATGTCGTAAGTTGCCCCCCGCTTTTCCAAGTCCAGGCGCCGACCAAGCGCTCGCTCAGCCTCTGGCCCAGACGTCTGGTTCCCGGTTTTCCTTTGGAGGACTCTAGGTGCCCCAGTAGTGTCCTGTTACCTTTTTTGGTTGGGAGGGTTCCCCTAGTAAAATAGACTGCGGAAAAAAGAATCGCGCGCCCTTATTCTAAGCTCTCTACTGGAGGACCTAGAGGAGTTTCCCTCTGAAATCTAATTGAGAGCTCGATTGCCAAAAAGACGGTGGCTTTGGTCTCTCATGGCCAGTGTGGATGGACGCCTTTCTGCGGATCTCTTTCTCTCGCAGCCTTGAAGCACTGTTAGGGGTCACTAGGGTTGAGGAAAGGAGGGGGGAATGGCTAATGTGACACAACTCAGCGAGCAAATGAGCGAAATAGGAGGTTTCCGAAGCTGTCGGGGCTGAAACATGGCCTGAACAACTCAGGTCCTCTAGGGGTTTGCTGGTCCTTTTGGACATGCTTCTGCTTCAGGGAGCAAAGAAGAGGTTGGACATCAGCCACAAGTTCGACCTGATCGTTTGTCAAACAACCTCCCCAGCGGATCCATGCCATATAGGTCACCAAGCAAACCGTCCTTCTGAGGGGAAAGTGGCTCGCCTGGAAATCACTGGGCGTTCTAGTACAGATGGATCAGGACTTTGGACTCACATTTTCCACGCCCGGGGGGGGGGGGGGGGCGGGCACGCTTTGGACTCTTGCCTCAAAGCTTCTCATGTTGGGTACCCTCACCAACAGCACCTGAAGGGGGGTTTTGTCAAGAGAGGTAGCCTCCCAGCAAAGGATGGCTTTTGAGTTCCATGTTCAGTAGCGTAAACAGTCCCAACCAATTGAAGTATCGGAGAGTTTTGAGGAACGTCCCATGTGTTGAAAGAGTGGGCTATTGAAGTGGACATTGAGCACTCTCGACCAACTTGACAGAAAAAGCCGAGCAAGATTGAGGGATTTCAGGTCCTCGGGTTTTTGACAGTAGTGGGATATTTTGGGGGACCCCATACCTCAGTTTTGTTGTTTTCTTTTTACATTAGAGACTTTGCAAGTGGCAGTTGTTTTGTTGGTTTGCGCGTTTCTGTACGTGCCGACCTGATCATGAGGAGTCCAGTTGTTTTTTTGTAACCACCACATGTGTTTCGCAAAAACTCGCAGTTGCCCGAAGCTGACCTTTCGACTCTCCGACTGACCATAGTGTCCAAGCCGAAGGTTGAGCTGACGTGGTAAACCGTGGCGTCGCACGCGCGGCCGGCAGAAGTCTGTCGGCAAATACCTTGATTTGCGCTTGCGCACGGCTAGGGGAGGCTCCTGGGGATGGCGTGGGGCACGCTGGGAGAGGTTGGCAAACACGCAAGGTCAACCACCATTTTGCATTTGTTCCCTTGACTATGATGCTAGAAACATCTTACATGTCATGTGTTTGGGGTGTTGTTGTTGAGCAATGCAGCAAAAAGGAGGTGCAAGGCTTTGATCTTCAACATGCTTTGGTGCCCTTTCTGGGGGTTCCTGTAGCGGTGAATTGAACCTGGTAGATACCATTCAACAATGGTTTCAAAGTGGGGCGAAATGGATTTTGTCCACCAGTAGGTTCTTGCTCTTTTGCCGCTTTTCCAAACATAAGCCTTTGACTGGCAAGCCCACAGCTGCTTTTCCCTCCTGATGTGAAGCAGGTCTGTGCTTCGTAACAGGGCTTCGCAGTATCTATAGGCGCGCAATGCCTCTGATTGACACGAGTTTTATGGGATCAATCCGAAGTGAAGAGTATGGCTTCCCACCCTTTAAGCTAAAGGTGGTCAGTCGGTTGCTTGGTTGGTTGCTTGGTTGGTTGCTTGGTTGGTTGATTGGTTGGTTGGCTGTCCAGCTGGGTGGCTGGCTTGGTGCTCCTAGAGGTTTGTGGTGGCAATATATTGTGGGGAATTCAACTTCTTGGGGTAGCCCTTCCATTGTTTGCTCGGCCACATCCGAGCGGAGAAAGAGCGCTCGCACGGTTTGAATGGCCTGTCCCAGCATTGCCACATTTTTTCAATCATCGCTGTTGCACAGAGCAGGCTGCAATGGATGAACGAGTCGACGACTCGACCAGCAGAGGTGAATTTGGGACCCACAGAGATCGGCGGCGAGAGCTCTCCGCCGGAAACAAAATGCGCGCTGGCGCGCTGCAAGCGGAATGCAGGTGCTTGGGGCCCCTATCCGATCTGGTAGTGGACTTATCTTGAATGGGGGCTTGTCTTTCTGTTTGAGGTGGTGTGGGCAGGATATTTAGAGGGAACCTCCCATTTGTTGAAGGAGATCCCTAAGGAACCTGCCATTTGCGACGGTCCCACATTTTAAGACCATTGGCCCCTTCAAGGGAGGATCCTCCGGGTCATTCCATGATCCCTATCTGATATGGGTATGACATGTAACATGCGCATGTGTTGATTCATGGTTTAATTTCACCAGGGACTGAATATGCACAGGAAACTGAACAAAAAGGGGATTTCGTGGTGGACCTTTCATCCCGTCTCCTACATGGAGATGTATGTCAATGTCTAGAGTAGTCCCCAGTGGCGCAAGTTGGCCGGAACCAAAAACATGGGGAGGTTCGAAATATCAAAGTTTCAAAGAACAAATCAAGCTTTGGCGGTTGCTAGGAAACCTCTAAACACCAACCTGAAAGGAAGTCTCTCAAGCATAATGGAATGAGAGGAAGGTAAGGGCAATGAGTTGCTGAAACTATCCTTCCTTGCTTGGAGGCGTTTGACGACACTTTGGGGAAAGGTTGCAAAACACCCTTGTCCTGCAGAAAGGTTTGTGTTTGTTTGTTTCAATCAGCAGGCATGTAGGGCCTGCCTATCGCAGCAAGCACAGGCGGCTTGGATTGGTGGCTTAGACTCGTTTAGATCCGTTTCGAGGCTAGGTAGTTACCTTCTAAGTTTGGTTTCAAAAGGAAACATGGGTTGGTTTAGAGGCCCCTGGAAACTCACTTGGCATTGGCAAGAGAGGCTCATGCATAGGGACCATGGTAGGAACCCCTCCCCAACTTTCAACCAACCCCAAACAGGTTACCTCTGTCAATGTGAATATGCTGGACCCGCCCCAAGGCAAAGGGTGTCCCAAACGTTGCCCGAACCTTCCCATTGGTTGATTTTAGTTGGAAACCACCCGAGCGCGTAAACCACCCGAGCGCATAAGCTCGTTTCGCAAGTAAGTTTCGACAAAGCCCGTGGCCAAGCCAAACCTAGAAACCGGCCTTCCCCCCCCCCCCATATTGAAGATGCATGCCTTGATCTCCAGGACCGTGAAAAAGCAAGCCCTTGGATGCTTTTTCTGTTTCATCGAAAATCAAGAAACCTATTTTTGTGGGCCCTTGGAAGACCAAGGATGTTTAGTTCGCCTTGAAATGCAAAGTATCTTCAAACCGGATGCCAACCCAAAGGGCACAGCATTCGGCAACACCAAGCGCAAAGTCCATGGCTACATCCGCAATGGCGATCGGTTTTTGAAACGAGCCATGGCCGAAAAGAATCCGGAAAAGGCCTCCACCCCTGCGGTTACAGGGGGGAAAACCCCTGGCCTCCAAGATATGAGCCCATGGGCGATTGGGCCAGGAGAAGAAGCCGGCTGCCAAAGGCCCCCTGATGTTCCTCGAGGCTCCTGGGTCTCTGGGCCCCGATCCGCGGATTTCGTTTGAACCCAGGAGCTTTTTGCTCACTTCCTGGGTTCCTGGGTCCCTGGGACCTTTTGGGGTTTGGGATGGTTTGGGCCATTTCAGTGATGAATAAGAAGTTTGCACGGTTTTTGACCACTTAGAAAGTGAGTTTGGGCGAATTGAACCCAGACGCCCAACACAATGCCTTTTCTTCTTGAGGCGTTGCCCATTGAAATCAAACACATGTCCAAGCGAGAGGACAAGGTTGGTGAGGGGGGGAGGTGGTGAGGGGGAGCAACGGGGCCTCCAGGACAAGGCAGACGAGAAGGCTGACAAAGCGGACGAGGTGGCCAACAAAGCGGGCGACAAAGCGGACGCCGCGGCTGCCAAGATGCGTCAGTGGAAGGGCGAGGCGCGTTCGCTCTCCCAGAGCGGCATCAAGGTTCCTTGCTTGCGGACTCTCATTTCTAGTTTGGGAGTCATACTACTGTGGATAAACAAAATCCTAAGAAACCCTGGAAGAATGATGCCCCTGTAAATACCAACAAACACCAATGTCCCACGATTGCAAGGTGGTGCAGGATTTCGTCCATCCAGAGCGTGACAACTGCACCAATCCCTGGCAAGTGGTCTGCAATGTTTTGGGAACGCACATAACCCAGTGCTTCCAGATACCACTATAGATCATACCAATCATATTGGCAAGGAGCCCTGTTTTATAGCGGTAACTGAAAACACTGGGTAATGTGTAACTTGACCATTTCTGGGTCAACGGTCGGTGCCATGTTTTTTTTCCTTTGTACTCGACGAAATTGATAATGGTAGAAAAGTCTAAATCCTAAGGTTAATCAAGGATTTAGTGGTAAACAAACACTTTGTTGGTCCTCAGTACGGAATGTGGGAATGAATCTGGGGGGCCCCTTGAAGGAAACCACCAGTTGGATGGTTTAAATCGGGCTCATTCCAACTCATTCCCTGCCGAGTTCGCACCAGCAAGAACGTTTGGTGAAGTTTTTCGCCAATCAATCGTTTGCGTGCTTGCGCCGGGTCCGCCGACAGGTCAAGGACGCGCTGAAAAAGGCGGAGACCAAGGCAGATGGCTTCGTGGATGAGGCGAGGCTCCGATTTGTTTCACAGGAACCCGGGTTGTTCTTTTTGGGGCTGGGCGGGGGGGGGTCCCACTAAAGAGGGAATTCCTCACTTTCCCCTCATCAACCCAGGATTCATGAACCTTTTGTCGATTAAGAAAATTGGGGATTGCACCATTTCAGAGATGATTCCGTATATGAAGAAACGCTTCCCCTTGAATCCACAAGGTTGCTTCTTCCGGGGCGAGCATGTTCGCTGTGGTGGGAATTGCTAGGAGCCAACCCACAACCCGGGCAATTCAAGGATGGACATGTGCAACTAAAGCTAGCGAACGCCCTTGTAATGCCTTAGTGTCTCGGTGCTTTCTTTTCCGACCAGGTGTTGGTTTTGACTGAAGCGGTTCGGGTCTCTCATTTACTGCAACAGAACTAAGACTAAATTTTATGCGGACTTTGTGCATAGTACGAGGTTGAACAAGAGGAGCCAGAGGGCATTTCTCAGACAGCCAGGAAGTGATGGGCAGTTCATCAACAAAAATCAATTGTTAGATCAACATTGGTGTCTTTGCATGTTCGAACTACCCTGGTTATTCAACGAAAAGAGGGATCCAAAGTGAAGGAACCCCCATGTAAGAAGCCTCGCCCAGCGGTTCTTGTTTCCTGTCGTCTGAAATCAGCCACATGGTTTCCTACCTTCGACAAAATGTTCGGAAGATCAACCTGAGTACTTCCCGTGGGAACTAAGGTCCGTCAGTCCCAAGCTGTTTGGTTCACGCCCTGCCCCAGACTGAAGCTCCAATGCACTGCTACTCGGGGACCCCTTCGGTGTTTTTCAGGGATGTATACACTGGGGTTGGGCAGGTTTTAGTCGTTGGTTCCATTTACCAAAAGGTCATCTTGGGTACAGTTATTCATTTGAGCCACAGCCAACTTTGGCTTCAACGAAAAAGGAAAAGGGTTGAAAGAAATCACGTTCACACCAATTGGCTGGCTTAGAGTTTGGCTTCGCGGTTCGAACGCAATTGAAGTGCACCCGGGGCTTTTTCAATCCTCGAACCAATCAGTCTAAACCACCGAGAATTGCGGTTAGCTGACAACATATAGTACAGAACACACATATACAACATACGTATGGCATATAAGATGTTGATACATGCAATTATATAAACAAAAAAAAGAGGAACATGTTGCAAATCTATTGTATTTATGTGTATATATATATATATACATATATGTACCAGTCCCTGGGCCACGTACCCCCCCCCCCCCCCCCAATGGTATGGTCCCCCCATTCCCCCGCATCATCCGCATCTTGGGGATGATGCTGGCAATGCTGGGGATGCTGTCCAGTACCGTGCGAGCCCTGCAGCTTCGGTCCCAGACCCCCTTTCACCCCGTGAACCAACACCCCCGCACCTCTCGCAACATCCTACCCTAAACCAAACCACCCTGCAACCCCTCCTTAACCCCAACCCTAAGCCTAAATCAACCCAAAACCCAAACCCACCCGAAACCCACCGCAAACCAACCCTGAACCAACCCTGAACCAACCCTAAACCAACCCACCAAGCCTAAACCAACTCCGACACCCAACCACCCACCACCACCCAACCACCCAACCACCCAACCACCCAACCACCCCCACCCCAACCACCCAACCACCCAACCACCCCACCCCACCACCCCACCACCCCACCACCCCACCACCCCACCACCCCACCACCCACCCCACCCCCCACAGGGGGGGGGGGGTTGGCCCAACCACCCAACCACCCAACCACCACCCCACAACCCCACCACCACCCCACCACCCACCCACCCCACCCCCACAGGGGGGGGGGGGGGGGGGGGGGTCCACGGCCTGGAACATATATGTTGTATATGTATGTACATATATATATATATATATGCACGCTGACACCCCCGAGCTTCTGCCCCCTTTCAACGCCCTTGCCGCTCCATTTCGGCAGGTCTCCAGCGCCCTGAAGAAGGGCTTCGACTCCGCCACGAGCGCCGTGCCGCGGCGAAGTGGGGCCAACGATTTTGGGGAGGGGTCGCCTCACAAAAGTTGGGGAGGGGTGAGACCCACTGCCAGGGGTACCGTATCTCCCCGAAGGCAGCTGGTACCTTGTAGAGAATGTATTGGTCGCCTCAAAAACTGGGGGCGGGGGGGGGGGCCCACCAAAGTCGTAGGTTTCCTGAAGGAGTTTCCCTGACCCCCCGCCGCAATCGCAACGGGGGCTCGATCCAGCCCAACTGCGTCCTGTGCGCTTGGTTGGCGTAGCGACCCTGTTGTCAGCCCGAAGTCAACCTCTGCTTTGGTCATTGCTTGGATTGGTTGCAGATGGTCATTTTGCTGGATTGAAGGTTTGGAGCTTCGGGGGTAAAGAATCAGGCTGCCCTTGCTTGTTCATTCATCATTTGTTTGCGATGGACCACAAAGGCCTACCCACCAGAAAGTTTCTATGAACCCTTTCGGAGGATGGTTTACAGGTGTTTGGTTGTTTCCCCTATCCCAAAGACTTTGTTGGTGCTTATATTTATGCGGATCTGGGGAAGCCGAACACAAAACCGTAGATTTTTGGTATCCTCCCGGGTCCCACCCTTTGCACATAGAACCTGATGTTCGATGTGAAAAGGGTGGGAGGGTCCCAGGGTACCTGCACCCACTGCTTTCCTTGCTCGTGCTCAGCAAGGAATGGGGGAATGAGGGAATGAGGGAATGAGGGAATGAGGGAATGAGGGAATGAGGGAATGAGGGAATAAAGGAAACCACCAGTTGGATGGCTTTCTCGGGGTCAGCCCCCAATTCTCATTCTCTGCATCCCTCGCAGCGATCGCAAGTTTAAGGGAAACCGCCCAAAATGGGGTGGATCTCGGGAACCTATGTGAGCCACAATCAAAACCCGGGTAGATGAAGGATAGTAAGGGACAACCCCAACCATAAATAGCTGCGGCCGCCTTCTTATTTCTTTACATGGTTCTGGGTAGACCATTTTAACACCGGGTTTTGATTGTGACTCATGTTGGTTTGAAGGGAATCCAAAGGAACCCACTGGTCCTTTCCCTTTGTCACCACGAGGAACACCTCCCCCCGCCGAAAGGTTTTTCAGCGGGGAATTGCGAGGTGGACCGAAAGGCCAACAGCGGCGCGGACCAGGCGCGGTTCGAATGGCGTTCGAATGGATGTCTGGGGTCTGGGGTCTCCTCCAAAACGAGTTTGTATTTTTTCGGGGGGAATTCGGGGGTGACGAAATATGAAGCATCAGAACATATCCCTCCGAAACGTTGCTTTTACTTTTGGGGGGATTCGGGGGTGACGAAATTTACGAAGCATCAAACACAAGTTTACTTTTGTTAGCGTGCCCCAGCTGGCCAAGGTGTTTTGTTTATCGGAGACATCTTTGCCCTTGAACTGAAGTGGTTGTGGTAGAACAGATTCAAACCTTTGTCCTCGACCAAATGCTGCTGGTTAAGGACAGGAGTGAAAAGAAGGATAAACCCACAGACAGAGTGGTGTTCGTTTGGTTTCCCTTAGGCCTTCAAAACGGCTGGGGGGGGGTCTCTATTTTAGCAGGTCCTTTGAACAGGTCAGTTTGCTCCAACATGATTGATTCACTACCCGCGGCGTGCTGCTTTGTGAGGTCGTTTCGGCAGGTAGCTGTTGTCTGTTGCATCTTCTGACCAAACCTCAGCTTAGAAGTAGGACAGAGGTGCATGCATGTATATATATATATATATTTTATACACAATGTACTTGTGTTCATGGTACCTTGACCATGGTCACTCCAAATGAGACCAACACCCAGAGATACAGCTGAGTGGTTGCTGAAGCCTCGAACAGGAATCCATCAAGACGTAGTCTATCCATTCCTGTCGTCCGCCACAATGGTGACATCCGGGCACGTGTTTCGTCAAAATCATTTCCTGTCACTAGAAATGCCACAACAATAGTGCCATCTGGGCGCGTATGTAGTCTTGGCAATTTTTGCAGGGTGCTGAGGCAGCTTGGCCAACATGTTCCGCTTGGCTCAGGCGGACAAGATGGCACAGGACGCCGCTTGTCTGCGGTTCGAAGGTCCTGGTGCAGCAAGCGTCAGGTTGTGCAAAGCCTTCGGCCCCCAGGAGTGCCATGGTTGAAAGACCCCTTTACTTGGGGTTACTAGGTCTCCCAATATTGCCCTTTGACCCTTTTTTGGGGGAGGGTTCCCCTACTAAAATAAGCTTCAGAAAAAGGGTGCCCTTATTCTAACCTCTCTACTGGAGGACCTATTAAAAGACCCCTTGAGTTGGGGTTAATAGGGATGGGCATCCACCTGGTAATAGGGATCCTGAAAAACCATTACAATGACTCCTACCAAGGGAAGCATGACTATTGGCCATATAAGGGAGGTTTGTCCATGGCATCCCAAAGCTGTCTGGGCCAAGAACCAAGTCTTTCAACTTTGAGGGAAAACTAGGTTAATACTAGATTCACGGCCAGAATCACTATTTTCAGGGATTTTCTAGGGGTTGATTCCCCATTCTTTTCGACCATTGTTCTTTCCACAAACCGGCCGTTCTCCCTGGATTTCCGGAGGTTTCTAGAAAGAAGGATCCCTGGAAAGAATGGTTGGAAGGTACCCCTAGAAATTTGGCGCAGTCACAAGACATTGCTCATAGCGAATAGGCTGCGCGAGCGAGCGAGTTCGTTCGCGCCGCTGAGGTGAAGCAAAGGATTCAGGACTGGGCTCCTTCGCTGGAAATGATCTGTTTGGAGTCCGGCACTATTTCATAAGCTAGGCTACACATGGGTATGGGTCAAAATTAAACCAGCGGACCACAGGTTTTAGTCATTGTGTCCATTTACCAGGGTTCCATTTTGGGTACCTATTTTTGACCCACAGCCACATGACGCAGAATCTCAACATGTATGTTTTTCGGTGTCCAGACTTTTGGCCGAGAGTCATTTCTGGCGCTTACTTTGGGAGGGACATGGTTGACTCGAGACACGCTACATTGTTTTGCGTGAAGAAGTAGAGCAGGGAATCAACCCAAGACCTGTTTTGAGACGCTGGGATAGCATGACCCGAGAAAGAGAGGGCACTATCCGGCCGAGGCAACTCGCGGCTGATGTTTGAGATCCGGCAAAACCCAGTTGCGCGTGGTTTCTCGTTGCTGAACACTGTAGCGGGCATGCTGGCTGACTGGGTGCGTGAATCACAGAAGTACGAGAAGCTGTACTAAGGGCCTAAATAGTTAGAATGGGTGCATGAATATGAATATCAGCAACGTAGAGTGGGGCAATGATACTCCCAATGAGACTAGCATTGATAGAAATGGTTGTAATGTGCTTGTGTCGAATTGTATATTTACACTTGGTTAAAACTTAGAGGGCACAATCCCGCCCCCTCCCCCAGTTTGGTTTCGTCATGCTTCTCTTTCTTCCCATTCTGGTGTGACCAGCAAAAAGCATCAAAAAGCAATATATGTTTTACTTTGGTTTGTTTCAAACCAGGGAACCCCTAATTGGGTGTGTCGCTTGTTGGGGTGCCCCCAATAATGTTGGTGCCCACCCCAAAAATGGACCCTCCAACAAAGACATATTCGTTGTGGGGAACGCAACGCGCTTCGATGTGCGCAGGAAATCCGCAAGCAGATGGCTGAGCAGCAGAAGAAGGATGCAGAGAAGAAGACCGCCAAGGAGTCAGACGGTAGAGGTTAACTTCCTACCTTCTTATCATTTGTCAAGTTTTCCAGATTGAGTTTGTCGGATTGAGTTTTTTTTTGGGTTGTGAGTTTTTTTGCAGATTCCTGGAATTGTGGCCTCTGTGAGCGAGATCAGGTCATAGGACCTATGGGACTTGAACAACTCAGCAACTTGTTGTTTTGTTTGTTTGAATCGCCTTCAAATCTATCCCCTGGCTTGAAGATTCGATATATAATTTGATATTTTTTGCACCCAACCATTTGAACGATTGAACGATTGAGTGTAGCAGCTGCTGCAGCAGCACCATGCATGAGGACGACGCGCAGCCGACGACCTTCCTGGAGGTGCGCCCAAAAGCGGCGCCTGGGAATGTTTTCAGCTGAATACCCCGCCCTTGTTTTTGTTCAAGCATCACCAGGTGAGGCTCCTTTTAGTGGGGTTTTAAAGGGGAAATGTAGGGAACCCTGACCAACGTGGAGTTTTAGAGGGCGAAGGGCCAGAATCGGGTGACAATTTTGAAGAAAGGGCCATTCTGAGTTGGAGGTGTTGCATCAATCGGGTTACTGGACTAGTGTCATTTTGCACTTATCAGTTTCAATGAGCAAAAACACCGGTAGTGTCGGCAAAGAGAAGCTCGTTTCCCTTTGGCTGATATAGAGGACTCGTTCCGATTCACAGGCGGAGTTCGCATGTTTGCTTTCAGGTATCCTGAATAATGTTAAAGCGAGACGAAGCCAAAACGCTCGGCGTGCGTCATGTTGCACCAGACTCTTAGCTTCTATGTCGCCCGGTAAAACTTTGCAACAGCGTACAGCTCTGTGAAGTAGATTTCGTAACCTTCCCGTTTTGCGTTTGTTATCTTGTTTCTTTTATTGTAATAAAGGACATAGTTTCATCCACTTCTGGACCTGTTGTGGGCTGATTGCTTCAGCTTCGCATGAGCTGTGGGTCCAATTGCACAGGGAAAAGACAGAGCGATTAGGCATACCATGGTTACAGCCCACTTACCAATATAAGTCCCTGGGCGGGTTGAAGTTTGATTTACGACACATTGTGCCGAATTGATCCCGTGTGTTTACCCCCGAAATTGGTTCGCCTCAAAACATAGGAACCCCCAACATGGTCTAGGTCCCCAGTAGTTCCCTTTTACCTTTGTTTGGCGGAGGTTCCCCTACTAATTAAAGTAGACTACAGACGAAAAATCGGGTACCCTTATTCTAACCTCTCTACTGGAGGACCTAGTGGTTGGTTTCCTTTTGATTTTCTGTTTTGAACAACCCCTGAAAGGAACCCTCACAACCACCCCCCCCCTCTTCATCTTCCGCAGGCAGCACCGCCTAGGGCGCGGCTCCCAGGTTTTGGGCGAAGGGCGTCCTCGCTGGCGGCTGAAACCCCGGATTCCGGAGTTTAAGGCGTATAGTTATGTTCACTGGAATCTTTTGGGATGGCAAGTCGTTTTTGTTTGTTTGTTTTTCAAAAGTGTAAGACTTGGTAAGCAATTCCGAAGTGTCCTCCCCATGAAGTCGGACTCTTCGCTTGCAACTGAACTGGCTCATCTTTTTTTCATGGCAACGCACGGGGGCAAGGGAGGTATAGCACTTCAGACAACCATGACCCACTTGAGTCTTGATCCTACACTACAGAGAAGATTCTGAGCTTCGGGCAGCCCTTGCTTCTTGGCTTTTGAGAGGGTTTCCTTTGTTATCCCTCAACAAAGAAGTGTGGTTTTTATGGTATTTTTTTCCGGGTGTCGAGCAGGCCTGCCGACTCTAAATCTCTAGAAAACGGACCCCTTCACGGCCAAGTTGTATTTGAGGTCCCTTGGGGCTTTGAGCATGTTTAAACCAAGCCTCATCCCAAGAGGGGGCCCCTTCCAAATAGACTTTAAAGAAACTCTGAGAACCGATTTTCCCCCAATGGACTGATTCATTGATTCTACCGAAACCCGCAAGTGGCCTAGTGGCAGAAAACTGGAATCGGCCTATTCATGCGGAGCAAGACAAAAAGGATTGTCAAAGTATCGGGACCCTAGAAACGGAGGCTTGTACCATACAAACGCACACCCAATATCTCAAAGAGGCGATTGGGTACATCAGGTAGGTGGTTCGTACCCATGGGTTTTTGTCCTCGCCCAAACAGATGTATCCAGTGTCCCAGTTGAAACTTGGAGTCCGGGAAAAGCCTTGAAGCTCTAAGCAATTCTACTTTGCAAGCACACCCTGGAACCAATCTTCCCTGAACCGCGCAACATCCCTGGAACCCCACCCAAAATCTAAGGGTTGTTGTATTACACCCTGGGATTGCACCCTTGGGAAATGGCCCAAAATGGTCCAAACTAACATGGCTTTATCCCGGAAATATGCCTAAATGGGGACATGTCCCAGTGGGCGTAATTTTAGGGCGCAACACAAAAGCCTTAGACAAAACCCATGGTCGAACCCCCATGGGAACGGCCGGGGCCCAGTCGCCTAGGCTCTCTTCATGCTGCCGCTGCTCGCCATGGGCGGCGCCGCCTTCTACCTGCACAAACGGCGCGCGCGGAGCCTCGGAGCCTCAGAGCCTTGGAGCCTTGGAGCCTTGGAGCCTTGGAGCCTTGGAGCTTGGTGCCGGGGATCTCTTTGGTTCACTGAACAGAAGGACGGGTGGGTGGGTGGGGGGTGGGGGGTGGGTGGGGTGGCGTGTGGGGTGGTGTGTGGGTGGGGGGTGGGGGGTGGGGGATGCGGGGGTGGGTGGTGGGTGGTGGGTTGTGGCTGGTGGGTTGGGGGTGGGGGATGGGCTTCCAGTAGTGAAGGTCCTGGCCTGCAGGTGGCTGCCAACGCTTTTGACAGATGACTCGATCCAGGGATCTCAAAAGTGATGTAAGCTACCCAGGAAATCCATTGCTCGTGTTGGGCCACGGCTTTCAGAAAAACAAAGGCAATCTAACCCTCAAACTAGGAAACGAGAAGAACTCGATTAAAGGACGCGTGTGGGGCAATAGCTATTCAGCCAGGTCTGAAAGGACCCACTGAAGATGTGAAACAAAGCTGCTGCCCCACCTTGGTGAGGCATCGGGAACGGTGATGCTTCTCCAAAGCTTATCATTTCCTACAGTCCAGGTATCTTCCGGGTCGGGACGAGTGTGTTGGTGCGGGTATCTGTCATCTTGGATTCAATGGGACTAGCACCAAGTCTGAGGATCCCCCTATTTTGACCCGCACCCATCCCCCTCGACCTTGGACCTGATCGCGAATTCGCGAGGCGGATGACGAGCTGGTGTCTGCCAGAGCCTGAGGGCTCCAGAAGGGCGCGTTTGGTTTTGGGCCCATGGGCGTCAGCCAAGCGATCCCAACTTTTGAATGCGGAAAGGCAACGAAAAGGTGGTTAGCCTCGATCATCAGGGTGGCTCAGTCAGAAGTCATGCTTTGGTTGTCCAGCCAGGGGTCGAATTTGGGGCTAGCAAAGCTCTGAGCATTCATCGGGTCCCAGAAAAAGTCTCTTTCTGTGAGGGCGGATGCATTTCGACACGTGATCCGTTTGCGAGGCACCTGAAACGACAGGTGGCTCAGATATTCATTGTCCAGTTGCTCAGTGGTTTGCTTCCTTTTTGCAAACATGTGTCTCAAAAACGAGCATCGCCCTGAGAGCCATGCAAGGGCTGAAATCGACCCTGGCCGCATTCGCCGCAAGGTCTATCACATGCAGGTGTGAGGCGTGTCCTGATTCACATGGCTCCCGAAGCTTTCGGTGGTTGCACCACTGCGGAAAGATGGCTGAGGGGCTTTGTCTTTTGAAAGACAATCTTCACCCGCAGTTGCCGGGCGAGTCAGTTCTTTGGATTAACCACAAAGCAACGCATGTACATATATATATATATATATTTACTTTGTGACTTGAGTGTCGGCAAATGTGGAATTCAGGTGTGACGTTTTGGATACTGGCGATGACCCGTGATTTGAGGGTCTTTGTCAGGGGCAGGCTAGCCCATGCTTTGAGCCGTAACTCTTTCCGGCTTTCGGCCGGCAGGCGCCGCATTTGTGCAGAAGGATGGGATGATTTCAGACTCGAAACCCAATTGCTGTCAAATGGCACCCAAAATGGACGGGGGTCACTGAACAGGCCAGTTGAGCGCCTCGTCAGGGATTCCAAGTATTATTACATTGGAATAAATTGGATTCATGTGAAAGATTTTGAGTTTGAACGTCCCTTCTTGAGCAAGCCTCTTGACCCGCGCGCGTGCTGTGGAGCAAACTGGGCGATCGATGGGCGGGACTCAACGAGGCTTGGTACAACCTTGAGCCCGCTCCGTAAATGCTAACTTCCAGCTTCTTTTCAGTGCCCTCGATTTATTTTTCGGGTGCTACAATCCATTTTGAAAATAAGGGCACTTAGTCCTAAATCAAAGAGGCCACTTAAGCCATTTAAAGGGCACTTAGACCCTCAGGGTTGCCCTCCGATCCCTCCTCAGTCCGGGCAAGCCGAGCTGCAGCGACACGTGAATGACACTCATGCAGGGGGACCGACACTATAGCGTAAGTGACCTTTTCAAGGGGTAAGTGACCTCGATTCGCACCCCCACTGGCACTCAAATGACACGCTTTGACACTCAAAACGGCATGTTTGGGCTTTCCGGGTCGGGCCCCAATCAAATCAGATGTGGCAGTTGTCACACTTCGACACGGGTAGCTGTTCGATTTCAACAGAATCGCCAAAAAGGGCACTCAGCAAACGAATGAAAGGGTCACTTAGGCCACCGACACGGCCTTAAGCGCCCTCAATTCAAAAACACGTCAAGTGCCCTTCATTGGAGGGCACAAACAATTTACTGGTTCGGAGTATTACGGAGGACAAGATTTGTCAGTGTACGGTCCTCGTTGATTAAACGGAAGTTCTCACGAGGTTGACATCGTGGTAAAGAGAATCACCCCTCGTGCCCCATGGAACATCGCAGTCCCTTTCAGGGCTTTTTTGAAGGTCCGCCCTGCTAAAAGGACATTTCGACCCAAATCCTGAAAGTTTGACACGTGACGGAAGCATACCCAGCGAATCTCAGTGACCGGCATAGGGTCCAGGCACTGCTTAAATCAGGATTGCAAGGCTTGATCAATTTCCATATGGAGCCCATCGTCCTGTAGGGTTCTTGCGGCTGATTCATTGTTTTGACAAGTTCGGAGCAACCCTAAGAACATGGAGTACGTCAGGTAAACGACCTGACTTAAGCAAAGAGGTGCGAAGAGTAACCCTGGTTTCAAGCATAAATAATCCACTAAGGTTGCAAGTCTCCATGGTCACTCCTCACTTACCTGACTTACCCTGACGTACCCTGCCGGTTTAAGTAGAGTCACCTGCAAGGCTCCTCAATGTCATTTTTGACTGAGACCTTGGGCCGGAATGGCATGTCAAACGGCCTTGGCTTTATGCTCTAAATGCTCATCTCATAAAGCCAGATGCAATATGTGGGCGGGTAGCGCCGAGTTTGAGCCCAGCTTGCAACACTCGTGCTTCTGGTTCAAGCCCGATGCAGAACCCAAACACACCCGAAGACCATGGGCTTTCATGTAGTCAATTTTGGCGCCACTTCACGAGAACGTGAAACTGGGTCCATCAAAGTGACAAAATCACCCCCTAAATGGTGTATTTACGGGGCGTTCTGCTGGAATTAATTCTGAGAACCCCTCAAAATGAGCTTTCTCTGGAGGGAACCAAACTTTAGGCACGCGACTGCTTGGTATGTCCAGCGCAGCACGGCCTGCCGAGATGGGGAAGGAGAAGGAGCCGCAGAAAAAAATGCCGGTATTGCAGATGGTGCTGAAGGGGGTGCTTCTTTTCATGCTGCCGCAACTTCTGTTGATGGTGGTGAACGGCCCAGTGGACGGTAATGGAGATGAAACTTCTGGCTATTGGGGTCCCAAGACAGCGTCTGTGAATTGGTGTGAGCGCGACTATGTGGAGACTTGGTTGCACTTTGGTGTGAACGGAAGAACTTTGTTTGCTTCCCCAAAGTTGTATTTCCATGATTTCCTCCCAAATTAGAAAAAGGGGACCAGGTCCTTACTCTCCGAAACTCTACATTCTACATGCTCTCCCAAAAAAAGCGAGCAATTACAATTTCAGGTGACTCACTACATCGCAGAGTTCGCCAATTCCCTGACCTCTCTGATCATTTGCGCCTTCGGCATCTACGGGATGTACGCGCATCAAGGCGCCGTGGAGCTGCGATACCAGGTGGCCTTCGCGTTCTTTGTAGTCGTCGGGCTCGGCGCCTCTACCGGGACCCATGTTTATCGATGCTTTGCGGGGAAATGGTCCGTGCCCAACGGGTCTGAGACCAACCCCTAGCTTAGATCTTCTATTATTCAAACGGATAAAGGGTTGTTCCCTTCAGACCGAGCAAAGGCAGCGTGGCGTTCCACGGCACGCTGCTGCGGTCCATGCAACTGCTGGACGAGCTTCCGATGGTCTGGGGCAATGCGATTTTTATCTACATCTGCCGCACCATGCATGACGAGGCTTGGTGGGAAACAGGGAGTTCTTTTGGGTCAAGCGACCATCTTACATCTTTGCCCTTGACTTACGTGGTACATTTACATCGTGGGTGTAGGGTTGCACGTTGATCACGTCTTAAGGTAACTTTCCGCGATGCTAAGGGAATCCCCTTTTGAAGTTACTAAGTAGTCATAGGGATGGCCCACATTGTCACAGAAAGTACATGTTCCACAACCAGTTGGCCATATGCAGTGGGCAAAAGTGGTTTACCCCAAGCCAAACGGAGCCTGTTTAAACCATGTAGTGGTTTCAACACGTGGCTCGGTCGCCTAACCCCAGGTGGGCCACGTCAGGTATTTGGAATGCGCGATTCTCTTCCTGGCAACGCTGATGGCCACCCTGGCAATCATCCGGTTCGATTCCGACAATCAGAATGTTGCCTGACCGGCTCAGATTTGTATAATGTTGACCCCGGATTAACCCTTGTTTATTAATATGGGGGTGTTCCCCTCCAAAGTGATAAATCCTCACTAAAACCAGGGACACCCCCATGTAAATAAACAGGGGTTGATTAATCCGGGGTCAACATTAGCAACCAAGGGAACCACCCTCTCAACACCAACCGGAAAATGGCGGGTCACCTACTATAGCGGGAACGGCAAACAACTGGGTTATAAGGGTGTGCCTTTTCGAGGGTACCAGTTTTTGGGTTGGACAAAAACATCATGTGTTGGGCCCCTTCTTTACACATCATACTTTTTAAAGCCATAATTTCTGCCTTTTTGGCGTCCCTTCCCTGCAACAAGCTAGATTTATATCAAAGTCCGAGCGTTGGCGACCTCCAAGCCTTGGTTCCAAGTCCAACTCGTTTGAGCCTTGTTGTAAGCCTTAAACCGGAAAAGAAAAATCAAAAAAAGGGGAAAAAACAAAAAACGCGACGTGGGACGTGCGAGCATAGGTGTCCTTTTTAGGATAGTGTGGTTAAAAATAGATTTCGAAGGCACTGGGTTTAGGTGGCTTTATTCCATTTACCAGGGCCATCTATTTTTCCAAAAGGACACCTATGCGAGGTGTTTCTGGTATGCTACGGCTCTGGCGTGGTGTATTTGGTCCAGCAGTCCCACGGCTTCTCTGCGCTTTCCTCGCCGAATTCCTCGGCGCAGATGCTGTTCACCATGGCCACCCGCCTGTGATTTGATCCGGTCGGACCATGGATCCGGGCGTTTCAGGGTAGGGTCCCAGTGGGTTGCTGCAACTTGTTTCGACTCTCGGGGAAGGGTTCCCCTTGAAAGTCAAACCAGAAATGGATGCCCCCTTCTCTCCCCTGGCCACTCATCTCAGCTTAAACCCACCAGGAAATGTTGAAACAAGTGTGGTGAGAAGAAGATGTCCAAGAGAGGGTTTTGTGACAGGTGTGTACTTTGTGTTCACTTGTCCCCAGCGAATCGTCCTAATCATCTTATGGTTTTCGAGCTGCGGCTCGCGTGTACTTTTAGTTACGGTGCGTTTGGGGCGAGTCTAAAGTCAACTAGCTGTGTTTGCCTTTAGTTCAATGACTTTACAATCCGCCAACACAAGGTGGTGTTCCTTGCTTCTTGTGTCACTGCCATTTCTTGGTGGCTCCCAGCCATCCACTTAGCTTTTTAGCCTTTAGTGTTTAATGGGGACTTCCACTTAACCCACTAAAAGTAAAACTGTTAGCGGGGGAGCTGAGGACAGCCCAGATTTGGTTTCCATGAGCATGAAATCAAGTTGTAAAACGAAGGGGCAGAGTACTTAAGTGTACTGTCGAGTTCCCTGCCTCTTCAAGCAGGTCTCGTTCAAATCGAATCACTCAAACAAAGACGCAACAGCCCCGGCCCTTAGTGATAGTTTCTGCTGTACCCTTTATGTTGGGTTTCCGTTTAAAGTCACCTAAAAGAGGGGTATTCATTGGGTCCCATGGAAATCCACTGGTCTGAGGGTTGAGGGTTTTTCCAAAACTATTTGGGGGAGATGGAAGGTTAGCCTCAACATGCCCCAAACAATGCATGTATGCAAAACTTACCCACGTTTACCCACCAAACGGGCAAATGTTGGTGTATATAATATATATCTATGCGCTTACCCCCCCATGAACTACCTTTGCAGTCTATTGTGTAGCCAAAAAGCTCAAACACCTATGTGGGGACTTGTCAAATTCCTTTCGAATTGCAGTTCACTTTGAGTAAAAACATACTTCAAAAGGAATTCCCACTTAAAAATTCTAAATCAAACTAGACATTCAAAATCGAATTATATTACAATTAACTGCGCACAATCCTAGTTGGAAAGGAAATCCTACTCAAACTTTAAATCAGCACAGATGTTCCTTTTTCCATTCTATCACACATGTTATCAAATAAGTTCACATTTGAATTATACTCAACACAGTACATCCTTGTTAAGCTCTATTCATGGAAGGATATCATTTTAGATTCTAATTCAAGATAGAAAGTGCCATAAAAGATCCATTATTGAAGTCTATGTATATTATACTAGGTAATATTTTCTCGCTCCGCGCACCGGCCTCACATGTTCGCCGCGCGGGATGGATGGATAGATGCATGAATGGGATGGGGGATGGATGGATAGATGGATGGATGGATGGATGGATGGCTGGATGGATGGATAGATAGATACATGGGATGAAATGATAGACGGGATGGAATGATAGATGGGATGCACGGATGGATGGATGGATGGATGGATGGATGGATGGATGGCTGGATGGATGGATGGATGGATGGATGGATGGATGTATGGATGGATGGATGGATGGATGGATGGATGGATGGATGGATGCATGGATGCATGGATGCATGGATGCATGGATGCATGGATGCATGGATGCATGGATGCATGGATGCATGGATGCACGGATGCATGGATGCATGGATGCATGGATGCATGGATGCATGGATGCATGGATGCATGGATGCATGGATGCATGGATGCATGGGTGCATGGATGCATGGATGCATGGATGCATGGATGCATGGATTCACGGATGCAGGGATTCAGGGATGCAGGGATGCAGGGATGCATGGATGCATGGGTGCATGGGTGCATGGATGCATGGATGCATGGAAGCATGGATGCATGGATGCACGGATGCACGGATGCAGGGATGCAGAGATGCAGGGATGCATGGATGCATGGATGCACGGATGCATGGATGCATGCATGGATGCATGCATGGATGCATGGATGCATGGATGCATGGGTGCATGGATGCATGGATGCATGGATGCATGGATGCATGGATTCACGGATGCAGGGATTCAGGGATGCAGGGATGCATGGATGCATGGGTGCATGGGTGCATGGATGCATGGATGCATGGAAGCATGGATGCATGGATGCACGGATGCACGGATGCAGGGATGCAGAGATGCAGGGATGCATGGATGCATGGATGCATGGATGCATGGATGCATGCATGGATGCATGGATGCATGGATGCATGGGATGGGATGGGATGGGGTTGGGTGGGATGGGATGGGAGCGCGCGCGCACACACACCGACCCACACCCAGCCACACCCAGCCACACCCACCCGCACCCACACCCACTCACACCCACCCACACCCACCCACACCCACCCACACCCACCCACACCTACCCACACCCCACGCGTGAGCGTGCGCGCGCACGCACGCACGCACGCAAGCGCGCGCGTCATCAGGACTGGCTTTGGGAAGACTTGCCCCAAACGCAGGCGATGCGCGAAAGCGTCGGCGATGCTGGCAAGGCAGCCGGGTTTGCGGTGTTCCGAGCCTTCCCCCAACTCAAGCTCCAATGGCCGCGCGGGCAGATGCACCAAAGGCCTGGACATGCAAACAGGGGTCGGCGACAGCGACCGTCAGTCGGAAGGCAAAGCCTAGGCATGCGCCCCTTTGGGCGACACAGCACGGCGAGGACGGATTTACACGCTGACGCGACACAAACTCACACCGCGTTTTTTGCATACATTGCGAAAACTGGGGTCCTTGGCAAATTTTCACAATTAGCGTAATGAAAATCCAAAACGGAATCCGTTTTGCTCTAAACGTCGTTCGTATGACAAAGGCGCAATGTTTTTTTCACTTGTTTGAGGCAGAACAACAGAAGTTAGTTAATGGGGGGTCATCACATATATATATACATATATATGAAAATACGTGCCTTGTGCGGGATGACCCAGAATCTGCAGTCTGATTTTCTGTGCCTCAGATGTCCAAGATCGGCAGATGTGTCTCCCCGTTTAAGGCCATGATCGCCTACTCTTCGGGCTTCAGCCTGTGGCTTGTGGACCGGAACTTCTGCACCTCCGCACGGCCGGGCCCGGGTTTTGTGGATCGGGGAAAAAAGAATGACCCATTTGGGGTGTGTTGGGGGGGTGGGGGAACGTGGGTACACAACCAACATCGATTGTCTGGGTACCCCCCCCAAAAAAAAACAAGGGTCCAATATGCAGGCACAACCTGTCAGGACTATTGTGTTAAAGGGCCCAGCAGCTTCCAAATTTGTATAGGCCCTTGTTTTACGGGCTTCTCTTAAACGTAGGGACCCCGCCAAGCGATTAGTATGGCTTGGTTTGGTTCTTGCTGGCCAAGGGCCGGTGTCCTTTTGCTGGTTCGAGAGGTATCGCTTGAGTTTTGGGAATGAACTAGGAAAACTATAACGGATTGTTCATAGCTAGTTTTTGGGGTTGTTACCTCGCAAGTGGACATTAATGCAGTTGACTAACCACTTATGTGCCAAAACATCTAAGTCTGCTTTTTTCGATGAATTAGGAGGTCCTGTATACAAATGGGAGACCTGGGCACTGGAATCACAAACGAAATCACAGGTTAACAACATGCCACCATCTTGGATCGGAGCAGCGCCCAACACCCCCCTTGCCAGTGTTAGGTGGTTCTACTACCTGAAGTAAGGCCCTGAACCTTTACAACCATCTTGGTACCAAACGCCTCAGGTGGCTGTACCTCCACACTTTTTGGCATTTCGGCGCCGGGTTCGGCACCTTCTGCGCGGTGCTGCAGTGGATCATGGTGCGGTGCCAGGTGCTGCAGAGGAAGAGCCGCCTGAGTTTCGGCGCAAGAGAAAGCGCAGGTGTTCAGAGGGTCCCGTAGCATGTGCTGGGGAAGAGGTCTAGCATCCCAAGTCAAGAGGCACTTTGGGTCTTACTAGGGCTTGGAGCAGGTTGCGGGGCAAGAAGTTGGTGGTCAACGCTTCGGGTGGTAGGCTTCGGCACCCTTTCTTCCAGTGCTGTGGTATAGAATGGGAACGGTGTGGTTTGCATTGCCTGCTTGCTTGCTTACTTGGCTAGATGGTGCCTTGTTGGTTGCTTCCTGTTTTTTTTTTCCGGGGCGTTTCGCTTACTGACGGGTGACGGGTGGGTCCAATCCAAGGCAGGGCGGTTTGGTGACCTGGTGGGTGGAGATGCCGCAGAAGTGAGCTGAAGGCCCGCCAAAGGGCTTGAATAGTCTAACCAATCGATCGGAAAAAATGAGCGGATGCGAATGAGTTGGGCCCGTTTCTGGCGGGTTTTGAAAGGCGCACGGAAGCCGACAGTGTGACGCCTAGTCCTTTGTCAATTCCCCGAGATCTAAGCTGGCTGAACTCTCGTTTTCTGTTAGTTCTACCCCTACCTCCCACAAACATGGAGGCTGACAGGGTCTCTGTAAGAGGAATCTGGTCTTCCAGCTATCCCACAGGTGCCTTCTGGCAGGAAGGGTGGCTGGGAGAGAAGCCCGGACAAAGTTCTAACCACAGCAATTGCGTTTTGATCGTGCCCGGAAAACACACATCTGCGTGACATTATACATATGTATACACATACATATATACATATATGTACTGGTCTCTCTGTGTGTGTGTGTGTGTGTGTGTGTGTGTGTGTGTGTGTGTGTGTGTGTGTGTGTGTGTGTGTGTGTGTGTGTGTGTGTGTGTGTGTGTGTGTGTGTGTGTGTGTGTGTGTGTGTGTTTGTGTGTGTGTGTGTGTGTGTGTGTGTGTGTGTGTGTGTGTGTGTGTGTGTGTGTGTGTGTGTGTGTGTGTGTGTGTGTGTGTGTGTGTGTGTGTGTGTGTGTGTGTGTGTGTGTGTGTGTGTGTGTGTGTGTGTGTGTGTGTGTGTGCGTGTGTGCGTGTGTGTTTGTGTGCGTGTGTGTGTGTGTGTATGTTTTTTAAAGTTGGTGCTTCAACTGAAAAGCCACAAACTTATCATGGTGGGCTGGGGGTCCGGTTTTTTTGACATAGACTCGGATGAGGCTCACCGAGAGATGCTTCCGTTTCTGGAGCTGTGGCTGGCAATGCCACCAACACATGGTTTCACTGTCAGGTTGGGGATGCACTCCGAGGAGGGCAACTGGAATGATGTCAGAGCAACGGGACGTATTACCATGCAGGGGTGCCAAAGTACATACCCCTTGTACATACCCCTTGGACAAATGAACCCAAAAGGTCTGCTGATGTTCATACCCCTCTCCATATACCCCAGAAAAAATGGTTTGGAAGCCACGGAAGCCAAGGAACCGGTATGAACAAGGGGGGGCTCCTATCGGTTTGCTCTGATAATCTTGATAGCGCTGAAAAGGACGACGGCGATGCTCATTGTACGTAGCAATACACGCGCGCATGTGTGTGTACCGTTGGTTTGAAAGGAAAACAACAGGGCAGACGTTTTTTGCTGGCTTCTCCTTGTGTTGACTTCGGGTGACGCGGCGCCCATGAAGCTGCTGTCAGAGGCCAAGAAGGCGATATCAGCACATCCACCAGAGTCAGAGGGGAAGCAAGATGAAAAAAATGATCCACACAAGTGCTACACGACTGCTCTTCAGGGGAAAAAAACAGCTTTTTCATATCACATTTTTAAGGATGGACTACAAGAAACAACTTTGGGAGAGCATATTTGGGGCCCGGTAGTTGGCCAAATGCCCCAGGTTTTCCGCAGAAATCGGCAGGATTCTTGGGCAACTTTTGATATTCAGCGGTTGAAGCGCCCAAGTTTTTGCAGCTCACCGGCCAAGTGGGGCATCTGCAAGAATAGACCCGAGCCGGATCCATCGAAATCGCCGTTCGCCGTTCGCCATGGACGACGAGTCGCCCGGCGGCGGCGGTTTCGTGGAGCAAGAGCTGTCACGCCTGTGCAGGACGCGGGGATTTTGAGTTCGGGTGTGCAAGGGACGTGTCTGGCCTTGCCTTTTTTTCAATGTTGTAGTCTCAACCCTTGGTAGGTTCCTTGTTAGGGGGCCTGGTTGATCAGAGGATGTGTGTTTTTGGGCTGTTCACCCTATTGAAATCTGTCGAATAAGTTTGTAGGGACCCTTCAGGAGCGGGCGGGACAGCTTGTTCAGCGCTGTTTGACAGCCTTTGGGATTTAGCCTGCTTACGTAAGTTGTAATGTTAGAGCCATGGTTACAGTGGGACCCTCCCCCCCTCCACAAAAAGAGGATTTCTACACGTTTCGTTTTGTTGTTGCGAATCCCTGGCCCCAAAGTTACACTCAGATTTTGCACTTATCATATCACATCAGAAGAGAAACACCAAACCGTTGCCCGGTGGCGCCCGCGTTTCCTTTTCTTTTGGGAGCGTTCCGGTTCCTTTATACTCATCCAAGCAAAAAAGGATGCCCTTTTTTGCCCATGGCCCTGGGCATCTGATTGTTGCTTCATTTTATCTTTTTGAAGAAAAAAACACACGATGCAAGGGGCACCTGACTGGGGAGGAACCATGATTCAGATGATTGATGTGTCTCTGTCACTGAGGCTATAGGCTTATCAGAAATCGGGGTGGTTTCCCTTGATGCTACCACTTATATCACTTATGAGGTGACTTCGATAGTGGTAAGATAATGGGGCCAGGAACATGGAAGCTGCATGCCACGGCGTGCCAGCCACACCGTGTTGGCCCAGTTGATCCCAGTTGATTGCTTCGCCTCTTCTCTTGCCTAAGCCAACGGCAAATTTGACGTCAGCCCAATTCGTGCAGACCACATCAAGCTGAAGGCAACAACCTCCACCTTGGGTGAATTGCTGAGGTCAGGTTACTCAAGCAATGCGGTTGCCTGTCCTTTGAGCAACCTCTTTTGTACGGAAATAGCATTTTGTGTGGCACTTTGGGTGGCTTGGCAGTTTACAAGTTGGGAAAGATCATGTGGCAGTGTCTGAAGAAACCCTGAGCATGGGTTGCTTCTTGTGATTTCCCTCTCAAAGGACCCAGCCTCCAAACAAAAACTGAGCAAAGCAAAGGCCCCTCACACGAAAACCACCCCGTCACTGCACTGCTATTGGGTTGGATCTTTAGACTTTAACTTTTTGGATCTCCCTCACATTTTCTTTAGTCATCAAAAAGTTTGGGGGATCTACAGCACCCAAAGACATATTTCCTTGCGGCGCGTCGCCATCCTAGCGTTTCGGCAGGTTGCTGGATGGCCTTTGCCGCCGCATCCAGTCGGTGGAAAGGCCGATGGTCTGGGCCCAATGGGGCAAGATGGCTAGGTCCCCCAGTGCCCTGTTACCTCTTTTTGGGGAGGGTTCCCCTACTAACATAGACTACAGAAAAAAGGGTACCCTTATTCTAACCTCTCTACTGGAGGACCTAGATGGTCTACTTTTGAAGGTTCACCGGGACAGCGGGGTCAGGTGGAGTTTAGTAGCCACTTAGCTAAGTCATACGGGAAGTCGAGGAGCGATACAAAAGCTCCGGCCATTTTACTATGTGGTTCGACTGCCTTGTGCTTGTGAGGGTTACAGGAATATATCGTTGTGTTCACACCCCAAGAAATGTTGAACCCCAATCCAAGCACTGCACATCCCCTCCCCGAGTCAATGAGAAAAACGGACTGGGGCCACGGCCTTATCGTTCCCTCACCAGATTCCTCATCCTTCCCTCCAACACTCCGACCTAAGGGGTCCAATTGCGGAGAAGTCCAACAAGAAGAGAAACAATTCCAATAATGGTGATTGGTTCCCTTTAAAGCCAGGGGAAAATAGCAAATCGACTCAGGCAAATGGGAAGACCATCTGCTTTAAAAATGGAATTGGGGAAGAGGGGTTAATTACCCTGGAATGCATTGACGGTGCCATGTTTCCTGAATGGATTTGGGGGACCCCCCACCTCCCTCTTCCTTAAGGTAGGGGGGATCTTTTCATCCTTCGCAACATGGAGACACAAGCATTGTGAGTGGACGGCCTGTTGCAGCCTTAGGATAGTGACGCAGCCAAAGAGAAACCGTGGCCATGTGCAGTTGGAACCCAGGTTCTGAGTTCTGTCAATGCTTCCAGTTGCCCAAGAAAAAACGGAGTATACAACAATTTCATATGTCTATGTTGTCGATATAATATAACTATAGAAGGGTGTATATATATATATATATGGTACCCCCCCCAGTACCCAGGTGTTGTTGCATCATGTATCAAAACCAGTGGTATGTACAGTGTATTTTGATTGAACCCATGCATTTTCTGCAAGGCCATTTTGTGGCAAAAAAATCCAAAAACCAAACACCAAAAAACCAAAAAACACAAACACCCACAAAAACCAAAACCAAAAAACCCAAAAAACCAATTCTAGCCCCCACCATGGCTGGGATTCTTTCTTTTTTTTTGGGGGGGGGGGGGGGTTTTTGGTTTGTTGGTCCATGGAAATGTTGCGCAACAAATTCCAAATGTTGCGCAACATTTGCGGAGCATGATGAGAGGATATGTGAACCTTTGTGAAAGAAGGCATGTTCTGGGTGAGAGGATATGTGAATTTTCTGTAGAGAAGAGTCATTGAAAAAGACATGTTTTGTGTGAGATGATATGTGAGTCTTTGTGGAAGAGTCAGGGTTACAGTGATTCATGAAAAAAAAACAGCAAAAAAAGTAAATATCATGTAAAACCACCATGTATGTAACACAAACTGTCCCAGCCATAGCCTGGTTTTATTCTACACAGGGTTCACTTTCCTTGGCAACTCTTTCACATATGCTGCCTTTGTTTCATTGAAAGAAGACACGTAAAAAGACATGTGTTGGGTGAGAGGATGTGTGAATTTTCTGTGGAAGAGTGATTGAAACAAGGCATGGTTTGTGTGGGAAGATATGTGAATTATCTGTGGAAGAGCCTTTGAAAGAAGGCATGGGTTTGTGTGGGAAGATATGTGAATTGAATTTTGTGTGGAAGAGCCATTGAAAAAGCGCATGGGTTTGGTGAGAGGATATGTGATTCCTTGTGAAAGAAGGCATGCAAAAAGACATGTTTTGGGTGAGAGGATGAAAGAATTGTCTGTAGAGAAGAGTGATTGAAAAGACATGCTTTGTGTGAGATTATATGTGAATATTCTGTGGAAGAGTCTTTGAAAGAAGGCATGGTTTGTGTGGGAAGATATGCGGGCTTTCTGAGGAAGAGCCTTTGAAAAAAGGCATGTTTGGTGAGAGGATATGTGAACCTTTGTGAAAGAAGACATGTTCTGGGTGAGAGGATATGTGAATTTTCTGTACAAAAAGTTATTGAAAAGACAAGTGCAGCAAAAGACAGTAAATATCATGTAAAACCACCATGTATGTAACAAAAACTGTCCCAGCCATAGCCTGGTTTTATTCTACACAGGGTTCCCTTTCCT